TTTGCCCAACGTGCTTCGGCGCTGTAGTCGGGAATAGCAAGCACGTATTCGCCACTCGTGACAGTCATGAATTCCATGGGATTGTCACTAGTGTGAACATCCAATTGGACATCTCTGCGCCAGCACATGACAAAGCCGCTTCCAAAGCTGGTCACCACATATGGATCACGAGAGCCCTTCAGTCGCAGATGTACATCGCCATCTTCCTTCCAGAGAACCTTGATCCGGGAATGAAAGCTGAGTCGGATCTTGTCCCAGAAGCCCACCCGCTCCGAGGGATCAATTTCAGGTTTAGTGAAACCCTCAATGATCTTCATCATATCTTGGATGACAGGCTGATAGGAGACACCCCATGAAATGCTAGTCGGCAAACTTGTGTTTATCTGGACGACAGGGTCTGAGTAGGTCTTGACTGGTGTAACAGAACGCCATACGGGAATCTTGAACGCTTCGCGGGGAGACCCGTCGGACCCTTCAGATGCAGGAACGAGTTCCACTTGAACCTGTCTTGCGGATTCATGGTCACGCCATTCTTCTGCAATGACGAAGTTTGTCCGCAAAGACCAGCTGGGAAGTCTTGGAGACTGCCCTGGGCGCAGGGCTGGAATGTGCAACAGATCTAGAGGGTAATCTCGCAAGTTGACGCGTGCTTCACCCATTTCCAGGTTGAAGCTCATTGGGATGAGCAGGCCGTATTGCATAGACATGGGCATTCCCTTTCCGATTCGGTTCAAGTAACTGGGGAACTCATCGAGAGCGAATGAGGGCTTGTCAATAACAAGGTTAACATCACTGATCAGAGCTGACATCAGACCTGGTCTGTTCGGAATGGCAAGAATAGTTTCGGTCTCCTTCACATCCGGAGGAGGTTCATCTGCACCAGAGAAGAGATTTCGAATTTGTTTGATAGAAGTGCCCTGGAACATGAGAGCTGCATCGATCTTCTCTTTCCAGACTTGAGCATTGTACTGTTGAAGTCGGCCCCAAGCGGCATCCACAGAGATCTTTTGCTCTGATGAGAGACAGGTCTCGCCATCGGTATTATAGCGGTATTTCCGACCTCTCCCACGTTCCTGGGCGCTAGATCTCGGCCGTTCATCAGCACTCCTACTTCGCCTTGTATCTTGGCTAGTTCGCTCGCTGCGCAATGTCCGATGGCTCGATTTGGCTCGTAATCGGGAGGTGGCGCGCCGCTGGTCAGATTCCCTGACTTTGTGAGATTTCAAGTCGAAGGCGTCTTCCCGGGCCAGCCGCTGAATCTGTTCAACAAGGCCAACTCGATAGATGCAGCCCAGTTTCCACTCAAAGCCATCGTCCTCCAGCTCGAAGAGCAACGCTTTGCTGCGAAGAGATATCCTGGGCACCTTCTTCGGGGCTTCTGGTTCTCTCTTGGAGCCAAATTCTCTGCAACCGTTCTTGAAGCGATGATGCAGCTGTTTGAAAGCCTTGGAAGTGTTGATAAGGTTATCGAAAATGCGGTGCATCACCATATGATGAGGTACACCAATTCGGATGAAGTCTGTCCATATATCGATGGATTTTTCTTCAACCAAAGTGTTGCCATGTTTCATCTTCATCTTTCGGAAATCCAGCCTGACATTGTTCATACTGCCGATTCTTGCCCAAATACCCTTGAGCTTAGGTGCCTCTGCATGGAAGCGAACAAGGCTGGCTTTGACATAAGGGGTGGAAAGACGTTGAGAAGCACCGGCAAGTCCGTAGATCTGAATCATTATGTGAGGATCGTTCGGCAAGTTCGCCTTAAGCTGCACAACTGTTGCTTTCATATCGTAGGTGACCAGCTCCTTCTTTGGAGACCATTTGTATGCCGGAGGCGGCGGTAGCGATATGCTTGCAGGCGCCCTGGTCTTGCTTTCAGCAGACTGCGAGTACTTTTGCGGCAAGGGTGTGAGCACGTCTTGGATCACGGAAACGGCAACACCAAGGCAGTAGAAACGGTACAGTGAGTATTGAAGGTATATGCCCTTGAACATGGAGGTGACATGCAAAACCGGTCCGAGACGATCACTGTGGGTGCTCAGCGCAATCTCGAATCGAGGCAAAGAGAAAAATGGCTCTGGTTCCAGATAATCTTCTGATTCGATGACAAAACCATCGAAGCCACGCGCGTGGAGAGCCAGTCGCCGGCCATCTGAAGCGCCGCGTTGAGTGTGAGTGGCCTTTGGGGGCGAGGTTGGGGGAAATCGAAAGGGCGATTCATCGCCGATGGTGGAATGGCTGGGAGTACGTCGCCTAGCAATGCTTCCGACATTTTTCTCCGTTTTTTGAGCTTTGTATTCCGCTGTCCACGATTGTAGTTGCAGAGAGACACCACGAGATATATCAGATACGGTGCTGTCCACACCAGCGATTTCCACACTGGACGCTGTGGCCTCAAACTGAAATTGGAGTAACCATGGGGGCACTCGCCTCAGCACGCTTGCTTTTTGATCATTTGCCGGTATTGGTACCCGCTTCTGTGACTGCATCTGGGTGATGAATTGCTGCAAAACTTCGCGGATCCCACGGTTTACCTCCCCATCAATCATATGGACAGAACACTCGTTCAGGCTTCCTGAGGCGATTACACAGACCTCTGGGGTGGCATTCAGATGGGCCTTCAGCTCCAAATTTTCGTTTGTGAGCAAATTGTGTTTGTTGCCTGCTGGAGTCTGGTAATAGAATTTGTGGGAGGCGACCCGGTAAATGGACGATAAGGAATAGTGGGCACCGCCTTCAGATGAATGAGAGGATTCGATATCGAGTGAAATGGAGGAGATTGAGGAGATAAGGAGGTTGTAATCATCGGGAGTACCAGACTCTTTCTCAATTGGGAGAACAAACCGGATCACAGGTTCGTGGACAGAAAGCTTGATGGTTGCCTTCGGGAGTAATCGAGAAATCAATCGATGATTATCTCGCCTCTTCGCTCGAGGAGATGAGGCTCGACTTTGTGCCAGTTTGAGCAGTCTCGAAACATGTTGCGGTTGGAGATCAACCGAGGGTGACGTGATGACCAAGTTTGCGAACAGGACATTTGTGTTTCGCTCTTCCGCGTTCTCATCATCAAATGTGCTCACGGTCTTCGAGGGCAGTGTGGTTTTGATAGTTGTCGTAGCCATGGGAATATATAGAATGTCATCAGTCTCGCCCGATTCGTCGTCTAAGCTGACTGAAAGAGAGATAGCAGCAAGAAGAGCCTGGTGGGCCACATCATTCCGCTGGAAATACATGCGATGCTCCGGGCTCTTCAAGTCCATCCGATGAAGATCAATTCCAAGCTCATGCGACACGACATTCAGATACACGGGTTTTTTCCCTGCAGACAGAGACTGGATACCCTTTGAGACACGGAAGAAGCTCAGAGCGATCTGTATCTCCTGTATACCACGAAGTAATGAGCTTGCAAACTCCTTTGAGTCCGCCACAGTCTGTACAATGGAATCGTCTCTGCTTCCAGGCTTGTCGAGTTCGTCCACAAAATCGGCAAATGATATCTCGTCATCGGTTTCGGTATTCCCTAGCCCTTGTGCGGATTTCTTGACCGGCTTGATGCGCTGCAATAATGTGTGGACATCGTCGTATGGAATATGCAGACGTCCAATCTTAAGGGCCACCGAGGCGTCTCTGAGTCCGTCCAAATCCTTGTGAAGAAGTCCATGGAGGTTCACGCCCACATTATCCAATATCTCGGTTGGCTCCCGGCCGTCGACGTTGAGTAAAACATTTTGAGCATTCATAATCCATTCAGCTGGGCGTTGGTCTCGCGACATATCCTTCTTGCGACGAAATAGCTTTCCCCGTTCCACCATCTTACTCCGCGTGTCGACTGAAAGGGAAAGCGATCCAACCTGGACCTGGCCGGCGTTGACGAAGTGGACGGTTGTATCGATAGCAGTCAGGTCCACGAGAGCTAACCAATTGATCTGCCGGTGTAGCCGCTTGACACGTTCCTTGATTCGTGTTAAGGTCCTCCATGTTTTGCTTCTTCCGCCAGGTTCTGGCGCAGTGGGGTCTTTGGTTGGTTTGGGGGAACCAAGAGTCTCCAATATGCCACGGGGCGCTTCGCGTTTTCCTTGACCCAGAGTCGTCGAGTCCACGGTAACCTTCAGTTCTGTCAACCGAATGCTGATCCATGTTGGCTGGGCAAATGACGAGGGGTGTAACGATAATCCGAGGCCGCGGATTTCAATGTGTATTCCTTCCCTCGGGGTGTATGCGATTCGGCGCAGCGAAAAGTAGCCGATCCGTTGAATGGAGATTCCCGTCGCGATCCGGACGATAGCGAAGATGAAAAAGGACGAGAGGTAGAGGAGGAGGAATCCCACGAGGATCGAGGTCGGGTTGAAGAGCGTCATCGCGGTTTGCGATCAGCAATGGGCTGATCTCAGACAGGCAGTGTCGACTCGCACATTGAGGTTGTGTCGGGATTCAATTGTACTGCTGTTAGATCCCCCGAGTCTCTCTACTGTCCGTCTGGTTGGAATCAGTGATTCCAGACTCCAGAACAGCAGCGGCTTTGTCCATCAAAGTCTCAGTAGGATGGGCATTGCAGGCTGATTCGAATAAAATGAGTGTAGGCGAATCATGCCGGGGAGAACTTAAGGGTAAGGGAGAATGGGAGAGGTGGGCTACCGGACAGGTCGGAGGAACTGGCCAAAAAAAGCGGAACGCTAGTTAATTTCTCTCCAAAACCGGCTTCTTTTGTACATTAATCGCTTTGACTTTTTAGATTTTTTTTTCTCATATATTATCCTTTCAAGCATTTTATATTCCAATCTATTCTTACAATGTTCCTATAGTTGTTGTTCATATGTATGTTCTGGTTGATCGACACGCGCCCCAAAATTCCCAAGGTTCAGGGGAGATCATTTTGTCAGCCCTGGGGGACTCCAGGTCTTGGCTCTATATTCATTATTCTCGATTCTCTCTCTTTGTCTCTCCTCATATTGTACAATAATTTACATTTCCTTTATTGTCACATGTCCCGCTTTTCAAGGTTACTTTGAGCTTGAAGCAGAGACTGGTCGAGACTTCTCCAGTTCCTCGATCTTATCGTCAAGAAGAGCAATCTCAGCCTCGATGCTAAGCAGCTTTTCACTCAACATCCCCCTATATTCTTCGTCAGAGAGTGTGCGGAGTGGGACCCATTTAGATTCAGCCATTCGCTGCATCAGAGGTTTTGATGTCTTGTGTGCATTTTCCATCTGCCACGCGTCCACTCGGTTGAAGACGCTCTGGCCGCAGTAGCCCAGTAATGAGAAAATGATAGCCCCCGGAACCAGCCGGCCTCCTACATGATTTGGTTAGACACGATACCACAAGATGTGCTTTCGGGGCGGGATACGGTACCCATCAACTTGGTTACACTTCCGCCGGCGATGCCACCGCATAAAGCACTCGCGTACTTGCGCTCGTTCAACGAGGCTTTATCTTGATAATGATGTTTAATGATGTTGCTCCGCAGCCCTGTCTCAAGATTAAGATTAGACACCGGCAATATAAACATGGGGTGTCTCCACATACACCAAAAGGCTGAGCCGCATGCAAACCAGTGGATGCCACATGACAATGAATGAATCATGGGATTGGGGGATCTGATAACTCCAGCGGCTCCTCCATAAATCAGGCCAGCAGTTCCTGGATGAAAAAATCAGCACTTTATCTTCAGGGACTCGTTGTGTCTGTATCCAAACAATCATGTGAAGAGCAGATACTAACCGCTGAGGGCTCCGAATTTGGCTGCAGACAGGAGGGCGTGGGACTGGAAGTCCTGCACATCTTTGATTTGGTCGCCCATCTTTTATTCAAACTGAGAGATGCATGAGTTCAAAGGTCATGGAGGGGTAAGTTACAATAATCGAAGCACTCATCGAAGCAGCAATCCAAGTCAGAAAGAATATGGTCACGTGTGTCCGGTTGATGTGTCTGGATTATGTAATTTTCTCATCCAGCCCTGGAGCCTGGATGGACGAATTAGGGCATAAACAGTAAGATTTAGATCGATATGAAAATAATTGAGTAATTTCCTTATATTTTATATTGTTGTTATATAACGACTGGCTTTGTTTAAATATGTCGGAGAGAAATGGTGACTGAAGAGGGTGAAAATCCATAGATATATCCCCACATTGCACATGCCCAGCAGATGATCGCCTGCAAGACCGCCAGCCCCACGATCTTTATTTCCCCCTCAAACTGTTGCTATTGATTCCTACTGGCTCAAAAGCCAAACCTCCACTTTGAAACGAGGCGTAATCTTCAGGAACCGCCTATTGCTACGCCAAAAGGCTTAACTGTTGATGTCAAAGCTCGGATCTCCATTCAAGCTAGGTTTGCAATGTTATTTGCATCTTGCTATACAAAGATTTAGAAATCAGGCTGACCAGGTATAGGAATTACGTCCACTATCAGTCGTATAATCTTCAGGAATACAATATCTCTGGATGCCTTCTTAGTAGTCTAAGTACTAGAGTAGGCTTTGATTAGAGCTTTTATCAAAGTTGTCAGTACTAAAACCATAATGCAACTAAAATTCATTATACTTGACCCGCACCTGCTACAACTAGATAAGAGCTATTCTTTTTATGGATTAATACTTATGGTGACCTAGACTACCAAGGGGTAGGTAATATCCATGATTGGCGAAGAGGCTGTTAGGTATTGCATATTGGCTTGTGGAAGATAAATCTTCACCCGAAAAGGTCTACACCAATACCTATCTAGTACTATGTAAGCTTATACCAGAGGCTCCGGTAAAGTATATCAAATAGAACCAAGAGCTGATGCGGAATGACCTACCAAAAGTCGGACTTGTGATACCTGGTTCTTACAAGTAATCGAGGGTACTGCAAACTGACTACTTCTGGGATGACAAAAATGTTAGCCAATCAAGTTACAACAGGCATAGAGTTGTGTACTCCGTATTGCTTTGGGGGTATATTTTATGATATATTTTTAGCCGAGTATGAAGTAGTCCACCATTGTACGCAGATAAGGTACGAAGTCACATTTTCTCGCCCTTTTTTCCGCTCATTTCAAGCAAATAAAAGCACCAGTAGCCTATTAATTCCACATCATTTGTCAATCTTAGGTAGAATACAAACGGATTTGAAGATGGTCGTAGTTCTGGTATAGACCGATCTCGCGGCTCTGATTGGGCTAGCGTCATCACTAAAAATTTAGTAACCCGTCCACTTCCATGCCGCAGCCGACTTCCCCTCTACCAACTTTTCCACTGTGGGTTTGCAGATATTTGAACCTAACACTACTTGACTCAAATTTTGATTCTTGGCCTTCTCACCAGGTGTCTCTGATCTTTTGACTTTTCCTTCTTTCCAACCCTACTCTCCGAGAAGCGCGCACAAATCCCGGCGCGTTTCCCCCAACTTCAAACCGCAATCATGGGTTCGTTCCAGACCTTCCATTTTCCCGGCATCGCCCCGCGAAAATATTCATGGGCGAATTGCTAACATGATGAAATATTAGCTCCCAAAAACAAAGCCCAGAAGATGTCTATGAGCACCTTCTTGGCCGATGAAAGTGAGTGATCTGGAAAATTTGGATGATTCGGAGGTGATTACTGACGGCTCTATAATAGGCCTTGGCTCTTGGGCTGATGAGATGGAGGATATGCCCCTTCCTTGTAAGTTGCAGATATCCCCCGCTAGGAAATTGCGAAATTGTGCTAACAAAATTTATAGCCAGTATGTAGTGTGCTCGATACCTAACATGCTTATCGTTGATCGGAACCCTTACTTACAATATGGATATAGCCCAGCCTTTGACTTCCACCTTCAGCCGTCGCCCCGCGGGTGATTTGGCATTTGGCTCTGGCCCCACTGGCGGTTTCGGTATGATGTCTCCCGCGCCAGATACACAGCACAGGTTCTGACAGATTGAATGATTAGAGCGCGAGCGTGGTGGATATGCCGTCCGGGAGCCTCTTGATCTCCCTACCCAGCCCCCCTACACTTGCCACGTTGGCAACCTTTCCTTCGAATCAACCGATGCCGACATCTCCGAGTTTTTCTCTGGATGTGGTGTGACGAACGTCCGTCTCGTGGAAGACAAGTTGACAAAGGCCCCCAAGGGTTTCGGATACGTCGAGTTCGAGACCGTCGAGGGTCTGCAGAAGGCTCTGGATCTCTCTGGCTCATCTTTCCAGGGACGTTCCATCCGTACCAGTGTTGCGGAGCCTCGTAAGTACCGAGAGGTTGGTGTTTTTGTAAAGATCTCGACTGATAGGTTATTTAGCCAAGGAATCTCGCCTGGAGGGCAAGGATCTTGACTGGTCCCGGCGTGGCCCCCTCCCCGAACTTCCCCAACGCCGTGCGCCTGAGCGCTCCAGCTTCGGACGTGGCATGGATGCCGGCTCCGATGCGGGCAGTGACCGCGGTGGCCGCCGCAGCAACTTTGAGTCCGACGGAAAGCCCCGTGACTTCAACAACTGGGAGCGCAAGGGACCCCTTTCACCCTCTGCCGGTGGCCCGCCCCGCGAGGGTGGCCGAGAGCACAGCAACGACGGACCCGGTTCCAGCTTCCGGAGAACCGAGGCCGCATGGGGTGAGGGACGTTCCCAGGACGAGGGCTCGCGCCCTCCCCGCCCCGAGCACGTTCGCCCCGAGCCTACACCTACTGCTGCCGATATGGACAACCAGTGGCGCGCCAGAATGCGCCCTGACGAAACCCCCAAAGAGCCCATCACTCCCGCCTCCCCCTCTGCCACGCCTGCCGTTCCTGCTGCCCCTGCCAGCCGTCCCAAGCTGAACCTGACGAAGCGCACTGTCGCAGAGAACCCCACCCCCACCTCAGCCAGCAGCGACTCCAAGGCCAGCCCCTTCGGTGCCGCTCGCCCCATTGACACCGCTACTCGCGAGCGTCAGGTTGAGGAGAGACGTCAGCTTGCTATCCGCCAAAAGCAGGAAGCTGCCGATAAGGCCAAGGCTGAGAAGGCTGAAAAGTTTGCCGAGAAGCAAAAGCAGGCTAAGGAGGCAGCCCCTGCCGTGGACCACAACGGCAAGGATGTCCTTGAGATCCCCAAGGGTGGTGGCAACTTTGAGATCCTCCAACGGGCCGGTGATGATGGCGAGTTGACCGCTGAAAAGGAGACCGAGGAGACGGCACCTGCCGCTCCGGCCGAGGCCAAGAAGGCGTCTGCTAACGGCTGGAGAGCCCCGGCCGCTGAGGCCGGTGCTAGTGCTGGCGGTGACGACGAGGGATGGAGCACGGTCAGTGTTAACAAGCGCAACAACCGCCGTGGACAGACTGGTCGTGGATTCGCATAAACGTATCGATACCCCAAAGCAACGGCCCGTTTTTTTTGCCCTGAGCCTTGGATTCACCGGTACGCAGGTTGGGTTAATTCTGGACGAGGTTCATTCCGGTCTTGGTGCGCTGCTCGGTCGAGTTACCTTGAGCGGTGCATCGGGATTGGTTTGTCACTCATAATTACCACCTGCTTCCGCCATTCCTCAGAGCCGGACGTAGATTGCTTTTTCTGATTGAGCTTTATTCTCCTTTCCACTTCCTTTACTCTTTTGCCCTTTGGTTTCATGATCTCTTTTCCTTTTTCGTGGGCTAGATTTTCCGATATACATCTAGTCCTCGCTTCGATGATCTGGCAGTCCGAAAAGTTTCATTTTATGTCTTGTTCGCTATCTAGCTATTATTCCCATGCGTGACTCAAAGTGATCTGCACATGACCATTACAGCCGATGCGAAATGAATACTACATGTTCCATTTTATTTTATTTTTCCTCTTTGACCTCTTTTCTCTTGTTTTCTCAATTTTCTCTCCTCTCTTCCGTTCGATTGACCACGGGTGGTCCTGTTTCTTTCTCGTTCCTGTCTGCCTTTGGGACGTGGGGAGTTGGAGTGTTGATACTCTTCTTCTTTCTCCGTTCTCGGCCATGCGAACAAGACGACTCTGCGAGAATAGTCATTACGAGCACCCCTCTCATGAGCACAACGTTGACGAAATCAATTCCTGTTCTTTGCTCTTTCTGTGACTGCTTCTAATTCAATTCTTTGTGATCTTTGGCATGGCAGAGTTGTCTCGATGTCCTTGCTCCATTTCTGCGTACTAACCTTTGAGTTGAATTTCCGCTTAGCATAGAATGAAATGCAGTTTTCACTGACAGTTAGTTTTTGTAGAATTAGGGTATTATGTAGATAGGAGAGGCTATAAATACATGTCGCCAGCATATCTCCGTACAACATACGTATGTACTTCAAGGTACTATGTTTACCCCGTTATATCTCTGACAAGGCCGACCTCCAAGACACTAGTGTATCAGAATGTGGTCGATCAGTTACCTTGAAGAAATGGGGAGGTTGGACTTTTTCTAATGATCAATAGTGATGCTTATAGCTACATGTATGTGTGTACATAGTTATATTAGTTATGCCTAATTTTAGCAGTAATAGCTTCTAGATCCAAGACATAAGGAAATAGTTCAGCTTTCACCTCCTTCAAAGTAGACTATTGGAAGTAAGGGTATATAAATAGGATCCACTAGTCTCAAAGGGTTCGAACGTGCCAGATTAATGCACCGAGGATATATGAGCTGTGAGATGTATGAAGTTTAGTATATAGTTAACTGTGCTCGTTTTCAATTAAATAGATGTTTTGAACATAGTTGAGATCCATTTAAATCCATTCATTCTAACATTTTATGAGATCATTCAGGAATCAAGGAGATACGATTGGCCAAGAAATAGAAGTGGCCGGTATGGAATTAATTGAAACCCCTTCGAAGGGCCAGGGATTCTTAAGATTTTCAGCCTTTGAAATTTCTTTTTCTTTTTCTTTTTTTGTTCTTGGACAGAGTACTTAGGTGCTTCTTAAACCCCGTCGAATCACCGTTACATCCTTAGTACGCCTAGTTCATTAAAGCAAATTAAACCCTGACAATCCCGGGGTAAGCCCCATGTTGTCATGTCGACTACAACATCCCTCACCACCACGCTTGTCGCACCGGCCATGAAGGGTGTCGCTATATCAGAAAAACAATGTCCTATGTGTTGGGGCGAGGGATTTCCCCAAGATGGCTCTGGTGCCCACGATAGAATCCAGGAGTTGGAGGGGCAGGTGCATGCATTGACAGCGCGCGCTTCGGCTACAGGTAAGCCTTTGCAGGACTCGACTTTCTTTCTGCAGACTACATACACAAGCGTAGCATGAATACGATCGCGTGTCTAGCAGAGAATATAGAGCAGATTCTTCTTTTTACCCTTCCCATCCTTTCAATCCAACCCTTAAAGAATCCCCCCCGTCGCTAACCCGATCGCAAACAGCCTCCAAACTCAGCGAGTACGAAGACGAACTCCGACGTCTACGCTCCTCCCAATCCCAAGGACCCTACCATACCCCACGAAGCAGCTCCTCCCTGGGCAGACCCCCTCCCAAATCGATCATTCATCACCGCAACGCCCAACATCCTCAGAATCCCAACCCCCACCACAAACATACCACAGCCGCCTCACAAACCTAGCCTCCCTCCTCCCCTACCGACGTGGCAGCGCAACCCCCGCAAGCGCACCAGCAACATCCAGCGGTGCCGTTCTCCCAAGCACGCCGACCACCCTGACAACCTCCCTACAACACATGTCCCCCGCGAACAGCGAGCACACCATCGAGCTGCAGGATGCGCTTACGCGCGAACAGAGACTGCGCGAGGCTGCCGAGTCGCAGCTTTCGCAGGCGAGTACCGAGCTAGAGGAGTTGACGGTGCAACTTTTCAGTCAGGCGAATGAGATGGTTGCGGAGGAGCGGAAGGCTCGCGCGAAGCTTGAGGAGAGGGTTGCTGTGTTGGAACGGAGGGATGTTGAGAAGCGCAGTCGGTTAGAGAAGTTGGAGAAGGCTATGGCGCGTGTGGAACGGTTGAGGGCTTTGGTTAATCATCAATGATGGTTTTGACCTTCCAAGGTTCGAAGGCTTTTGGCTGACATTTGAGGGTTTTTTTGTCTGCTTGTTACGACTGGTACGATTGGATTATTTGATGATGGAAATGATTGGGCGTCTATTTGGTAGGATTTGGGGGGGCTTTGGATTCCCTTTTGATATTGGGCGCAATTGGATGGGGGTGTTATGGAGTTAATAGTTCATGTTGACCTTTTGTATTTGGTTATTGAGGTTGTTTTTGCCGACATAATTTGCGGAATGCTTTGAATTGTAACCCGATCTATCACGGAGTCTCCGCCTACGGGTGTTACCTCGTATAAACACCTGAAGAAGTAGGACATAAGGTAAGGGAACGTCTACGCATGGGCATGCATGTCACCTATAAGGTATTAACTAATATAAAACTAGTCCTAAACTATACTACGTACCGACAAAAGCAAAATAAGAGACGGAGTATCCGACTAAGAATTCACCTAATAGGAAATGCAGCCGACCAGCAAATGACGTGCCTCGAGGTTGGACCTTCCCGCAGTTTAAAGTGGCTTTGGGGACATTCAAAGTACTCCACTGTCAAACTTCCTTTAATAGCACCGGAAGTACTGGAAAGTGACAAAGTAACTTCATTTGATATTTCATCTATATATCACTCTCTATATACAATTATGTCTATCGGCGTGGCTATCATCGGCAGTGGTACATACTTCTATACACTTTATGCCGTATGCATTGGCTAACATTCAACAGGTCTCTTTGCGAAAGAGCAGCACCTAGTATGACAAACTCTCCAGTGGTACTATCTTCTATACAATGTACTAACTAATTACGCAGCCCGCCGTCCAAGCAGCTTCAAACTTCCAACTCAAGGCCATCTATTCCCGGTCCTTGAAGTCAGCCCAGGACCTCGCCAGCGGCACGTCTGAAGTCGATCTCTATTCCGAAGACTCTGGCTCTGGCAAGTCCTATGCCGATCTACTATCTCGTTCAGATATCGGCGCTGTGATCATTGCGTACGGGACCACCCCTCCATTTCTCTAGATTCCACTAGAAGGGCGAAAAACTAACTCTCGACTCCGACAGCCTTCCCATTCTGGTTCAGCCGGAGTTCATTCAGAAAGCACTGCTCGCTGGCAAGCACGTCTTGTCCGAGAAGCCCATCGCCAAGGATGTCGCCACTGCCCAGGAGCTTTTGAAATGGTACAAGAGTAACATCGATGCCAGCAAGGTCTTCTGGGCCGTCGCCGAGAACTTCCGCTATATGACGAAGTTCCTTTTCGCGGCAGAGCAAGTCCAAAAGCTGGGCAAGGTCCAGAACTTCCGGGTGAACGTTCACAGTCTGATGGATAAGAACAACAAGTACTTCCGTATGTTCAATCCGGTCGAGGCTCTACATGGAAGATCTTACGGAGACTGACTATATTTGAACTAGACACCGCCTGGCGCAAGACTCCTGAGTACCAGGGCGGATTCCTTTTGGACGGTGGTGTGCACATGACTGCTGCACTGCGCCTGATTCTAGGCCCCGCGGAGCGTCTTAGCATTCTGTCGGCGCAGTCGCAGTTGCAGCAATCATTCCTGCCCCCGGTTGATACGGTGGATGCCGTTGCGAAGACTGAATCTGGTGTTACGGGTGTTATCTCTTTGTCGTGGGGATCGTCATTTAATGATCAGATTTTCGAGGTTGCTTGCGAGAAAGGTGTCGTCACCTTGAACTTCGATGATGTGACAGTTAACGGCGAGAAGCACCATGTTGAGTTTGATGGCAAAGGTGTTGAGCCCGAGGTGGCGGAGTTTGCAAACTCGATTTTGAGTGGAAAACCTGACAGCAGACAATCTCCCGAGCAAGCATTGGCGGATCTTGAGATCTTGGAGCAGATGTTGCGGAGTGGCGAGAAAGATGGCGAGAAGGTTCAGTTGCATTTGCAGTGATATTTAGATGCTACATAGGAGATAGAATCAAATGCATATACATGATCAAAATATATTGAAATGAATGCGCAGCATAAGAAAGATAGGAGATAGTCATGGACTACCATGGACTATACAGTTGTATAGAACATCTCCAGATATTACCCAAAGAGGAATAGTAGGGCTAGGGCTGGTCCAGCCCTAGGCTGACATAAGTGGTCTGGTTTCGCTTAGTTCGCCCAAAGCGCACTAGTGTGGGTCTCCCACTCTGCTGCGGGAGAACCTGAGAGAGAAGTTTTCGAGATTGAACTCCGACCCGACAACTCTCGAACGCCCGGCGAGACCCAGCAATACCGACAAGGTCAGTCACCAAATGCGCATTACATTTGAATCAGTCACTAATTTTGATTTCAGATGGCCGCCGCTAAGCAGCACATCCCTATCGTGAAGAAGCGTATGTTCCCGATCACCTATTCCATTCCTTTTGCCCGTGCCTTGGATACTCTCGCCCTTCGATCGTCGACCAAATGAAACAAAGCAAGCTCAGCAAGACGCAACAAACGAAGAGAAAAACCATTGGAGGATTGCTATGGAAAAAAAAATCAACATCTGTCTTGGATCGAAGGGCAACATTATCCGCAGGGCCGTGGAGGCTGAAAATGGCACAACTTTATTCACTTTCACGATCGGAGGACTGACATGGACCGCAATTAGGCACGAACCGCTTCAACCGTCACCAGTCTGACCGGTTCATGCGCGTTGGCGCCTCGTGGCGCAAGCCCAAGGGTATTGATAACTGCGTTCGTCGCCGTTTCAAGGGCCAGATGGCCATGCCCTCCATCGGTTTCGGATCCAACAAGAAGACCCGCCACATGATGCCCTCCGGCCACAAGGCTTTCCTCGTCCACAACACCAAGGACGTTGAGCTCCTCCTCATGCACAACCGCACCTTCGCTGCTGAGTACGTCCTGCGCCCGTCGGAGCGACCAAGTCGCTTTTGTATATCTCTTTTCGCTAACCAAGTTTTACAGGATCGGCCACGCCGTTTCTTCCCGCAAGCGTGTCGAGATTGTCGAGAAGGCCAAGGCTCTCGGTGTTAAGGTCACTAACCCCAAGGGCCGTGTCACCACCGAGGCATAAATGGAATAAACCCAGTTTGTTTCCTTTTAGTTGGGATTGGTGCAAGAGGTCGGGGTTTTTGTATGGCGATACTATCTCTCTGGCGATAACGAAATTTAAGGATTGTGCATGGCATGTCCGGCTCGGGCCTTGTCATAGTGCCGGGCGCTGTGAAGCGAGAGAATTGTTCTCTGAAATGACAACAAAAATTGCAAAAATCCCTTTTGGTTCACTCCAAGACATTTTATTTTAAGGTGCAGATTCTAATCTGGCCTCGTACATGTAGTTGTACATATCCAGTGTACATCGGTGTACCCAAACCAAATCGTAACCCTAAAAACAACCTTGGAAGTGTACTTCCGACATCACTCCCACTCTACATATTAACATAACCAACACGAAATGCCCCTTTAGATATAGTAGATCATTACTACCACACGTTTCAGATTCATCGGACCCACTGTGGTGACGTACGCAACACGGGCAAAATCCTGGAGCTCCGAGACCAGGACATGGAAGCACGACATTGGAGTACAGGATCAGGATAGAACCAGGACGGGACAGGATCAGCACACATTATCCAGGTCAATGTCTCATGTCTGCTTAATCCTCGAGAAAAATAATGGTGCCACAAGTACTCCGTACCTCTGGTTTGGATGTCACCTAAGATGTACAATAGGCAGCCTTGAACTTGCATCAGCCCCCACACGCCCATCACTTAAGAACGTGAGACGCCCCTCCTGAAGATCCCCTCAACCTTCGTGTTTTATATTTAGGTCTCCAGCTGGAAATGGAGACCGGATCCTTCCATATCCATTGAAATCCCTTTCTTCGATTCTCTTCCTCTCTACCTCTAGAATCCTACAACCCCAGTCTCCGAAAATGCCCTTTCTCCTACCCCGATATGGTCGCTGGGTACTCATTCTGGGCCCAGTAGTGCTAATCCTGTTGATATTCCAATTCACGCACGCCGATTTCGGCCCAAATACAACGCAGGACGTGATCGAACCCGCCTCCGGGCTAACGATTGATACGCACAACGAGACCGACACAACCGACCATGTACCCTCATCCTGTCCCTCAGACACAGGAATGGACTCTGTGTTGGTAGTAGTCAAAACAGGCATCACAGAAGCCCAAGACAAAGTCCCCGTGCACCTAAGAACGACCCTCCGCTGCGTTCCGCACAAGATAATCGTCTCGGACTTCGAAGAAGACATAGCCGGAACACGCACACACGACGTCTTCCTCAACGTCTCCGACACCCTAAAACAAAGCAACGAAGACTTCGCCCTGTACAACCGCGCCCGCACAGGCGGCCACACAGCGCTAACCTCTCAAGACCACACGAAAGTCGCCAACGGCCCGTCCGGGATGAGCGACAACCCAGGCTGGAAACTGGACAAGTGGAAGTTCCTCCCGATGATCCATACCGCGCGGCGCGCGAAGCCAGACGCAAAGTGGTTCGTCTTCCTCGAGGCAGATACGTATCCGATCTGGCCGAATCTGCTCGGGTGGCTGGCGCATTTCAATCACGAGGAGAAGCTGTATCTGGGGAATCAGATGCAGATTGGGTCGACTTTGTTTGCGCATGGCGGGTCCGGGGTTGTGCTTTCTCATGCGGCTATTCATGCCGTTGCGGACTTTCATAAGTTGCATATTGATGAGTGGGATGATGTCACGGATCGTGAATGGGCGGGTGATTGTGTGCTTGGGATGGTGCTTGCTGCGGCAGGGATTGGACTTACTTGGTCTTGGCCGCATGTTACTACGCAGTCGGTTTGGGAGCAGGATATGTTGCATGAGGCTTTTGCTAAGACGCCTTGGTGTTTTGCGCCTTTTACTTTCCACCATATGACGCCCGCGGATGTGGATCGGTTTTGGGAATTTGAGCAACAGTGGTTTGCGGGTGTGAGTTGTTCTTTTCTTTTTTTTCTTTTTGGATACCCATATTGGGATATCAGGATATCAATCCCCCTGAAATATGTGTGAATATGTTCACTGACAAACCAAACCCCAGACAAACTCAAGTGTCCTCACATACAGCGACATCTTCCGCAATCTCATCCGCCCAACCCTCGCAGACCACCTAGACAACTGGGACAACTCCGCGAGCGAAGGCGACGACAAAGAAGATTACAAGGGACCCAAAACGCCTACTTCTTTCGCCGCCTGCGCGGACTATTGCGCCGCAGACCCAGAGTGCATCCAGTACCGCCTGACAGCCGACTCGCGCTGCACAACGTCCAATGCGGTCCTGCGCGGAAAACCCCAGCCAGGCACGCAGTCAGGGACGATGCTGTGGCGGGTTGATGCTGCGTTAGAGCGGATGGAGCAGTGTGAGAAGGTGACGTGGGTGACCAGCTAGGGTTTTGGACTTTGGATTTCGAGTTGTTGCGTCTGTTTTATCGTTGGGATACATTACTAGGCGTTTAGCGTTGAGCGTTTTGCTTTGGTCTGGTTCGGTTTTGCATTAAGGTTGGACGATAGCGGCATTTATAGCGTTGGCTGGAAAGCCAAATTGGTAAAGAATTATACATGAACTCGCTGTTCATTGAGAAGTGTATGGGATCTTGGGGCTCGTCATGTCGAGCTGTAGTCTGTGTCAAAAAATCATCTAAAAAGACATCTAAAAGACCATCTGAGAAGACTACCATAAAAGACTACCAAAAAAGACTTGACACGGCCGCATAAGCGGCCGACTATTCTTGTCGTCTTGATTCAAAAAATTGAATGATTGTATTGTTAAAATGATTGTACTGTAAAAGAGTGGAAAGTCAATTGTTTTTTTAACTTCATGGATTGTAACGTGCTCTTGAGGTCATAGCCCGTCCACCCCACCAGATAGATATCTTCTTCTTCAAGACCACTCACTACCTACTTGCATCCAAAGCAGTGCTTATATCAACAGAATCCATCGATTCTCTGTCTTATTTCTTTAATTACGATCAAGGTAAGTGCTTTCTATATACTTGTTGGCTGACAATGGATAGAAATGCCATCTGAGCCCTCCCCCCTTCCCCTCTGACCCTCCCCATCGACCCTCCCATCGAAAATGCAATTCGCGGACCAGAACGCATCAGAAGGAAGAAACAAAGGCTAAAGCCCCTCTGTGGGCAAGCCAGAAGGAAAGGCTAAAGCCCCTCTGAGGGCAAGCCAGAAGAAACAATCCGTCCTCGACGGTTTGTTCCAAAGAGCCAGGGGCACATCCCCAAGGCTCCGGCTCCTACCACATGCACTCCAGGTGTGCAGACTCCGTCCTCGACGGTTTTTTCCAAAGAGTCAGGGGCACATCCCCAAGGCTCCGGCTCCTATCACAAGCACTCAAAGTGCGGAGACCTCGCTCAACAAGCCTGAAAGCGATATCTTGGAAGTTTGGTGGGCGCTCTATGATCCATACCTAGCTGGAAACGAGCAAGAACTACTACCTAGGTATCTGCTGAGGCCCAAAAGAAGCAAGAATGAACAACTCGGGTAGCTGCATTATAAAAGGTCAATACTCTCAAACGAGCCGACCAGCGCGGAACATAACAAAAGGCCATGGCTCTCAAGAAAGCCGGCCCCAACAGCGACGAGCTTGGACCTCTACGCGGTGCTGTTGACGAGTAGCCTTTAGGTGAAACCAACACAAGCTCATGTCCCTTTTCCTTCATCTGTCCCCTCTTCTAAGATGCGATAGCATGTACAGTAGTCTTTCTGTGAATTCAACTCAAGCTTACATCCCTTTTCCCTCCTCTGTCCCTTCTTCTAAAAATACGATAACATGTATACACCAACATCAGAAAACGGACTATAAGATAGTCAAATACTCAAAGATATTGGTCTAACCAAACTTGTTTTATAACTAACTATATGGTATTTGCCGGTGATGTTTTCTAAAATGCGAAAATCCTACATAGGTGTCGAGAGCGCACTTGAGTGCGGTTGACCACGAGACGAAGTTAGTTTCGCCGGAAAAAAATTGGGACGAGCACTACGAGCTTTGGCTCTACGAAGCTAGAGGTCGAATATGGCATTTTGGAAGGTGAGGTGCGTCAAAGAGAGGCGCACTGGCCGCGTACAAATGTAGGTAGCGGATTTTGAGGTCTGATATAAAAACTGGGACAGAGAAAGATCTGTAGGAAGCGGTGGATCGTTCCATTTCATCGCTTTTCATCTAGTACATATGTAGAGAATCCGGGATCATTTTCTCGAAGCATACTGTGTCCAGTCCAATAGAAATTGCACCCTTATCATTTACTTCACCAAGTTGGTCTGAGGCGCTAGGTAAGCATTCTCTCGTCAAAGGTTATATGTAGAAAAGTCGTTTGCATAAAGTATGCCTTTTACCGCCTTCGTATACACCTAAGAAGATAAAAAGAACATCCAATAAACACATCGGAGGGTTCAAGTTCTTACATATAACACCCCAAATACCACCTTGGTCCAAATAGATCAGATTCTTAAAGTCTTAGGTCGTCAAGGACAGAGGCCGCATAAGGGGCCGACTATTCTTGTTTAATATCAATCTGAATTTCTACTAAGATATCACAGATTCAAGATAATTACCTGATTCAGTGAGCATTCTAGTTACGAAAATAATGTGGTCGAATCCCACAGGTCATCTTTTCCCCTTTTTCTCCCTTTTTTTTTTTTGCCTCATCGTTATGATTGGCTTTTACATTTTTTATGGCAGAGCCCTGGAGGGGTACTCTCCTGGAAATAATATTTGATGTGGGGCAACTGGTTAAATCTTAACTTTTCTTAATTTTTTTTGGAACCTCAATCCTCCAAGTCTCTCTCTGTATCTCTCTCCAGGTCTCTTCATCTCTCCACCTTTGTCGCCTATCTGGCTCCCTCCCCTCGTCTTACGGCCTATTTGCTACGGCAAGGCAAGCTCAAGCTGCCCACAATGGCCCTCATGAACGTCGATCAAGTAACTCCCTCCAAACCGGTTGAAAAGACTCCCGATGTACTCGTGACCCCTTGCGATCCATGGCCTGCGCCTTACTATTTGGATGGTGGTTTCCGTCGTGTCACGCCATACCATTACACCTATAACACCAACTGCAAGGAGCGATGGCGGGGTCGCCAGCTGGTCGAGATCTTCACTTCGGAGTTTCGCGATCGGAAGCCAGAATACTATGTACGTGAATGCGTGGAGACGTGAATCTCCAGATGCAGGAGAATCGCAAACTAACAATCACCAGAGGAAAGCCCTGGAGAATGGCCTTGTACAGGTTAACGGTGTGACAGCCCGCCCCGAAACGACTCTTAAAAACGGCCAGGTCATCTCACACACCCTCCACCGCCACGAACCGCCCGTTACAAGCCTTCCTGTTGGAATCATTCACGAAGACGATGACCTCATGGTCATTGATAAGCCTGCTGGTGTACCAGTGCACGCCGCGGGTCGATACCACTTCAACACCGTCGTCGAAATCCTGCGCTCCGAGCGCAGCTCCGAATGGTTACCTCGCCCATGCAACCGACTTGACCGATTGACATCTGGAATCATGTTCATTGGAAAGCATGCCAAGGGCGCCGAGAAAATGGCCGCCGCGCTCAAGGCCCGGTCCGTACAGAAAGAGTATGTCGCGCGCGTGAAGGGCAAGTTCCCAGACGGCGTAGTTGTCTGCGACCAGCCAATCATGCAGGTTAGCCCGAAGCTGGGTCTCAACCGCGTGCGCGCCACCGGCAAAGAAGCGACAACCAAGTTCCGTCGCTTGGCTTACTACCCTCCCGAGGCAGCAAAGGAGACCGAGTCTTCTAGCGACGACGAGCGTCCCGCTACCCCGCCCGCAACATTCGCCAATGAGTCCGAGGGCTACAGTATTGTGCACTGTTTCCCGCTAACAGGCCGTACCCACCAAATTCGCGTCCACCTCCAGTTCTTGGGCCACCCGATCACCAACGACCCTATCTACTCGAATCGCCGTGTGTTCGGGCCTGATCTTGGCAAAGCCGAGGTGACCGCAGAGCGCGATGAAGAGATTGTCGCGCGGTTGTCTCTCATGGGTAAGACCGAGATCCCTGATACCGTTTCGTACCGCACACACCTGACCGCGGCGCCGAACGTCCCGCCCAATACCGACCCGGTGCTTGTCAACGAGATCATGTACCGTGAGCAGATGGCCGCAGCTGAGGACTACACGAAGCGCAAGGGCGAGCGTCTGTCCGGCAACCTTTGTGAAATCTGCGGCACAGAGCTGTACTCGGACCCGGGTCCCCATGAGCTGGGTATCTTCTTGCATGCTGTTGCGTACTCCGACCGAGATGGTGATTGGGCTTACCGCAGCCCCATGCCTCGCTGGGGCTTGCCTCCTGCGGGCATGGAGGGTCCCCACGGGTGTCCCGCCTGGGTTCCTGCTGCTGAAGGCGAGGAAATTGTCATTGGCCATGGGACTATTCCGGCTGGCTTGGGTGATGATGACCATGCTGCAGATGCAAGGTCTGGCACTGTGCTTCTGGAAGGCGTTGGTCTCGTTAATCTCTCCGAGGCGGCGAGGATGAACGAGTCTGCCGGTGAAGTCACGGAGGAAGCTGCGCCTACGAACTAATGATGTTGTCTTTTAGGGGTTCCTTTCTTGAAAATACCTTCTACCTATATCATATTTCTCGGAATGTCTTTGTCTTTGTTTTGATGATACCACTCTGCTGACTTGCCATGATTAAAAGTTCACGAGCATAGCTTCTTGGTCTTGGTCTTCCATGACATGTCGATACATTGATTTTTGGTCATTATAGATTTGTTGCTTTTAGAAATCTTATAGAGATATGTGCAATCTATCAAAATTCATTCATATAGCATACTACTTGTAGACCCGGAGTTCTATGTATCTGTTTTATATCGGCCCTAGACGTAGTTCGAATGGCTATCCGTTTGAACTTTGGCTTATACTTTGCTAGAGATCATATAGGCACGATACTGTAGGACTTGCTAGCTATTCCATCCCATATATATGTCAAGCACCAGCACTTGGGCCAAAACCAATCACTCGTTCTCCCTGAGATTTCATCCTTGTACTCAAAATGCCACGGACAAAGAGACAAGCCCATACTAATCCCGAATAGGAAGAACTCGGAGGCACCATTCCTCTGAAGAGCAACCAGATTCCCCAGGAAAAGAGATGCTCGCTTGTTGACTCTTGCCTGAATCATTCCTGTTCCCTTCTTTTTAGATGACTTTTTAGATGTCTTTTTTGGTGGTCGTTTTTGGCCGTCTTTTCCAAGGTTGTCTATAAAAGGCACCCACTCACTCGGTCAACCTTAGAATATTCTTCCTACAAGCATCTACCCAATCAATCAGTATCCTTGGCTTGTGGCCCCATCTTTATTTCTTTCTTACACCTTAAAACGGTCCCCCACATTTCGCATTGACTCGCCGTCAAACTTCACGGTACACTTGGTGCCCGTGGTGGCCGCGGGCGTGGGGGCGGCCGCGGTGCTTTCCATGGGGCCCCAAACCCCATCCATCACGGTCACATCCGGGCACTTGAGGGCCTGGACGAAGAACAGGAAGGGCCCGTCGAGGGCCACCAAGAGGCCCCAAATGGCCGAGAGAACGGCCAAGACGAGGGCGGAGATATTCGTACGGTGGAAGAGATTCTAGATGAGGACAAGGTTGATATCGAGATGGACGGGCTAGGTATGTCTCCTTTCCTTTCCTTTCCTCTTCTTATACTTGATACATATCAGGGATCATCCCTATTGAATGATACTTTACTAATATAAAATAATATATAGATAACTTCGAGCCTCGGGTGTTTGAGGATGCTGAAGGAGATGCCGCCGGAGAGGCTTGATTTTGTTCTTTTACTCTTTTTTTTTTGGTTTGTTTTATTATTGATTATTTTGTTCTTCTATTCTTTGTTTTGTTGGTATTGGGTTTTTGTTGTTTTGTTATTGTTCTATTGTGCTTTAATCTTTGTTATTTTGTTCGTCGTTCTTTATTCGTTGTTTGTTGTTCTTCTGTCATTTTGTTGTTCTATGTTCCTTGTTATGCATTGTCATATCTGGCCCTTCAGGAATAGCAGCATACAGAAACTTTTTATATTCTTTAAACGGTTCAAGATAGCTTCAATATGATTCCTGTTTACTTGAGGAATCAAAATCCTCGAGAAACGCCGAGTCTTGATATATTGTCCTTAGAAAATCTCTGAGTCTTGATACTCCCTCCTTTTCCATTTCAACAAATTTGTATAACAACATATTTTTAACTTATTATTTTATTCATGATTTCTTTAAAACTAAGTGATAATATGTTGAAATAGTACACAGAGGAACTATACAGTGTGTAAGGAAATCTTGCAATAGTGCCAGAAATGAAATTGTAAAATTGTCTAATCTCTTCATACATAGAAGCATATTTATAGGTTTCTGCTTCCTCGTAGAAACCCATCAGTACCTCTCCGTCGACGTACACCTTCGGTCTGTGCCTCTCTATTCGATGCACCTCGCCTTTACCTGCTTCATACCTTGTCAATATTTTTCCCTTAAGCAAATATCCTCACCAACGAATATTCTTTGGCCTGCGGGGCTTTTTTTCATTTCTTTCGGAACACCGTGGCAGTGTGCACGTGGCTTCTATGGTGCTTTCTATGACGGAGGGCAACCTTACATTGACTCGCCGTCAAACTTCACTGTACGCCTAGCGCTCGTGGTAACCGTGGCCGTGGGGGCTACCGCGGTGCTTTCCACGGGGCCGAAGCAAGCCCTATCCACCGCTAGTGCCGCCGGCGTCGAGAGAGATGCCATACTGTAAGCTCTATCATATACCAAGATTGAATATGACACTAATAAAAAGAAAAACCAGGCAATGGTTGAACAACGCTGCCAGCAGATATTGAGAAATCTTGGGTTTCTTTATTTCTCTCTTTTATTTTTTTCCTGCCTTTACGTTTAACAATGGCCGATATGCAGGCTTTGGGGGTCTAGGCAACGAGGCTTTGCTTGCTCTAGTTGGTCAGACCTCTCTTTCTAAGGTTGTCTTTATAAAGTATAAAGGCTTTATGGCAATGAGCAGTTTCAATACTCGGATCTTGATTCTTCTTCCTCTCTTGCTCCTAGAAGTGTGTCTTCATTAGCTCTTCCTACCAAAACTCCTCCTCTTTAAACTCAAACCATCATATATATAACACACACTCTACTTTAAATGAAATTGAAGTTCTGAAGTTTCCATTTTCTATTTTCTTTTTTTTACTGCTGATACGTTTGATCATAATGGCCGACACTTAGGCTCGTGCTGGTGAAATATATATAGTCTTATAAAAAGGGATTTTCCGCCGATAGGTTTCTAACAGCTTTATATAACGTCGAGATTAAGTCCCACACTTAATAAGCGGGATAGAGGCTACAGTCGTACAAGTCCTAGAATCCGACCTAAGGGAGTAAGTAAAAGGCTAATATTACCTAGTGTATCTCGGAGTAGCCTTTAGAGGTCGGGATTAAAGGAATGGGTGCTTGGTTCGAACGCGATTATTTTCTACATAGAACAGCTCGAAAAGCTCCACATCCAAGGCGCCGAATTTGAATCCTTACACCCCCAGCATTTTGCTACACAGCTCTCAAAGACCTTGCCTTGCTCAACTGCGATATTTCGGCAGATACACTTGGATGAATCCTCACCTTCCCTAGGGGTCTTACCGACTTCACAATGAAAGACCCATGGCAGGACCCGAGCGGGGACCTATGAGGAAGACTGTGCGCATCTCGACTACTTGAATTGTTCGATATGAGCTCTTTAAAGAGATACTGGACAAATGGGATACGCCCGATCTTGTTCTGTATAGAGATAGCGATGAATTATAAACAAAGGAGATAGAGGCGCGGAGATATTAAATTGTAAGCTTTATCATTTACTAAAATGGCATGTAATACTAATAAAAATTAAACAGCATATCCGGTCTGAATGGATCACGCCTCACGCACACCTATTTCGAGACCAGAATGTTTATTAGAGAGGTAATTCATGGAAGTCGAAAAATTCAAGTTCTTTAAGTTTTATATAGGTCACTATTAAGTCTAGATACTTAAGGAAACTAGATCTAAAACATCCTTCTAAGTCCTATAGAAGTCGAGTAAGTTCAAGTTCTTTAAGTTATATAGAGGTCACTATTAAGTCTAATTCTTCCTGTAGAAGTCGAATAAGTTTAAGTTCTTCAAGCTATATAAGAGGTCACTATTAAGTGTAGATCCTTAAGGAACGACAAACTAGATCTAAAAATACCCGTACTCGCAACTTTGGCCGAGCGGTTAAGGCGCCAGGTTAGTCATCATTTCTTTAAATGAATCTGAATTTCCACTAACCATATCACAGACTCAAGAGTTACCTCTTTCACTGATTCAGTGGAGCATTCTGGTCACGAAAGTGGCGTGGGTTCGATTCCCACAGGTTGCATATCTTTTTTTTATTGAACTATTATAGTTAATAGTTAAGATACAAAATGAGGGAGCATAATTTAAGTATATATTAGGTTGATCTTAAATGTTTTGTACAGAGTAAGTAGGCCATGAAAAAATCGGCGGTGAGCTAGGCGGTCGAGACTACCATAGGAACATCTTGGAGGCGTCCGTTGGCACGTGACCCGAGGGGTGGGTGACAAGGGAGACATGATAAAATGATACTCTGTCTATTACATATAGATTGCTTTTTGCAAGATATTGGTTAATAACTATGGGGGTCAAAAAAAAGATATTGGTGGCAGTGGGTTTCGAACCCACGCCTCTTTCGAGAACAGAATTCTCACTAAATTTAGTGACTTAAGTCTGCGATATAATAGTTAGTGCGAGGCCCGATTAACATCCAGTTCGGATGACGAACCTGCCGCCTTAGACCACTCGGCCATGCCACCAGAAACATTTTTTTTAATTCTTTAAACGGTTTAGAATACTTCGGATGTGCTTTCTGCTAGGGAATGAAAATCCTCGATACACGAAGTCTTAATACTCCCTCCTTTCCCATTTCAACAATTTTATATGATAACGTATTTTAAGTGATTATTTTGTTCATGATTTCTTTAAAACTAAGGGATAATAAATTCAATTTATTTCAATGGTTTGCTAGAAAATCTGGGATGGGAATAACATACCTACAATGTATAAAATCATGTAATGAAATATATAGTTTAATCTACATATAGATAATATCACTCTGCTTTTGCGAATCCAGCTCGCCTGTATCAACCTCCCATGCTTATGCAGCGAGTTGTTCAATGTTCCGAGGCTGCATCTGTGTTTTCCGAAGTGGGAGACGTAGGGACTCTGGCGATATACTCAATTTGCTACCGCCCATAGTCGACCACACACCCAATTCACCACACTCCCAATTCACCACTCTCTCTCATTTCATCACTCTTCCTGATTTCGTCACTCTTTCTCAAGTTACAGTGACCTCCACCCCGGGCTTCTTCTTTTCTCTCGTCCTCAACTGTCTGTCATGAATTGAAGTTTGTTGTACGCGAAACGATGAGAAAACAGGTCGGGTGGCATAATTTTACCTTCATCGCTCGATGTCCATAGGAGCTGTGCCTGTTCACACCATCTAAAATGTTCCAAAAGGCCGGCTCGCGAATACACTTTATCTCGGACGTCAAATGCCCATTTTTCGGGCCCAGTGCCATTCTCGGCACTATTGCCGAGGAGTTTTTTTTCAAGGCTAAGTTGACACCCGACACATGAAATTCCATCTTCGATCTTATCATTTTGTTTATCGTAATATGAAAGCGCGCACGACCCCATAAAGTTGAATTTGTTGTTTCTTTCGGGGTTGGATGGCTGAGCTTGCGTAGGTTCATGCGATTGCCTTTTGGAAGCCAGCATAGCTTGATGAGAAGAAACAATCGCAATACGGCGTTTGTATTTAGATTCCTCCATAGTGTATATTCCAGGCAAGGTCTTAAATGAGGTTAATCGGTCTAATTCAACTTGAGTCAAGTGAAATTGCTTTCGGGCAGAGGCAAGAGTCTGTACTTGGGTTTCTGGAGCCTCTTGGAGGCATTTGAAACAGCACCGTGTCCAGGATGGGAGGGATATGAATCCACCAAATTCGCCACAAAGGGTACAAGCCTTCGTACATAGTGCGTTGTAAAAGTCCAAGAGAGAAATGCGGCTAGCAAGTCGCGTTCGTAACAAGGTGCAGAAAAGGTTCAATCCATGCGTAGCTACCAGTTCATACTGGTTGAGACAGTCTACCATCTTTCTTGACATGCGATTTATTTGTCGAAACTTGAATAGAGACTGCATATCCATGTGGAAAAACGTGTTATACAATAGCTCGAGGGGTAATCGATCGAGGGCCCCGAATCCAGCATTTGCAGTCTGGTCGAAGGGCGTCGCTATTGATGAACGAATCACGAAGTGTTCACGAGGCGAGTACCAAATCACAGCAAGGCAAAAGTCTCTGCGATGGTAGGCGGTGGTTCGAATAATGCCGTCGGCCTGTTCTTCGTCGAAACAGTATGCAGCGGTGGAGCGATATCCAGGGAGCCCGAGAGGAGCCATTATCGAGGTTTGTTGGTACGCGTGGGCGAGAAAGGTCGATCGGCAAGGTTCGTGGCCGGCTCTCCAGCGTGCCTCTATAACCAGTTGAAACCCCGAATTGAGGTACAAGTGTGATATTTTCAATTCAAGCCATGGGGAGAGATCAAGCTAGCTCACCTCCCTTCTGCCTAGCGGAGTGGCAACCTAATAGGCAGCCACTCCTAGTCGAGGTAAATTACTGAGAATGCTCCACCATGTTTGTATTGTTTTTAAGAGAAATCAGAAGGATTTAAAAAATAGAGATCTGCGACGTTTGTTACACTCGACCCTCCCCTCTCTCCACCAGTGGATGGTTTCTCAAGACAAGCCTAGACCGAAGTCTTCCTTGATAAGATCTGCAGCACGCTCAGCCAGCGCGTAAACTGTTGCCATGGTGTTGGCACTGATCTGATCAGGTATTACGCTGCAATCCACAATACGCAAACCTGCAACTCCTTTAACGCGGAGGCGTTCATCGACGACTCGGCCCATTGCGCAGGTTCCCAGGTTATGATTAAACATCATAATATTCCGCCTGATGTACTCTTGTGCTTGTGTTTCATCCTCGAGATCAACATCAGGTGGCGGCGTTACTCTCCGCTTTATTCTCTTGGACAGGTCCTCCCGGAGAAATGCGCGGTTAGCCAACGTCAACCCGGCCGCCAGTATGTTGACGTCGGCCTGGTGTTCTAGAAATGCTAGATCAATACGGGGTTTTTCATCGTAGGAATCTGCTCCAACGGCGGAGGAGGTCACAATGTGCGTGCTACCCCTCGACATGTTGTACACAGAGGCCACGAGCACCGTATAGCAATCGTTGGACCCTGATGGAGGGCCAGCCACCAGCCGACTCTGGTCGCTATGGCCCGCAGATATGTCGAAATTGCAGGGTATCCCAGTCATCTCAATGACTGGGGACTGAGGATCACGTAGCAGACGTATGATACGTTCGCTTTGTTCTCGGTAATATTCCGCCATAGGCGACGCATGGGATGCAACAATCTCATCGATCGTTGAGTTCATCAACGTTTCAGGAACATTTGAGGCATATGGCGCAAAGCCGACCAATCCCGTGATACCGGATAACAGTCCATCTTGCGATTCCAAGAGCCGTTTCACGTTGGCCTCCAAGACATCGGATTTCACAAGAAGCGAATCCAACAACACATGGTCCGGTGCATCTGTCAGTTCGTATGTCACGCAGCTTAAAGGATGTTCCTGAAGGTTTTCGCCAACGCAAGGAAGATCAACCTGACAAGAACACCCGCCGATCGCAAGATCTCAGAATTACCAATTCCTGACAACTCCAGTAGCCGTGGGCTTTGTATCGTGCTAGCGGATAGAATAACCTCATGCTTGGCAAAAATTTCATGCTCACGACCTTCATACCGGAATTTAACCCCTCGAGCACGCACCGGGCATTTGTCCAATAAAATCTGGGTTGCCGAAGCCTCTGTCAGAATCTTCAGATTTGGACGATCTCTGCATAGTTCTAAATAGCCAGTAGCTGCATAGCTCCGTGAAACCTTTCCAAAACGACGATCGACCGTTGATAAATGAGGAGAAAACCCAAGATGTCGGCCGTTGTATGGGTTTTCCAGTTGAGAAGTTCCAGTGACATTGCTCAAGGCTTTCATCACATCCACTTCAATCGCAGGCGTCCAGGTCGGCCACGAGACCTGTATGGGCCCGGAATCACCATGACAGCGAGTGTCCTCGGTGAGGTATTTTGGCCGCTCACGGGAGCCATTGTCCGGCAAAATTGATTCACTCTTCTGGAAGTAAGGGTCCAGCGCTTTCCAAGTCCATCCAGGCGCCTGGGTGGACCAGGAATCGATGTCTTCAGAGGTAGGCCGGACATATGCCATGAAATTGATCCCACTGGAGCCGCCGAGCATCTTCCCCCTTGCTAGATGATGTACAGTATTCGCGTTATTTTTCTGCAGTCACATGAAGGTAAGCGCAGTGCCAACATAACTAAGATATTTGAAGTTCGTACTTGAGGAATGGTCTTGAATGTCCAGTCGTACTCAGGATTGTGGAGTATCTTCCCAAATCCAACTGTACTCTCAACGTCACTTTCACCTAGTTGGGATTTACCAGCTTCAAGGATCCCAACAGTCACTTTTGGATTTTCTGTCAGACGTGCAGCAAGTACCAACCCCGATGTTCCGCCACCCACAATGACATAGTCGACTGGCTCCTGAAGGAAGTATTCAAGTGAAGAAGCATTGTGTTCAACCATGGTGAGTGAGCTCAGAAAAAGGACGTCCTGTGACTGTAGAAAATAGTCGGGAGGGGTCGTTGTGGAAGGTTCGCTCGAAGGTGTGAGGTTCAAATAGTTTTGGCAGAGATGTTGCTATAAGTATTTGTGCCAAATATGCTTAAACACCACCAAGCGGTGTTGGGTGCTCCGCGCAAGTAACTTTACCCTGGCAAGTTTTTCCCGTGAAATATTAATATAGTTTACCAAGCATGGTACTCCTCGGAAGATTGAAACGTATTTTAAATGGTGGTTCTCGTTATTCTGTCAAGTCGATCAACTATGGAGTTTGATGCCCTCGTGTTTGATGACACAGTGACGTCTTCGACATCGGGCACAGAACACTGTTCCCACTTGACAACTATGGCATAGAATGCGGAGCGGATCAATTGCTTGCAAAGTATATAATGAGGAGAGACAAGAAATTTTGAAAAACCAAAAAATGGTGCTCAAAAAACAAAACGAGACATGCGATATAGAGAAATGCAAAAGAAGCCTGATGCAACAAAATTCAATCCACCATATCCGTCAACTCCTAACCAATCTCGTGCTAGTCATAATCGGGAACAAGCCAAGAGAAAAAAAAACAAAAGAGAAAAGGAAAACAAGAGGGAATGTCTATTGCTAATCTAAGTGTGAAGAGGTCATACAGGAGCGAAACATGTGAAACTGATGGCATTTAGACGACCAGGCTCTTTGAAATCAAGCAACTGCAGGGAGCCAAGAATTTTCTGACAGTTTGCCAACCGAACGGTCGCCTTGCTTACTGAATTTGCGTAGAACCTTTCAGTCCCCAGTGACGGTTTTCCTACTGCTACTTCAAATAGTATTCTTACTTGGGGTGTTTCTTACACAAAGTATGCTTTCCCCCCCTTTTTCTGCCCTCTAGCTAACAAACAGAGAAAGGGGAGAGAATATCTATGAAAACAGACATCTGAAAAGACTGAGAGGAATCCGAAAAGACCACCAAAAAAGACATCTAAAAAGACATCTAAAAGACCATCTGAGAAGACTACCGAAAAATATTACCAAGACTCGACACGGCCGCATAAGCGGCCGACTATTCTTGTGTAGGTACATTGGGAGTTGGTCCAATCAGTAATGCTGGGGTATAATTTTCCAACCCTATAACAAGAAATATTATGTTTCAACACTCTATTCACAATAGAATCACTGGATGAGGCCCTGATCTATGTTGTTTTATATTGATTGTTGCCTGAGGCGACGATGAAGTAATCGTCTGTTGGCACTAAACCCAAAAGGGCATTCGTGCAACGTCGACCCTGCCATCTAATCGCGAGCCCTCGAGCCCATTGTTCTTCCATAAATTCCTGGTTTGGGTGTGGTGCTTGTTTTCTGTTCTCTTCATCTGGGGTTGTACCAGTTTGCCTGCTCCGCTTGAGCCACGCTCGTTTCTCAACAGAGGAGCCGATTGACAGCACCGTCCAGCCCACCCTCGACCAACAATCCGGGGTGCAATAGCTCCTCGCAGGGCAAGCCGACTTCAACTTGTGCTAATCTGCTTCCAATGTCCTGACCCCGTCATATAGGACTTGACTACTGCGCTACGAACAGTCAACGGGACTCTCTTTCATCTGAAGGGGATCAGCCTATCGGTCGCCGAGCAGCTCATACGTGGAGGCTAGAGCTATAGGTCTATGGCGGAGAACAAGCGCCAGGTTTCAGTAAAGGCCTCTGCGCAGAAACAATCTGGTAACGCAGTAGGCCCCGGGATGGCGACACCCATCGTGCCCTTGGAGGCAGCACTGAGCGGGGCGATCGGTGCCCGGTGAGTCTTATCTGCTAGCGATGGTGTATACAAAGTCGCAGGCGCTGACTTATTCCGTTCTCGTGTTTTAGCGTGCGTGTTACGACTGCGCAGCCAATCCAATCGATTTTCGAAGGTACACTGTTCACGGCATGCCCGATCACCAATCTCGTGGCCATCAACACGGCCCCCGCACCCAACCCCGAAGACGCAAAACAGGCGCAGAACGGCGACTACCGTGTGATCCCCATCTCGCGCATCCAGAATCTCCAGATCCTCGCCCTCGCCCCGCCCTCGAACTCCAGCTCGTCCTCGTTCACCGATGCACAACCCACCATCCAGGCACTCGACACCCGTGCGCTCAAGGCCCGCGAGTCAAAGGCCATCGGTGAAGCGCTTGACCGTGAGGCGCGTCGTGGTAAGGGCGTCACTACTCAGGCTCAGGACCTGTTCGATGCTTTCAGCCGCACTATGCCTGCGCGATGGAACGGCCACAACATTATCGTCGCCGATGCTGTGACAATTGCTGCTCCTTACCGCGTTGATGATTGTCGCTCGATTGTGGAGGGTGATACGGCTGCTCTTGCTCGAGTGCGCAAGGTGGTAAGTTGCCTAATTATCCTCAGTCATCAGTCGCAAAACAAATAGAGCTAACGCTGTGCAATCTAGCTCGAGATGGAGCGCAAGAAGATTGAACTTCGCAATGCCAGTGCTACCATCGGATCGACTAGCACCTTCTCTCGCCATCCCAGTATCCCCAACGACCAGCGCAAAGGTGGATAATGTGCCAAATCACGCAAATACCAGAAACGCAGTCCTCCGATGAAATTGTGGATAGGGCTGGCGTCAATTCGAGCGTCTTGATGGCGCTTGATCAACAGAGATGGAAATACCCAAGTCAAAAAAGATATTGCAATGGGATAGAGATGATTCGGAAGCGGATCCGACGGCACACTGCGCGTTCTTGATCGCTTGTGTTTGGGGGATGGCCTGCCTTATTAAGAAACTATATGCCGTGGACCAGCTTTCCGCGGGCTTTGCTTGCCATCAAGTTGGACCGTTTGCGTTGCTGCCAACCGATTTGCCTTGTGTCTTGCTTTTGGGCGGGTCGGTGCGCTCAAGACGAGAATACAAGACAATCCATAGTAACCTAGTCAATTGCTTACGACAACACTTTCTTAGGACAATGATATTGCACCCTTCAGCCATTGGAACTTCTGTAAATGTGTCCTATATTGACAACTCCTAGTGACGACGCAGTCCAGATATTGACAAACATGAAAATGAAAAGAAAAACAAACCCGCTATGAACACTGAAAGTAGATGGCTGGTGCTGGGTCAAGGGCTCAAAAAAGAAAAAAAAACGCTCACAAATAATAGAAAAGAACTATGCCATCAATTGCCGTGAGATAATTGCAAGACTTCAGTCTAGCTCTCCGCAACTGGAACTCTCCCAGGAACAACCTCACAGACAGTCCCCACAAACCCTTCTAACCCTGACATTGACGCCGTCCCAGACGCAGAGCTAGAGCCAGGTGCAGATGCTACCGTGGCCCCAGATTGCGAGGCTATGGAGACACCAGGCATAACGAGAACCTGAGACCCAAGTTCCACCCATTCAACAGACGACACCAGCGCAAAGGTAATCTTGACGTCCTCTTTCAGCGCTTCTGCAGAAGAAGCAGCTCCAACAATGGAGGCAGACGAAACGCCAGACATTACTTTGCTGATATCTGTCGCCGAAGGGCGGCGGCGAACTGCATCACCTGCGCCGTCTACGATATTATTTGTTGTAGGATTGCTGTTTGATTTCTCACTAGGAGAATGAGAATCGCCGTCAAAGCTGAAGAATTCGGGTTCCGACGGAGAAGGCGGTTCGGAAGATAGCTCCTCGCCAGTCCCAGTTAACGCCATGCAAATGACCCGGACAGTAGCTCGAATGTTGGCGATGTATGCAATAGCGTTACCGCCAAGCAAGAGTGGAGGTGAATTTGGAGCCGAGAACTCGGTAGATCGGAAGGTGGCAGTAAAGCCTGTGTGGAAGGGTAGCGCTAATAACGAGGAGCCAGGCGAGGTGCCAGGCGAGGACGATAGTGGGGCGTGGAAGTTTGAGAGGATCATGCCCTTGCGGATCCGGCCGAAACGTGGTAGACGGCCATCCTCTGAAATGCCGATGGGTTCAATTCCGATTGTTCCGACTTGGTCTCTGATTAGGCGGCGGACAGGAAGTCGAAGGTCTCTTACACTGACAACGCGGATACGCTGCCATCTTGCTTGTGAATCTTTGCCGGACAATGAGTTCTGCGGGAAGGATGCCGGGAAATCACCCGTCGGGCCGGGCCCACTGCGGGACAGTGACCCTCCGGGTGGTTGGGGCTCATTGCTTTGGTCATTTGGAACGTCCACTAAGATGGGGCCGATGATCATTTCGTCGCCGATGGAAATATTCCCGCGACGGACTAGGCCGCAGAGAACCATGCCGCGATTTTCTTGGCCGCCTTTCTCTGAGTCTAGCGAATAGACTTTGGAGGGAGGGATTGCAAACACTTCATCCACATCAAATATATTGGCGGAGATGTGAGAGGGCATTGGCAGCCCTTTAGGGATGTGGAGAGTTCTCTGAGAGGGTCGTGGGGGAATTGGAAGAGATCGAAGGAAGGCATGGAGTTTTCCAATGCCAGAGCCATCCACGGCACTGGTAAGCATGATAGGTACGGTGTGTGCCCAATTCCCATCAGCTGCCGCGCACACTTTTTGTACTTGGGTGCTGTCCAATGTGCTGACTTGCTGAAGGTCAAGTGGTTTGTCGCCTGCAGGCGATGCAGGTAGCATTGCAGGTTGTCGCCCAGCTGTTTTAAGCGCAGATAGAACTTTTCCAAGATTGTCCCGTAGTCCGCTGCGGGAAGCAACGTCCAATTTGGTAATGACAATCAACACAGGAACCTCTAACTTCAGGCAAAGTTCTAGATATGACAAACACGTATCAATTTCTGATTGTTCAGTTCCGGCCTGTTCGCTGCTGGGTGGCTCAGCGCCACAATTGGCTGGAATGCAAAGCATCACATAATGTGGAGCCCAGCTGACAAGTCCTCGCAGGGTAGATTTCAAATATCGAACAGAGCCGGGTAGATCGGACACAAAAGCCAAACGACCTCCCTTCGAAGCGGCATGAATATCATCCCAGCCGGCAACATTACCAGAAGCGTAGTTGATCACGGTTGGTGGCACCTTCTCCGTGTACCCTATCAGTTCCTGGGCTACCGAACTGGTGATGCCCGATGAGATTTCGTGCCGATGCTTGAGCAGACTCAACCTGCTTTTGCCTCTTCCATTGTCAAGCGCAGACGAAGTCAATGTACCCAGCAAAGAAGTCTTTCCTGCGGTGCTTGGACCTGCGAGAGAAATGCGAATCTGCGCTGTGAGGGAGTAATCCTCGTTCAAGACCGACGTGTTGGCAATTTCTGGGTGTTCATCGGTTTTTGTGTCGTTCTTGGGCTTGATCGGAGAGATATTGTAAAAGTCAAGATCGGGACTAACCAGAGCCTCGGCAACCCAGAGACTTTCGGTGTTGTTTTTAGTTTGGTCCCCAGTTGCAGATGGCAAGTCTTCGACCCATTCACACTTGCCAACCACAACTCGGCGAAGGATCTCAACCTTACACCCAATACTAGCAGCCATAGCCTGTAGATTGGTCATGCTCTCATCCAGCTCATCTTGCGTGAGGCCAACAAAAGTACCATCATCGCCGACACCGATCTCATACAAGGCACCTTGACTCTCCTCAAGACCGGGAAGCAAGCGGGCGGGTTTAGAGGGCACACCCAATTCCAGGGCTGCCTCGGGAAGAACGGGCACCACAAGGTTAGAGGTAGTGGATGAGTGAAAAGGCGAGGACTGTTGCAGACGCCACAATAGCTGAGTAGTCAACCCTTGTAGTCGTTGATGGCGGCTCTGACTAGACTTGGCTTGCATGGGTCTTGGGGCTGGCTCCAAGGCCGGAGAGGCGGGGATAGACGTGCTTGGCATGACGCGGTAATTATGATGGTACGAACCAGCTATTACATGCCCAGTCGACATTGAGATATAGCGGCGCCTGGGTCGAAGCAGAAGGTGCAATTTGTACTCAGTGGGACCCTCTTGGGGCTCGGGCTCCAATTTGGATATTCCATAGTTGGATAACAAGTCAGGGTCGACGCGTAGTAGAGTGGTGCTGGAACGCGTGCGGATAGCTAAACCCCGACTACCAGATGCATTGATTTGAGGAGTCGATGATCCCGAAGTTGACCACGGGGACGACACCCGAGGTGGGTCGGGGTCATAGGTGAAGATGGATGCCATGAGGCACTGTTACAATTCAAACTGGTAACAAAGGTATTGGTAATAAGCACAGATATGGAGATAGATAAAGCAACTCTAAGAAGACTCGAGAAACATAAGGCATTCTTGCAGTAGAATTGAATTGATCTGTGATGCAAGTGGCAGTTTAACTGACTCACAAATGGCACGGGGCAGAAGCATCACGTGGCCGATATTTGTCCGCTATTTATCCTGCGCCAAGAAATGAGTTCTATTAAGACATCAAGCCTTTTCTCTCAGAGAATTTTTTTTGGCTCTAAATACACATGCATAATAAGGAAATCCAGACCTGCTATAGCCGAGCGCCTTCGCTTTAACGCCGAAATCAAAATTGTGCATATGTCGTCTACTCAGCGGATGATTCCCTGCCTGAGCTTTTACACTTGCCCTGCGCAACATGGATATTGCGTGCTGTCGTACGGGTAAATACCGCACCGCATATTGGACATTCGGCCTTAGCCACCACTCCTGACTTTTCTCGCTGGTGGCGGAGGAGATTACTGAATGTTGAGAACTCACGACCATTGCAGCCATGGTCCCAGCATTGTGGTCGCGGGCGCAAGCTGAGTACTCGGACTGGATGGTCAGTATCTGTAGCGGCGGCTGATTCTGGCGAAGAGTACATTGACTCGGGGGCAGTCATCGACGGTGGCTGAGAGCTGATGGAGGCAGGGTGCGATCTAGTGTTTCAGTTTCCGGTCAGTACATTACATTCTTCGGGTTCATCGACTCAACTCACGGAATGGCTGATGTGTCAGGGAAGTAGTAGGCAGGTTGGTTTATCATATAAGGAGGAGGACTACCCATAGAAGTTAGCAACCAGATCTTTGGATCTTTTAAACTTCGGTTCATTCGACATACGACGTCAGGAGAGGCTGCTCGGGCTGAGAAGGAGTGGCCGAAACAGATTGATGGTGGTAGGGACGAGCGATGGGTGGACTGAATTGGAAATGTCAGTCTTTTCCGAGGCCAGGTAATCAATCGGCTTACCTTCGAGGCTGGCTGTGACGGGAAGGATTGCCAGGTGCTGCGAGATAAGAGGCCGGTAATTGATGTTCTTGCTGTTGGTATCCATGCAGCGGCCCATTTGAGTGATTGGGATAACTCATCGGATAGCTCGATGAAGGATATGACGGATGTGAAGATGAAAATGGCGGGCACATTTGTCCTGGTGGTGGTTGCAGAGGCTGATAAGGTCGATTTGTCCACGCATATTCTGACAGCGTCAGTAAACACCTTTTGAAACCACATTTGGATGAACTTCGTACGGTGAGTATTGTGCTGCATTGGGCCAGCAAAATAAGTGTCTGATACTACTGACATGGGGTATGATGAGATGCCAAGGCCGCTGTTGAGGGGATGCCCTAGTCAGCATAGAACCTGGGTCATTTCTCGTGGCGATTTAGCTTGACGTACCGTGGATCTTCTGACCCAATTTCTTCTTTAATAGGAGTTGTGTCCTCAATAGAAGACTGCGCTGTTGACTCTGTGGGTGGATAGTTCGAGCCCAGCAGAGTATGAGGCTGACTTGGGCTGGTATCCAGCGTTGTTGAATGATGCGAGGGAAGTGACAGTGCAAGTCGTTGTGTTGATTGCGAACCGCTTTGCACAGCACAAATAGAACTCTGAATGTGCTGAATGTGCTGAATGGGCAAGTGAGAGTCTGATCCAGGAAGAACGCTTTGTGAAAAGTCGGGAGTTTCCACTGACTGGACTAGTGGAGACGAAAGCCCAACGTTCGATTGCGAGTCCGAAACTTTGGGCAGATTTGATTGATACCTGCGGGAAGAAAATGGTTGCTGTGAGCCAGATCCTCCGGGAGACATTAGGAACTATATAGGTCCCAGACCTGTGAGATTGCAATCACTGCGGTAGGGGGTGGGAGGGGGCCAAGATCAAGTATAAGGGGAAAAGCGGCACACATAAGAGGAAGTCAACATACAGTTTGGTATCCCGGTCCGAGTATTCCCTCGATATGGGCAAATCAAAAGCTTTTTTGAGGATTTCAATTGGGGGCACGGAACGGGCGCGATGAAGTATTTTAAAGCTCCTATCCAGCAACGGGTGTTTCCTAGTGACCCCCGCAATCGTTTTATGATCTGAAAGGTCCCGTTTGGGTAGCGTTGCTGGCCCACAAGTTCAGAAACCAACACCAACTTCGAGATTTCTTGTGCGCCACTCTGCATCGATCAGTGCCGAGTCTACTAAAATGTACCCTGCCCACTACCCGCGTGTTCACCGTCTCAATTGCATCTATGATAGAAGATAGTTGGCTGTCTGACCCGTAAGAAGCCCAGTGAGAAAAGAAAAAGAAAAAGAAAAAGAAAAAGAAAAAGAAAATAAATAGATCTTCAAATGAGGTGGGCCGATGGGAACTATCACGAGCAGAGTCGGACTTTTGACCCCCACAAATGACGGGTACAACATAGGATATGCGGGAAAAGGATTCGGGACTGGTTCGACGGGGGCCATAGTCTGTACAGTAATGATACTACTAAACAGGGGAGATGACAATCTTGGCCTGGGCATTGAATTCTAGCCCCATTATAGTAAATGGGGGCGGATTGGGGGCCATGACGCTCTCCGTAGTCTAGCGTGTGGCTAGATACTCCGAAATTCCACCTGTTCAATTGGAAAAGAAAAGGGAAAATTGGAAATACGAAAAAACTGCTCAATAACTCGCTTGAAGTCAAGAGTTCCACCATCCCCGGCCCGATGCTTGCCCCCCCTATCAGTCTTGGCCCCCACAAAACGCGCCGTTGGAAAAAAAAAAAAAAGAGTTTACATTGATTATGAACCATACCTATCTAGGAGAACCACCATAGTTAGTTGTAATGGAGACTAGTATACAGTAATTTGTTCTCTTTTAAAAAGAAGAGCCTAAAAAGTACCAAAGTCCCCATCTAGGTAAATGATATCGTAGTATTTAAACGCCCCTAGGCAAATGCTAAGTTTTCAGCCCCAGATAATCCCGTTCTAGGGTAGGGATATGTACAGTAGGGTCCGGCTGTCGGATCGTTTTTAGCTCCGATATACTCCCAAGGTTCGCTGTACTGGTATTATAGGCCTTGGATCGACGAATATCGGGAATCTTGGGGGTAACTATTATAGGCAGCCGTGTATCAAAATGGCAAAGCTGTAAGTAATGGTGGAGCTTGTCACAGAAAAACACAGCCAAGACTAGTTGTAATTTGCCAGGATCATGATATGCTGTTCTCTGATTTAGCGCCCTAGAAATTTGTCACTTCCCGAAACTACTTCGGACTGGGGTGCTTGTCAAAAAAAATCCAATCGCCCCTAGGGCCAGGCACGGTCATGATCGGCTCACTCCACAGGGGATCCGCAGTTGTATCACTTTGCTTCAAGACATGTGGTTTCTGCTAATGCACGGTTGATCATTTGTGCCTCGTGGCCGATTACGGAGTAGGAAATAAGGCCATGTTCTAAACCCTCTTTTTTAAAGCTGCGACAAACGACGATCATTACAACATAGGTTCTTGGGTTTGGAACTAACACTGTTGTGAGGATAGACTTGACCAGGAAAGGCCTTACCCAACCCCTTCAATACCGCCCTATTTTACATTGATTCGGTTTCTTTTGCTGCATCCTTGGGGCTTTGGGGCCGATTTACATTTGGATGGTCTCATCTACTTTTACAAGGTTGTACTATTCAGTACACCCTGCTCACATTCTTGAAGTAGGTTATAATGTCGGATTGAGGCTGTGCTATTGGATGAAACAATCGGTCATTGCTGTCTCATCCTGCTAGTATAAATCGTAAGCCTACCGAAAGCCCTTTAGTCATTTTGTCCACAAGAGAGAACGGACTTGACAATCATCGTATACCGAGCCTTGGCACACCCATTTATTGTGTGAGTTCCTGGGATTTCTCCCAAAACAAAATAATCAAGAGGTGAAGTGATGGGGGCCGTCAGGACTGCAGATATGCTCCGCTGCACATATCACTCTGCCCAAATTCAGGTCAACAACCGAGGCACAGCAAGGAAAATACAATCATAGCATTCTCACTGATCTCACCTTGGCACACCGCTCACCTGCATATCAAGTGCGAAGGCATGAAAGCCGTTAGAGCTTATGGGGGATTTCCGAGTGCGAGACACGTTGGAGCTCGCTACTTTCGGTCACATTGCCTGCTGGGGAGGAACAAAGGTCCCATTTTACTTAGAGGCCTAGAAACGAGTCAACATTTCTCAACATTTGGACTGGTGGAAGATTGGTCTGGGTTGAACATGTCTCAGACGATCAGAACTAGTAGTTCGTTGAAGATGACTCAATGCTGGTGAATCTAAGGTGGTGTCATTATTTTTGTTATTTCAATAAAATTGTCTAACACAAAATTTGCTTATTGTAGCGAAGGTCGAATATGTGTTGAACGAAATCCGCAACATCAAGACGATGTGAAATTTAAATCACGTGACCGATCTCACCTGATCAGATCTTCTCTGACTCTGTGGACCAACAGCATCATCAAAACCAACGCGTTTTTTGTCCCCACAATCTCTAGCTATCTGCTGGTGTCTTTACCATTTATTAAATCGAGACCATCCTCAGCTTGCAGCTTACTGATCCATCATGAAACTCGTCCGGTATGTGATCACCTTCATTGTGCGCGGCAATCACCAACTCCGCTAGACGCACCAAGCACCATCAAACCCACTCCTGCTGACATCCAATGATCCTTTTAGCTTTTTGATGAAATGCGCCAATGAGACGGTGACCGTTGAGCTGAAGAATGGTGAGAACCCCCGCGCAATCCCCGCAAACCCCAACCTAAAGTGCCCTCGAATATGGCAATCCTCGAAATAGGCGAAAGAACTGTGTTCTCTAACTTGAGTTTCTCATCTAGGCACAATCCTTCATGGCACTATTGTGTCTGTCTCTCCTCAGATGAACACCTCTCTCCGGGCTGTCAAGATGACCCCCAAGGGCCGTGACCCCGTTTCTCTCGACACCATCAACATCCGCGGATCCACGATTCGCTATTATATTCTCCCCGACAGTCTTCCACTTGATACCCTCCTCGTCGACGATGCACCCAAGCCCAAGAACAAGGCCCGCAAGGAGACAGACCGTGGTCGCGGTGGTGGCCGTGGCGGACCACGAGGCCGTGGAGGGCGCGGAGGTCCCCCCGCGGTCGTGGTCGCGGACGTGGATTCTAGATTTTCTGTTTTCTTCTGAGAGAACAACCCGGCGTTTGTTTCTGTCTTCGAAATTCGGTTTGATTTTGCATCATATGGGATACAATCTGTTGTCCCTTCTTTCTACTACCCAGGCCAGGGGTCCCGATTTGGATGGTGGGTGACATACTGAAAAAATTAAGCAATTTTACCGGGGAATTTTCCCCCCACTCTCAATTTGCGCTTCTCGATATCATGTGCTCAGAGTTGTAAGGCTTTGGGCAGAAAAAGTAGCTGAACATTAGCTATCAAAAGTACTGTGGAATCACCCGAGAGATGGATATATACGACCCGGCTGTGATTAGATCCACCTTCTTTCCCTTCTCCAATGCATGATTCTGCGTCATGTGAGTGCGAAGAGCAACAATGGCCGTATACCAAGGGAGACTTTGGTGCCTGGAAAGGCAACTCAACATGATCTAGGCCACAGCAATATCGAAACAGATGTCGGAAAACATCATACAATTTTGTGAACACATAAATCGTAGGTGTGTTCAATTTTCATAGGCCCAGGGCTATTCTAAACATGTATTGTAATTCTTGTGTCTTCTAACGTCTTCCCTCTTTCCGTTGGACTCTCCAAAGACTCGGACACGGCGATTGCAGAATCTCACACAGCGCATCCGAGATTGGTAATTCAGGCCGAGACATATTACTAAAAAGCACCTGAGATATATGTACCATTTGGCTTTGGAGTTCTCGCTTAAAACACCCATATTCAGGCCTTGCTCTCGAAAAGACCACATAAGATATTACTCTTCCCGGCAACTTGTTAGCAAATCTAGTATCAAAATGTCGTACGTCAAATTAAAGGTAATATTACTCTGAGACCACGACTTGCCCAAATAGGTAGGTAATTAGGGACACCACATGGGTTATTGCCGACGTTCGTGATCGCTGGTTTTCGCTCCGGTGATCTGCGTCTAAAAGGGAGGATTTAAGACATGAAAAAAGCCTATCTCAGTGGGACCAGACCAGGGGGAGAAACTGTAAGTGAGCGGAAATGATAATTTTTTTAACAATAATAATAATAATATGAGACATGAGTGTCTACTCCGTACTCAATACTCAATACTCAATACTCGCAACAGCCTTCAGCCAATGCTACAAAATCATCATGCCACGAGGTAATCTTCACATGTCTGGGATTTTCGAGGTTTGGAACAGATGAGCGATCCTGAGACCCTTGCCAAGATGTCTCTAAATGTTTTTGGTATTTCAAAATACCGGAACAGGGTTCCCGAACTATTTGGATCAATAAGGCTGTCACCGTAGTCTCCTTCTAGCTAGAGGGACCAGAGCCTGTTGATCCAGCACTTTAGACCAACACTGTTTCTGGTTAAACGTTCTCAAGTGCAGTTCTGCCAAGGCTTTTTATAGTGGCTGGCCGATAAGGACCTTCTCTTTAGGGGTTCGAGTGAATCATCCCGTGTACATAGCTCGATCAAGACGTTTCGGTTTTAGTTTCCGAAACCCGGCTTGGAGGAAGGGATTAATTAGGATTCGGAATATTGCGAAATTGGCGAAATCTACGATGTACAAAGTACTGCTGACGTATGTTCTTCTATCGTCTTTCTGTATACTCCGTACTCCGTACAAGTAGGTATGGGAGTCACATAACTATATAGTCGTATTTTCAAGCATTGATTTATTGTTTAGCTCTGATATGATATTTTTTTTTTTTGTGATTGGGGGACGTTATTTCCAATTAGCTCCTCAGACGATATGATATCCCAAAGATAACCTAACCTATGCCCAAGCCGTCTAGGGTTCATTTCTTGCTAATTCCGTACAAATTCAGTAAATGTTTCTAATAATTCACAATCATCTTCCCATAATCTTCGCTAGTATACATGTAACACTGTGCTGACCCGCCCATAGCACGAAACCGCCGATCTCAATGAGTATGACAACCGCCCCTGTACTCCGTACGTTGGAGTAGGTAGCATATCAAGCGTCTTTACGGAGTACTCGTTCGACGTCCCCGGCTTGGCCCCGTTTTGTTTTAGGGACGTGGGGGCCATAAAAGGGGGATTCCGATTGTCGATCGTTCTCGATCAATCCTCGATCTGCTCACACTCTGTTAAATTTTTCATATATGAGAAGGTGGTCTACGGAGTACTCGAAATGGAGACATTGAAATAATCTGATGATTGATGGGTGCAATGGATGTTGAAGGAAGACAAATCCATCTGGGCATGCTATGAAAATTGGATGATCTACCTAGTAATATGACAGCTGCCCACGTGGGCACGTGGAGACTCATTGAGTTGTGGGGTCTGGATATTTCACTGAAGTCTGCAACTCGTTTATGCTTTTATTCTCTAAAGAAGGCAGTGGGGACTTAATTAGACAGGGAACCAATTGCATTTTTGATGTCGCATATGCAATGCCAAATAAATTGCGACTAATAGCATGATATAGTCCTGAGTAAAAGGAGGTCCGAATTAGGAAAATGGTTTGCCGACCCACATCTATGGCTTGTTGTTCGTATCCTACAGAGTCTGTCGCTTGATTACAAAAAGTCCACAGGATTTGACAAACTCACGAGCAAACATGGGATGAAGATGAGGGGCAACAACACAATCGTGGCCCACTGGCCAATACGACCTGGAAAAAACGACGCCTAGGAGGTGTTCGATATCCTCGAGGCAACCGGCGCCACTGGCTGTGAGCGCTACGTCGAGTGGGAATGGGTATGATTATTTTCACAATTGTGAACTACAAGCAATTAGTTGCTGGGTGTGTATGTATCTGATTTTTTTTGGTTGCTGTTCATCATTTCACAAATGGTATCATCGTTGTTCAATTATCTATGTATATTCATCATGAGCTATCCTCTCTCCATATCCTCACAATAACCAATTTCTCCCACCCAGCCTGCATCCCACTCGACCCCGCCGCCTCAGCCTGCCAACCACCCCAGCCACGAATGCGCTCCATAACCTCATCAGGCCGATTCTGCTTGCAGAGTAAGACATAAGCCACACCACGCACAGACAGAACCCCAGGAATAGCATCAAGCAGTCTATCCGTAGTTTCCATACCATCCGCTCCGCCCGCGTACGTCAACGACAAGAAGTACGAGTCATTATCGAACTTGGCAGAGCGAGACATGGCTTCTGAAACAGCAGGGTCATTTTCCGCCGCAGAAGGCAGACGCGGTAGATCCTCAGTCGGAACATAGGGTGGGTTGAAGAGGAGGACATCAACGCTGCCAGGGCGAAGAGGCGCACAAAGATCGGCTGTCAATGAAGAGATGTGAACTGATTGAGGAGACGGCTGTTGCTCTGCTTGGATGGCTGTCGTTGCGGTCTTCTGCGTTGCGATGCAAGCATTGCGGTTCACATCAGTGCCTAGTGTGAGAATATCGCGTCGGCCGAAGATCTGTTGAGATTGTGCGGCTGTGAAAGCTAGCACAACGCCAGAGCCTGTGCCTACTTCGACGACTAGTGGTGATGCCTCTTTCTTTGGGAATCGTTCAGAGAGCCATTTTGATTCGGATGCTGATGACAATGTGTCTAGGAAGAGGTATGAGTCCTCGGATGGCTCGTAGATGGTGTCAAAGGACACATGTGAAGTATCTGGCGTGGGAAGCATGGTGTGTATGTTTAATAAAACCAAGTCGCTTTTCAAAATTTGAAGTTTATCGTCTTTTGAGATAGTGGGGTTATCTCGAAATTATATGTTGTAGAACGCGCGAGCTTGGCCTGAGATGATCACAAATTTCAGGAAAGAAAGCATCAATGCATTCAAGTGGAATATATGAACCAATGGATATAATAAGAAAAAGATATCAGCAAATGGTAGAGAAGGAAATAAAATCAGGCTAAATCTTCAATCCCGAGACATCCCGACCCGTTGATTCGCGCGTTCTCCTCGCCGCCTTTGCCTCGAAAATCCCCGGAAATTATGTCATTCCCCCGATCTTCCAATCTTCCCTGAAATCACCTCCCCGAATATTCAAGATGCGCATTGCTCAGCGTTTACTCATGGCCACTCCGGCCTCGATCGGCTCGAAGTCCAGCCTCAGCGAGGCTCTCGCTCTCCTCCCGCCGCTGCAGCTTTACCGGCGCATTCTACGCGTCCATCGCAAACTTGATCCCGAGATGCGCGTCTTGGGCGATTCTTATGTGAAGAATGAGTTCCGTGCGCATCGGAGTGTCGAGAACCCATTGCATATTGTATGTTTGATCTTGTTTGAGTTAGTGTGGTTATACCGAGTTGAAGTACAGGGGAGGCATAGCGGAAGGGAAAGGGCTTGTTGAGGCAGTCACTAACATTGGCAATGATAGATCGGGTTCTTGACTGAGTGGCAGCTATATGCACAGAAGTTGGAGGGTGATCAATGGGCAGGAGATAAGTTGGATCAGGCCAAGTTGGATAAGATGAGTGGTATGTTCTTGACTGTTGTTTCGACTCTGTCTCGCTCGATCAAATTGCTAAACGTTGGTTTTCATTGCAGATCAGCAACTTGGACAGTTACTCGAGCTTATGCAGGCTCTAAGGAAAGAGGGAGAAGGAGAGGGTCAATGAGTTCTCTCTTGATACATTGGACCGAGGTCGATACTACCACCCCGAGAGTTGGTGATATGAACTTCAAACAATGAGGTCGTGGCTGCCCCATCAATCTGAACTGATCCTCGGGTGCAGAATGTTTGATCTCAGGGCAGTCAGGGCTTGCATGGCAGGGTTATGCTGGGAGATGCAGGCATCTCTCATCCGCCCACCAGCCCATATGTATATACTAGGTGTAGGAATAGAAGAGACGAGGCTTTCACTTGATTTAACAGGCTTAACGATTCAGGTCGGCAACTAAGTTATGGAGTATTGTCTTTGACTACGCTTGGGAACCTTATATTGTAGATGCGGAACAACTCCGAGAGATACCTGGGCATGGTTTGCATGTCCAGGGACATTGACGCTAAGGTGACCCCCCTCCATGCAGAAAAAGCAATTTCAGCCTTAGATCCATCTATCATGTTCTAGCACATAGTATCGGAACCAGAAAATGAAAATCAAACCATGTACTCCAACATCAGTGGAGAACGCCTTATCAATGACAAGCTGACTCATGCAAAATCGGCTGCCGGTGCCGGTATGGAGATGGAGAAGAGGGTATATCAATCGTCAAATTCCCTCTAACCACTTTGCAATTGTCCAATTAACACTCTATCACACCTCATACTTATCCCCAAACCCCTCTCAACCCATACATCCTAAAAGCACCTCCCCCATTCACCCAAAATGCCCTCCATTCTGGAAGACCCCTCGACCCGCAATCCCCCACCAAAAGCACACACAGATGCAGCGCCAACCCTAACAGCGAGGAAAATAACCCTCCCCAAGTCCTCCTCCGCGCCAATGACGCTCTATCCCATCGCAGGAGGACCGCAAACTGTTCCAAAGGACCTGATCACATTCCTACATGAGGAGTTCACCGCGGAGATCCTCCGTGGCGGGACGTACCCGATGGAGCAACCGATGGCGCTGGACCTATTCGCTGACTATTGGTTCGGGACGTTTGCGGTTTTGGCGATCTTGGACGATGAGGGCGAGGGCTTAAGGGAGGGGAGGAACTGGGAGAGTGTTTGTATGGGGACTTTTTATATCAAGCCTAACTATCCTGGTATGTGGTTTTCCATCATGTTCGGATTGAAATCCATTTCTATAGGAATAAAACACTAACTCCAATAGGCCGCTGCTCCCATATCTGCAATGCAGGCTTCCTCACCACCACTGCCGCACGCGGCAAGGGTGTCGGACAGGCTATGGGCGAAGCCTACCTGGAATTTGCCCCGAGATTGGTACGACTTGCCCGGGCTTTGCACTTAACAGCCGTTGCTCACCAAGCATATAACATACAACATGCGTGACTAACTCTTTTGGTAGGGGTACACATACTCAGTGTTCAACCTGGTCTTCGCCAATAACCCGGCCTCCATCCGCATCTGGGAGAAGCTAGGGTTTAACGTTATCGGACGGGTTCCCAAGGCTGCGCGGTTGGCGAATAGCGAGGACTTGGTGGATGCATTGATTTTCGGGCGAGAGCTGGGAAATTAAAATGGCAAGTTTCGGTTTCAGTTTGAGATGTGCATTTATGTTTCAGATATGAAGAATTGCCGTTTCAAGTATATAGGATCGTGTTGTTACGAATGATGAACATACTACGATGAACCAGCATTATCAACAAAAACTATGACAAAAACTTGCCCGGGAAACGAGTAATGTCATTTTCCAAGACCAAAGGCAGGCAAAACTAGATAAAACTACAAGGAATAATATTCACAGGGAAGAGAAGCGGATGGTAATCAATGAGAATCAAAGGAGAAAATAACTGGGAAATAGATGACCCCAACGCTCAGACCATACCATGCAAACAATAGGGATATCACGCAAAACCTGACTTGTCAAGTTGATGGCTCCGCTTCACACTGACTGAACGAAATCGAGATCGAACCGAGGAGGAAGGGGTGTAATGCACAAGTAAAAAAACATAGATAGAACATAGATAGAACAAGGTCGTAGAAGTGTAGATAGAAATCGGACGGTAACGAGAATAGAATGCGAAAGAGGGGGAGAAGGTGATGAGGACTATAGGTGACAACAGGAGGTGTAGCTAGAGAACGGTGCGAAATATACAACCCAGTTGCCATTAGCGCCACCGTGGACGCGTGTCCACCGGTTTCGGGGCTGTCTGCTCTTTCTCCATTCGCTTGGGAAGTGGGAGTAGACTGGTTCGCCTGTTGGTAGAATGGCCTAGCGCTGTACCTGGTCGTGACGATTTGCTTGGGCTCTCCATCCCACCTGGAGCCCCTGCCACACTTCGACTGAAAGCCGTGGGCGGGCCCGCAAAGCTCTGGCGACTGCGAGGTGTGTTTTGGATCCCCGATTGTCGATGGAGTCGGCTGTACGGCGGTGGATCGAGGAGCGAGGACCGTGCCGGTGTGGGAGAGGACACATTCCGATTGGGACTTCGAGAACCAAACCGGCTCGAGACGCGACTGGTTGATCGAAGACCGCCGGGAATCGGTGATGCAGACGTCTCTCGTCGGAGAGAGTTGGGGAATGGAATTGTTGATGATGGCCGGGGTGTGCGGGCGAGTGGTGCGGATGACTTCCGCAGTGTCGAGTTGTAACTAGTAGCCGTGTCATTCAGGTTCGTACTGGTGGTCCAGCGTGGGCGATTGGGAATTGAAGATGGCGCCGCTGGTGTACGAGAACGAGCAGCCGGGGTCGGTGTGAAGTAGTTTGATGAGGATCTGTAGGATGGAGTAGGAGACACAAGGCCCGTCGGTTGGGGAATTCCGGACTTTCGACCGGTGTAAGGTGCCGTGGCCTGCGGCAAGCTGGAATAACGACGGTTTGGGGGCATAGTCGAGCGGGCTGTGGCACTCCCGACTGAACTTTCGCGACGGCTTGAGCCGCCCATGGGCGTTGAGGCGCGCTTGTACCCGTTGCCGGTCATGACGACTGAGGACGCTGGCGAGCTTCCTGGGGTCTCGATGGCACTGCCTGTGGCTGGACTGTCCATGGTGAGGATGCTGGAGATTGAGTCTCGTAGCTGGTGGCCCTTGGTAATGTGCACATCTTCGAGAGATGTATCCATTACCTTAGTGCTAGCCTTGAGAGCATCCGTTCGGGATGTCATGTCGGATAGCAGACGCAGAATCTCACCATTGACAGTCAATCGGTCGTTGACACCCTTTTGAATGATGGAAACCACACGCTGAATAGCAGGAACATAATGCATTTTCTTCGCCTCATAGTTTTCAATGAGCTTGGTCAGCGTTGACGGGTTATGCACCTGCATGCCGCTTTCCAGCCCTTCTTGTAGCTTTCCAATGCTGCGTTCAACCGATTGAAACATCTTTTGTGCCTGAGCCCCAGCATTGCGGAAAACCAGAATCCACTTGTCCTCTGCCAACTCCTTCAAGAGAGCTTCAGCATCGGTCTCAAGAACTTTATAGCTCTTCTCCAAGCGATTTCGTCTGTCCTCAATCTCCTCACACGCACTCGGGAAAATGCTTTCAGCGCGTCCCTGGAACATTGATAGTCGCATGGGCAAAAACTCCAACGATGCCTTCAATGGCTGCATGCGTGCAAAAATAGCCATGAGGTTAGAGTGACTCGTATCATCCTGCGGTGTTTTGATAACGGGAGTGTCAGACGCCGAGGCCAAGAGAGGTCCAATACTCAGACGGTTCTGCGAATGTCCGCGGCCCTTGGTGGGAGACTCTTCCACAATCGTCTCTAGCTCATTGATGTCAAGCCCGCCACTGGTATCGCTCGTGTCCATCAACGCCTGATGCCTCTTCTCTTCCATCTCAAATATCAGCCCACTCAAGTTGTCAACTTCCACACCCACATCACCCAAAACGTTCGACCAAAGCTCTTCCCACTCCATTGCCAACTCGACTTGCTCTTTTACACCTTTCAGCTTTTTCTTGATCTGAGTCCAGTTTTGCAGAATGCTCTCCATCTGGCTCACGATAGTTTTCAAGCTATCCACGTCCACATTGGCAATGTCGTTTCGAAGTTGGACATTCTCAATAGCCCTAACGTACACATTGACCAGGGACTCGAACCGTGTGATTGCTTTATCGACTTCGTCTAGCCCCTCCCGGCCACCAGCTGCAGCCCATTCCACGTCATCTTCAGAATCCAAGCCGCTCAGCACATCTGAGGCCTTCTTGATCCAAATCCGAATTTGCTCTGCGGCGCCGTTCAACGCCCGGACTGCCGCCAAAGCTGTGGAAATGTTTTCGATGCTTGCCTCGAGCGAGGCTGGTTGTGGGAGGGGAATGGAGGTCAGCTGCGAGAGCTGGTTGCTGAAAGATGCACGGGAGAAAGAGTATATTGAGTCTGCGCGCTGCAAATCCATTGGGTTGAAATACGATTGCGAGTTTGAGTTGGATGAAGAGCGCGAGTGCACGGCGTCGGTGGGAGGTGAGTCTTTGGGAGGGGGTTTCGGGGCGGACTGCTCTTCAGCGGACCGTTCTTCTCTTCGTGCGGTATCATCGACATATTTTTCGAAGTCGGTCCGGTCATCTTGAACGTCGTTGGAAGGTTCGGGGTTCGACATCGGGGCTGCGCGCAGCCGCGCGAGAACCGGCTCTGCGACAGACATGGGCGTGGGTGGGCTGATGTGTTCCGCGGGCTGGGCAGTCGCCGGAACAACTGTGGTGGCCGGAGTGGGCAGTTCAGGTCCGTCCACGACTGCTTCGGATGACTCCGGGGTTTCTCTTCGCGCGTCTGCAATCTCTTGGAGGATATTTTGGTGGGGTAGCTCGAGCTGGTTCGATGCGCTCCGCTTGAACTCCTGGGTTTGTCCGGGCGATATGTTTGTACGATTCCACGCCTGGCCTTTCCTCTTTACCTTGATCGACAGGTCTTGGTGAAGATTGTCAAGCTCCTTCAGGTGCTCTTCGGGGATCCGACCGACTGCATTGGCATGCCGGTTCTGCGCTGCGGACTTATTGCTGCTGTCCAGCAGCTTGACCCGAGCTGCGAGGGCGGGAGAAAGTCGGCGGAGGATGGATGTTCGGCCGGCGCTGGTCGGCTCAACTGGGACAGGTTCTTCTTCGTTGTTGCTGCTCCCTAGACTCCACAGGGATGATTTGGACTTCAGGCGTCGGAGGGTGGAGGCGCCGGAGTCATTTGGAGAGACGGAGAGCGCGGGGGTGAGCGACGGGGGAGATGTTGGGGTTGTGGATGTGTTGGGGGGATGCGGCGCGAGGTCGGTCGCAAGAGTTGGACTGTCGGCTGTGGCATGCATGGAGACAGGCCCTGGGGGGATTGAAAGAGCAAAAGGACCAAAGGATGTGGTTCAGACAGGGATACAAGGAATGTTTCGTGTTGTTCGGCGCTCGGTAATAGGGACTCCCTTTTTCACGGTTTAAGGCTGGCTTTTTTTTGGCTGTTCAAAGGGTCAGAGAGAAATGCTGCTACATGACAAGAATTAATAGAGGTTCTAGATGCAAAGTCTCATGAACTTGGGGGAGATATCGGGCAGCAACCTTTAAAACAAATGAAAAGAGGGATAAGGTGGCTAGTATGGGCCATTTACTCTGCAGAATGGGTACCTCCAGCCCCGTACTACTAACTATGGGGCCGGATGTACCTCATCGGTATGTAATTCAAGGGGATCAGCGAGATGAAATCATTTCACTTTGGTTTCATTTTGTGCTCTTTGTTTTCTTTATCTCAATGGTTTCGGTTGAACGGCATTCGCTGTTTCTGCTAGCACATTAGGCCTGTATGAATATCAATCTAACTCTTAACTATGTTGTACGTGGACTGCACACCCTCTGTGCACGAGGTTGTCGATCAGGTCAAAGTGCTAGACGCGTTAATTAGAAATTAATGCCTAAGTAAGTTAGTCGCTTCTTTGTATATTCGGATCAGCAACCGTATATCCTAACGCGGACTGAACACAACGGTAAGACACTAGGGGATGAATGTTCAAAGCTTCAATCCGATGATGATGCATATACGCGTCTATAGAATGAAACACGAGTGATGAGATGTACAATAAATACAATTCTAAAAGAGACCAATAATCAAGAAAAACCAAAATATGCAGAGGCGGGCAGAACAGTCGGCGACAATTCAGGGGTATCTTATCAAGTGCCCATAAAGATATCAAAACGAAAAAAGAAACAATCGAGAAGTAAACATGAACTTCTAACACTTCAATACTTCAAACACTGCCCTCAAATCAACCCAGCACTCGGAGGTCGCCCAGGGTTAGCCGCCTGCCAATCGCGCACCAGTTCTTCACGAACAGTTTTGCACCAAGCCAGCAGTGCAGTATCGAACCGCTTCCAAGCGGTAGTGCCACTATTCTGTACAACCCCCATAACATCAACATCCAGCCGGAGCTCCCACCGGAGTTGTGCAGCTTTTACCCAGAACTGAAGATTCTCAGTCTGCCGGTACGGCTTGGCAATGTCCAAGTGGTAAGCCGTGATCTCGCCGAATTGGCGTTTCGACTTCTTGATCGCAAGGTTGTGTAACTGAACCAGGGCACGGCCGTCCCGGAACCTATCAAGAAACGCGGTGGGAAGGGAGTCACCGGGAGTCTCCTCAACCGGTGTCCAAGTCGGCAAGGAGTCACCGCCAGGCAACAGACTGCGTAGGAAGGACTCCTCGCGTGAGCGCTCACGACCTCTCCAATCGCCAGCGGCCCAGTCCCAGTTCTGCCGCTCTTGGGCTTCGAGGTCTTCCAGCGTTTTCTCGCGGACTAGCATGGTGCGCACAGCCGCGATCCACCCCTGAATCCGTCCACGTTCCTCCTCGCGCAGACCGCTGGCAAAATGCCGTGCAGCCCACCGCTTCAGAACTTCCAGAACGTCGAAAAGTTCCTTGCGGATCTCCCGTTCGCTCTTTATTGATGCTAAGCGCTCTGGGTTCTCGTGCGTGGTATAGTAGATCTTGGCTGCACGAATTGCGTTTGTAACATCGTCCAGGATGCACATGCCTTGCGCCTCTTCCTTATTCATTGGGGTCGGGGCCTGCCCGGTTTGATCATCCTCGTTTGCCTCGGTGATATCACCTGGAGAAAGACTCGATCGGATGATTGGGCGGGGAGGAGGCTCCGCGCCATTTTCAATTGCCTCGATATTAGTCTCTGCCTTATCTAGCGCGAGCGTAAGCTGCCGGCGCAAGAAAATCAGATCTGGCGGAGGGGGGATGTGGTGCGTTTTGATGCTGTATGTGCTGACTGTAGGTGGCAGCATCACCTCTGCGTCCTCGTCCTCAAATTCATCCTCCGCCTGGTCTGCCATATCTGACGGGCTCGCGACCAGGTCATCATCCATGTGTCGTTGATTGGGGGTGATCAGGACTCGTGGCACATTATGCCTGTTCCTCTTGTCCTTTTCCCACTCGCGGCCCCTCCCGCTCTTCCCGTCCAGTAAGCCTGTTCGGGCAAAATAGTATTGTAGGTGGGCGATACTGCCGAGACTCATGACGCTGTCGCGGTGGCGGGCTGAGTCCGAGAACTCCGCACCCAATGCACGGGTATATCCATGCCGGCGGGAGGATGTTGACACAGACGATCTGGCATCTGCGGAGGTGGCGGAGGAGGTGGAGCGGGAGGACTCGGAGGAAAATGTGCGGTCTGGGGAGGAATATGAGGAGATAGCTGGCGTTGCTGGAATAGATGGCGATGGCGAGGAGGCCCGGATAGGCGCCGCCGCCTTAGAGTCCATGGACCGTCGGGGCGCGTCCATCTTGTTTGAATTTGAATTGTTCAGCGTGTACTGTTTCACCGGGCTAGATTTGGTGGATCTGGGTCGCGTGAAGATCAATCAGTAGAACGTTCACAGTGACGGGTATTCTGCGGGGGGGTGGTGTGACGTTGACAATGAGGCCTGGGCGATCCTCAGACGAGCAACGGCTTTTATATAAATGGATTAATGAAAGGAAGGTTTAATGAGACCTGCAGGATCAACGGGCGAGAAACTGCTTTTGGGTCAAAAGGGGGGGCTTCGACTAACCGGGGCTAAAAGGGGAAGCGGGTCAACCACATGGTGAAAGAGATGAGTGTTCCTTTTCCACCAAAAATAAACCAATAAGACCAGTCTGACCCCTTTTCTGCGATTGTCGATTGAAAGTTATGAAGCTATATTTAATGCTTGTATACTTCCAAGGCCTCGAACATCGGGTCCACGGGTGTTCCTGAATTGCCTGGTTGGGCTTAGCTTGTGCCCCGCGTTCCATGGTTTTGATGGGCTTCGTGGCTGACAACCTTCCAAGATTGGAACATTGGAACCTTCCAAACTTGGAAGGTACATGGGGTAAGTGAACGATGCATACAACTTGGAAAAGAGATGAGATGCTATTCAATGATCAATAACCAATAACCCTTTCTAACCCCCCCCCCCCCCATTTTTCAAACGCCTGTAAAAATGCGCCTTTTGAATGCCTCAAGGCTTCTCCCTTCTCGATTCAGTCAGAAAAATGTCCTTGCGATCCCAACCCTCTGGCTTCAGGTTATCAATGCCCTTCGTCGGATGGTTTATGTTCGGATCCGCGTACTCAATCTGGTAGGGATTGGGATCGTAAGTCTGCTTGAGGTTGGCGAGGGTGTGATTGACCTCGCGGTGCTTGGCTTCGTCGGCGCGGACAAACATCAGCAGGTCCCTCATCTTTTGCTGACCCTCTGGCATCTGCCAGTATTTGACCGCAATCTCGGGTGCATCGAGATTATTCCACTCCGGGAGCTTGCCGGCCTCTAGTTCCTCAATCGCACGGGTGTAAGTAATGACAGCCTCCTCCTCAAGGTATCCCACAAATCTGTGGCAGATGCGTGGGGAGATCAGATATGCCAGGAAGAAGCCGTTGAAGAAGAAACCCTGGGCGCCGATGACCATCAAGCGCATGAACCAGCCTGGTTCGGCCAGTTTCAGGAAGGTGAGGAGGTGCATGCGTTCGTTAAATGCTTCTTCGAGCAGGGTTTCAATCCTAGATCAAAAGGAAGTGGGTTAGCATTGAGGTAATATATGTTAGGATTTTAAATACTAGCTTGGGTAATTGACGTACCATCCATTGTCCCTCTTCATCTTGCGAAGACTACGGAGATGTCGCAGCATGCCGCCCACCATCCCGGGGACACCGGCCACACTTTCCAGGAAGATAAATCGATTTAGCCATTTGTGCTCGGTCATTTTGAAGATGGCCGGCAGTTCCTCGCCGGGCTTGGGATGTCTGTATCCTGTCGCCGTGTCCATACCCCATCGGAAGATGCGTACAGTTCCTAGGGCAACCCAGTCGGACCAATTTGAGGCTTGTCTGTGGGCAATGCGAATATTTCGCATTTGGGACTCGGTGTATCTGGCATAGAGTTAGTGTCTGGCTCAGATCGAGGGACTGCGAATACACTTACACTGGATGCACCCATGCTGTTTGCACCTCCTTGACATTTGGAGTCTTTGGTGCTGGAAAGTAATCTGTAATCTGGTTCTGGGGTGTTGACGAAATAGGGCGTTTGGATGTGAGGCTGAATGCCGATGTGCGCTTGCTGACTCCACATGCAGGGTTGCATGTTGTTACTGCAGCGCCCGAGTAGGTTCGTACAGCAAGGTGCAGGTACTGTGGCTTTGCTGCAGCCCGCAAGGGAGCCCTCACTGATAGAGTATTCATGATGTAACCCACGAGGCCGAATTTGAGATGGGTTATGATTAATGGTGATGAAGGTATCAAGGTATTGAAGGGGATGAAGAGGATGAGGTGAAGAAGATCAACAATGTACAGAAGAAGTTTAATAGGAAGTCTTGTTTGTGGTTGAAGAGAGATGAGGTGTGACTCCCAATCTTTAACGCTTTAAATACATAATCTACGCAATTATTCGGACACGAATAAAACCAGGGACATTTGCAAAAGGGTCAAAGAAAAATCCCCGGAAATGCTTAGACTGTACCCTTGGAAGTTGAAAATGATGACACTCCGTATACTTCATGGCCCAGGCACCTGGATGTTCCCCTTTCCATCGGCTTCCCATTATATCCCTTATCCCTCAAGATCATATCACCATTGTAATACTTGAACAAGAAGCGAATATATCAGGCTTCCCATTATCCCTGCAACATATTCACGCCTTCCATATCACCAATACTACTCTTTCCTTCCGAAACGATCAAAGCCCTTGCTGGCAGGTGACTTCGGGAGGGACCGGGAACGCCGATATGACTCAGCCAGCCCGCAGACCTGGAGCGAGCCTACAATCAATCCCGAGAAATATTCGGCATCAAAGCCCGGAGTTAATTTGAGGTCATTTTCTGGTCTCGGGATCTTGAAGATATCCATTTCTTTTATCTCACCGGTGACTGAATGGACAAGCGGTTGATAATTTGAAAAAAGGAGAAAATTATCTGCCCGTTTCCTACCGATCAAGGCACATGCATAGCAATTGCTTACCTCAAGTGGTTTGTTTTTCGACATGAAAGAGCTATAATAATAGATTGAACCCTACATAAAAAGCCTGTCAAGTGTCCTTTCCTTATTTGCGTCAAGATCTGACAGCCGTTTTCTGTCAGTCCCTACTACAGTAGCCAAACCATTGGGCTCCAGTTGTTTAACATGGCTGGAATTTCTTGTATTCTACATAGAAACCATAATGCCATGTGGTCAGACTCCGAGTGCTCTGGATCTAATTTGTTGTTTCTTAGGGATATAAACTTAATAGTGACATCTATATAACTCAAAGAACTTGAATTGTTCGACTTCTATAGAACTCGGAAGGACCTTCTTTGATATCTAAAAACAATAATATATCCTCAGCTCAACACACGGCCCACGGCCACAGCCACCAATTTCCATCAGCTATTATGGCCTCGTCTTTAATTGGAGTTGTAGTTATCCATAGGGCGACGTTATCGATGAAGGTACATTTTCCTTAAGTTTTATTTTTAGATATCAAAAGAAGGTCCTTCCGAGTTCTATGGAAGTCGAACAATTCAAGTTCTTTATGTTATATGAGGTCACTATTAAGTCTAATTAATTAATGAACAACAAACTACTCTAGAAAATATCCTTCTAAGTCCTATAGAAGTCGAATAAAGTTTAAGTTCTTTAAGCTATATAGAGATCACTATGAAGTCTCTATCCTTAAGGAACGACAAACTAGATCTAAAAATACCCGTACTCGCAACTTTGGCCGAGCGGTTAAGGCGCTAGGTTAGTCATCATTTCTTTAAATGAATCTGAACTTCCACTAATCATATCACAGACTCAAGAGTTACCTCTTTCACTGATTCAGTGAGCATTCTAGTCACGAAAGTGGCGTGGGTTCGATTCCCACAGGTTGCATATTCTTTTTTTTTTATAGTCCGGCTGAGTTGGACTATGGCGTTATTCGCTCACTTAATACCAATTTGAATTTCAACTAATATATCAGACTTAATGGAATTATTACCTCTTTCACTGATTCGGTATTCACACACGGAAGTGATGTGGATTCGCATGGATCATATGTCCTTTTGTTTTCATTTGGATAAACTGATTAAATACACTCTCTTGGAAACAGCTAAGAAACAAGAGAATATTTTTAAAAAATATATCATCATATAAATTTGTTAAGAAAAAAAAATATAAAACGAGGGAGTATCAATCTGTTAAGAATCCTATCTCAGTTAATTCTCGGTATAGTTGCTTACCAACACCACCAGTCTCCGTATACAACTTACATCACATTATATCGCAGAAGGTCATTTCAATTCAGACCGTCTCCAGTCGATAGAATCTGTGAGTATCCAGCAATCAGAGTTGTTATCACTCATTCTTATTCTTTCTAATCCTTTCCCCTGATTCCATTATATTTCATATTCATTTATTGAGTAATTTTTGTATATACAGAGGATGAAGATGAGCCCATAGACATATCCTTATTTTATTTATTGGCTTCTTTCTGGCTATGATAAGATCAGATAGCCTACAATTTCATTCCCGGTAGTATATTATATTATCATTTCGCAGAAGATCGCTTAATCTCCTTTTTTCTTTGTCGCATATAGTATAGTTCCCACTGTACTGTTTCAATGCAATCAACATCAAAGACTTTGAATTTATCGAATTGATCACCCTTTTGCGCTCGGCTGGATATACGCCCAGGGGTTAGGTTGTATGGGTCAAATCCAAAATTTAGTTCAGTGCAAATATTTGATTTTAGACCCCTTTTCTATAGGATACACATACCATATAGAGGGACTTCAAAATCATTATTATTTCAATATATATCGATATGAATGTGAATAAACATTAAAAAAATCAATTTTAAAAGTATAATATTGTTGTTACCAGCCAGTTCTTTCAGCAAAAGAGTGCATTTCAACTAGAATACTAAGTACAAGGAGTAGAAGAGAAAGAAAGAAAGGATTGGTTGGAGCAAGGTCCTTTGTGGGGCCTTGATGCAAACCATGCAAATAACTCGGCAGGCGGTCAGTAACGACAGAACCAAGGTTATCATGTCTAGATCGTGACATAACCCCTAGCTAAGAACGCATTCAGTCCCTAAATGCCGGTTTGTCATCATCAATATGATCATCTAGGAAGTTGTCGTGTTATGCCGCTTCAATCCATTCCTATTAACATAGGGGAGGGCCCGGTTTCATTAGGTATTGCTTATAGAATTATTATAGTTTGTACGACGTATGCTTGAAATTGCTAGTAGGGTACTATTGTAAGTCCACGTCGTGTCCTAGCTATTACACTCGATATTATAGCTTCCGGTAGTGAGTTCTTTCTATCGGTGGGGGAGGAATCACAATCTGTGCGGACATGGATGACTAACTGTAATAACTATACACTTTTGTATGGTATGACTTGTACCAGTGGTCAGGTGATATTCGGGTATTCGACCCTGTATCAACTGGGTATTGCAACCTGGTTCTTGACAGAATCTTTAAACAATGTTGCCAATTCCACAGAGGCTGCAAAATTTCGTATAAAAGTTGAGGATTTCACAATAGAACATGATAGTGCTTAAGCATGCTCGAGATATCGCCTAAGAAATAGAAACCAATGGATAACATGTTACATTGAATGTTCTATGGATTTACTAGGCACATGCACTTCAGGGTATGCCTCCACCTTTCTTCCTTCTCTCCCTATCTTTAGCTCCTTTTTTGCTATGAAAAATGGGGGCTTTTCTGACGCGTTGTAATGTCAACCAGCGTAATACTACCGTCTTTAGTCCTTAAATGCAGGCCCGATAGCTAAGAGGTACTACAGTCAAAAAAGAGAGATGTAGCAAATCCACAAGAGCGTAATAGTATAGGGATAGATATGATGAACATCCATTTTGGTAGTGTAGAATTTAGTCGAGAAAGTGGTGGGGTTATCTATTTCGGTAGCGGATAGTAAGTGGCACATAGGGTGCAAAATTTTGTGTAAAAGTTGAGGACAGAACCTGGCTTCCTCAGCTCATCTTGAACTGGGTAATGGTCTCCAGCACCGCGAAGATGTGTCTGTCATTTGCTGGATGGCGGGCGCGGAACGTCTCATCACGGCCCGACCTGGTACTTGATCCAGGATTTGTGCATGACCGGTGGTCTGCGTGTGGAACTGAATCTGACCTGGAGCGTGGCCCAGGATATGTTCAGGTACCGCAGCCTCGACCTCTACATACTGAGCGCGGCCATTCTACTATCGCCCTCGGTTTTGAAATAGCGTGCACGAACCTTTAGCTTAGGACGATGTGGGTGTCATGCGTAAGAACTTCAAGATTTGGGTTCGCGAGGTGAGATCGAAGGTTGAAGAGAGTATGTTCTTCAGATACTAAATGGGTTATATCTCCCACTTCCTGACAATTGATGCAAGTTTTCGCAGCTTATAATGAATCCGCAGCAACGCCTGGGCCAGATAGCGCCTTTCGCTAACTAGCGTACAGATAGAACTGACTGCTGGAAGACTACATCCCGCGCTGCCTTTCTGCAAAGATACTGATGATGAATTTGAAGATCGCTAGAATGAAAAATCCCGGCTATTGATTCACGCCTCACTTAGTGTTAGGTAGCTCGGTATACAGACTGATTTGTCTATCTTTGGCTGTTCAGCAATAGGCATCTAATGAGCGACTTGAAGAGTAAAACAAGAAATCTCAAATTACATGAATGGCTTTCCATGCAACGTAGACGAGAGGCCATATCCATGGAAGGCCATCGACCTCTCACAAATGCTCGTTGTAGTAACTGATCATCACATTGAACGACTCGACAATATCGCGCAATACCGAAAAGCCGAGCCTTACTCTCTTGTACTCGGGATCAGCGACCAACTCCAGTGAAAAGCTTTTGAGAAGGAACAAACATACTCTGAGATTTAAATCGACTCATAAGCCTTGTCGAACCACGCAGCAGCAGCAGCATCTTCCTCGGGAGAACGCTTCTCGGAATAAGCCTTGTCGAACCACGCAGCAGCAGCAGCATCTTCCTCGGGAGAACGCTTCTCGGAATAAGCCTTGTCGAACCACGCAGCAGCAGCAGCATCTTCCTCGGGAGAACGCTTCTCGGAATAAGCCTTGTCGAACCACGCAGCAGCAGCAGCATCTTCCTTGGGAGAACGCTTCTCGGAGTAGGCCTTGTCAAACCATTCGGCCGCTGCTTCAGTCCCCGAGCTAACAGGAACTGCAATCGCCAAAGATGCAGAAAGTGCAACAAATAAAGTAGACGAGAATCTCATTTTGATAATATGAGACTGAAAAAGGTGGACTTTGGGATGACTGTAAACTGGATGGAAAGGGAAACGTTCTTAGGGATAAAAGAGCAGGAAAAACAGCCCATCTTTATAGAGCTTGAGAGAAGAACTCGTGTCTCTGAATGCCCAGGAGCAATTGCCCTTACCCAAGCAATCTGCGAACTCATAACCAGACAGAAGTGGATATTCCACCAATGATTCCTCATGACTGAGAAGCATGAGGCTAGCAGCTAGCCATTCTAACAATTTCCATAAAGATAATGCCGCGTTTGCCGTCGTGATGCGACCTAAAAACAGAGTATGTCGTCAATTGTAGGGATATCATTATTATCACAGGGATGTTTTCTTGAGCACGACCACTATTACGAAAATCAGGGTTACAGTGCATGAGTATGAATGTCAACAAACATGGATTCATGGCCCCTAAGAGCTAGAAACGAAGGCTTGTCCACTCACGAGATACGTCCATAGATCCGTCGGTTGTGAGGCTAAGGTCAGGTTGAATTTTTCCTGATAAGGAAGATTATGTGTATGTCAGGCGGAAAAGCTGTGATCACTCTTACACCTGAGACCCTGGCCAAATGAGACCGGCAGACCACTCTAAGTGTTGTATCAAATACGAGTATATTTCAGGCCTTAGGAGTCGTGAATGAGAATCGCCGGAAGCTGTCAGTCCTTCCTTTGACCTTATTCCAAACCCTTCTCAAAATTCCACTTAACTCACCATAACCCAAAAGCATCTATCTACCTTTTGAACAGAAGTCGAGATGGTCGCCACGTCGGCTTACATGAGAGCTCAATCTCAAGAAGAACCCTGTCCAGAAGAATATGAAGAGCAACAGGATTCGCCTCTCATGGGGGTACAAAAATCGGCCACCAATAGACAATGTTGCCGACTCCAAGTCCTTATGGCCATTTCAATTGCATTATTTGGAGGGGCATGTTTGCTGTTTGCTGCATTGCTCACCATTCTTGCACCCAGTGACCGGAAATGTGCAATGCAGTTATCATCTTACTGTGGGTTTCAAGTTTCTCGGCTTAGGTATTCTGACGTCTATGAAATATCTGCTAATCGTAACCTTTTAGCCCCATTACTAGAGGCAGTGGAATATTACGAGGTCGACTGGGCGAACAACTTCCATCAGGAGTCCATTTACCGGGGATCACCAACTTCAGAGCTAGAACTCGCATGGGATCGTCTTTGGAGACGTAAGTATTGTAGTTAATCCTATACTTTGGACAAGCTTCTGAAGATACTTAGAACACGATATCAACGTTCCGCTGAACAAGTTATCCTCACTCAATCGGTCGGTGGATGCAAATTGGAAGCAGACACCCGCGCAATATGGCGGAGGCGCCGAAGCTAATGTAGAAGTGTTTCATCAGCTGCATTGTCTGGTATGTGTATAATGATCTGTTTGATATATAAGGCTAATAGGAACGAATTTGTCGTGTTAGAACATGATTCGACAGTACACGTACCTTGACTCCTACGAAGTGCCACCGGAGGGGTTTCAGAAATCCCCGGAAATGTCAAGAACACATGTCGACCACTGCATTGAGACGCTACGAATTCATCTCATGTGTGCAGGGGATGTGACACCTGTGCTGGTGCGGCTGGACGACTCCAAGCCGCTTGGGGCCGAGGCAGATTTCTCGACGCACCACAAATGTCGCCGATTCGATAAATTGACTGAGTGGATGGAGATACATGCCATACGTACAGAGGAGGCTTAGCCTGCCCTAGATAGTGCCCTGTGGAAGGGTAGATTGGTGTAAATTGCCCCGGCCTAACGCCGGCGTGGCTTGATCTAGCCCTGCATGCCATGCCGCCTTGGCCTGCGGATGACCAGCCAGATTTCAATTAAATATACTTACCGAGAAAAACTTGTCATTCATATCCATAACGAGGCGCCCACAGAGTACCGATTTTTTGTACAATGCCAGGAGGGTGCTTTAGTGGACATGTCAATGAGGGGCGCCTCGCTAGTTAGTTAACTAACTAACGTATTTCACTACCGAGCCGGCCACACCACCGAGCCGGCCACCCAAACCAACCTACCAATTTCAAATACATATATCTCAACCAAAACTCCATTAAATTAAATACACTAAAATCATCATCTATCTGGACATGCATCTCTTCTATGACCCTGGTTTTTACATAGCCCGCACGTTAGTAATGCTCTCGTTCGTGGTTGTAAAGGTGGCGAAGGCCTTCTTCGCCGGGGGCGGGGGGTGCTTCAACTGCTGCCACCGGCTCAGTAATCAATTGAGAAGCTTTTTGAACTGTGAGCCCTACTTCAGCTGGTATCTGCCTTCAGGATCGAGTGCGCTTTTGCTTCTGCTTCTCGTTAGCGGCGCGTAATTCCTTATTTTCTTTCGCAAGTAAGATAGCACCTTGCATTATAAGACGGAAGCCTTTCACAAGCTAGTTTAATGCACGATCTAACGGGCTAGGTGGACTTCGAGATCGTGTACGAAGTAAAGCTTTAATTAACGAAGTCTGCCGGCGTAGTTCTTTCTCTATAGCTAGCGTTTTTAGTGTAAAATTTCGACTTAATTCACTACCCCGGCTAGGAGGGGGGTAGGTATTCGAAGCCAGATATCAAGCTTTAAAAGCACTTGATCTGGTGAAAAAGGAACTAAACCGGTAGATCGGAAGCTACTTTTAATTGTCTCCGGTTTAAAAGCTTCAATTCGTGCTTCTAGATATACTTCAAGAAAGTCAAGTTTCTCAATATAGTTGATCCCGTTCCGCATCTTCGTTTCAACCGCCTCACTATAAGACCGTTTTAAGACCGCAAAACAGCCGATATCGAGAGGTTATAAAAGATAGGATAAATAAGTAGGCATACAAATTGGTATCACCTTATTTTACTCGCAAATTTGATCAAATTTCGGCGTTAAATAACTTCCATATCCGTCAAGTATTAAAAGCCGATACGCCCCCTTCGTACGTGAAGAAGTAATAGGAATAAAGAGCTTTTCAAGCCAGCGAAGTCCAATTTCATTAGAAGTCCAACCATTAGGGCTCACTTCAAAGCGCCAATCGCCCGGAAGGCCTTTAAACTAGGATTCAAGGAAGACCTTTCCTTTAAAAATCATATAAGGAGGAAGCACCCAGCTAGAAGCATTCGTACATTTAATCACTATCACCCACTCTCGAGTTCTAGGTTATAAAAGTGTTCTTCGGCCGTGGTATTCACTCTTCGTAATAACCCTCGTAGTTACCGTTACTCCTAGGGCAAAACCAGTCTCGTCAAAGTTATAAACGTCATCAGGGTGGATTCCAAATTAAAGGATCGTTTTTTAAACTAAATCAAACCACTCCCTAATGATTTTCGGGTCTTTACATTTCGCGCGCTCGTAGTTATACCGTTTCGAGAATCGGGAGGAGAGGAGAGGGTGCCGTTAAACAAATTTTGTAACCCAATTTTCGCCGACCGAAATAACTAGGGTGGTTCCACATTATTAAAGAAGAAGATCCGCCATTTCTCGAACTATAGAAGGCTAGGGGGCTGCTCCACGAGAATCCATAGAGAGAATCCATTTTTAAAGCGATTCCTCTTCAGTTTCTGTCAATTTATAACAATTAGCGCGCGAAATCGCGCGGTGTTAATGGCCACGTAGTCGGTCTTAGAGGGTTGAACGTGGTATGTTAAAACGGCGCGCCACTTCACGAATTGAAGATATTTCTTGATTTTTAAAAGCCTGGATAACTAATAAAATCCTACCCTCTTGCTCTATTAAATTTCTAGAGCTTCGGGAGCGAATTGGTGGCATGGTGGGTGGTTGAATTGACTAAGTGCTAATTCATGGACGCGTTTTGGGTGGGGTGGCCGGCTCGGTGGTGTGGCCGGCTCGGTAGTGAAATACGTTAGTAAATTAGTCTTTCAAACCTGATTCCTTAGGCCACCAACCCTAACTAGTTAGTACTTATGCCATTTGTCATGCATGTCTACTGTCCCGGAGATCAAGAAGCCAGTACTGAGACAAAAGCAGGGAAATAGTCGGTTAATGAATTGGAGCGCCGCCAGCGTCGTATTCAACATCAGCTGGCGTCGACTAGCTTATCGCAACGCTCACAGCCAATATAATCAGCCAGGGGTTGGTGCTTTTGCCAGACACGTAGCACGCCGCATTCACACCCTGCAGCACAAAGAACATTTTCAGGCTCTATCACGCATTCCCTGGATTTCTACCTGCGTAATGCTTTCCCCTCCTCCATCTCTGCTAACTCATCTTGTTCGCGTGCACCAAGAAAAGTGAAGATGCAGTGTGATGTTTCTGCTGATACTCACTTCGGTCCAAGAGTGTCGCCTTGTCGTCGCGACTTCGACTTTACACTACTCTTCGAGCAGGGGGTCCTCGCTTTAGTTCCCGATCTGTCATTCCTCATTCTATGCTTTTGTCGGTGGTACTTTATTCGCGGGGAGCGAAAAGAGATACGCCGCGGGGCGGTTAGCACTTACAAGATGGTCGGTCTCCATTTTCGCTTTCCCAGAGCTCCCAAGGAAGCTTGCAAGCTGATGTTATTTTGGATGTTATACAGGTGTTCTATACGATAATGCTGGCGCTGAAGTTTGTTCTCCTTATTTTATGGTGTTTACCGCAGTTTCTGGTAACAAAGATCTCAGTTGCGTCTGCTACGGTGGGCATGATTAGCACTCTGGCGCTGTTACTACTTTCGCACTATGACCATGCACGTTCCCTGAAGCCTTCGAGTTTGATCTGCCTATATCTTCTGGGGAGCATCATATTTGAAATTGCGCAAGTACGGACTTTGTGGTTGTTCCATCCTATAAGCTACTCTCTCGCGGCGACAGTCACTGCTGCTCTCGTGGTCCGGTCCCTGTTACTCGTATTGGAGACGAGCGAGAACAGAGAAACTCTAAGCCCTCAACACGGCCGTATTTCTCCAGAAAATTTCACCGGGATCTTCAGTCAGAGTACCTACTGGTGGCTCAACGGGCTATTCATAAGTGGCTTCCGAGGCGAGCTATCCCTCGATGATCTCTATCCCCTGGATGAGGAACTCTTGACTAAGTCTCTCATTTCCCGCGGTGATCAGCAATGGAAAGGTAACAAAGTTGACTTGGGTGATTTGAATTAATAGAATTGGAGACTGACTCATGACTGCCAGAAAAACCCACTCGACGGCTAGCACTTTTCCGTAATATCATTCACGACTTGAAATGGACGGTAGCAGCGGCAGTCGCCCCTCGCCTTTGTTTGATTGGGTTCAAGTTTGCCCAGCCCTTTCTCATTAACGACCTCATCAATTACGTGTCCGAAAACGGCTCCAGTGAGCTATCCGGGGTCAAGTATGGCTTCATCGGTGCGACAGTGTTAATCTATGTAGGGATAGCAGTAAGTAGTCCACACGTCCCTCACTGGATCGATTCCCTCGATTGCTGAACATTCTAGGTAAGCACTGCTTTGTTCAAGCGTCAAGCTATTCGTTTGGTCACTATGACTCGTGGATCGTTAGTTACGATGATATATGTGAAGACCCTTCGCCAAGCTTCAGGTCGATGTCAAGAGACACGTTCGACCACCTTAATGAGCACCGATGTTGATCGGATTGTCACCGGGCTGTTGAACTTCCACGAGCTCTGGGCATCACCTGTAGAGATCGTGATTGCGCTTGTGCTTCTAAGTAGATCCGTTGGATACCCCTCGGTCGCCGCTCTGGCTGTTGCTTTGGGTAGGTTCTTGCAAACTCGGCGATGAAAAGATATAGAAATAGAAAACTGACCAAAAAAAGTGAGCGTACTAGGGTCCTCCTATCTCGCGCCTCGAATGCGGCAATGGCAAAAAATTTGGGTGCAAGCTGTTCAGGAGAGAGTCAGTTTCACTTCGGTGGTACTCAAAGAACTGCGCCAGATCAAAATGTTCGGTGCCGAGTCCGATATAGGCCTTAAGATACACAGACTTCGCGAATCGGAACTACGTCAATCTAAGCCCTATCGATCAATGATTGTCGGTGTGAATGTTTTGAGCGCGCTATCGACTGCTATCACTCCCGCTGTGACAATAGCCGTGTATGCCGCTACACAGCTGAAGCTTAGGCTAGAGACACCTAGCACTGATATTGTGTTCACGTCCTTATCCTTAATTTCACTTCTGACAAACCCGGTAGTGCTATTATCGGTCTCATGGACGAGATTCACATCCGCTACTGGCTGTTTCGATCGGATCCAAGAATTTCTTTACAAGGACAACCGAGCGAACGAGGTCCTAGTAGGGGGTGAATGGGTAGCACCTGAGAACGTTTCAGGAACGAAGCTTAACTCAGTATCGGCTCAGTCCCAGCCCCTTGTTTGTATGGCTGACTGTAGCTTCAGCTTGGGCCTGAATAACCCAGCGATTCTCTATGGGATAACACTGAAGATAAAGTATGCTTCATACACAGCGGTGACTGGCCCTATTGGCTCTGGCAAGTCATCCTTACTCGAAGCAATACTCGGCGAAATGTATCTAAGAGAAGGGAGTCTGTCCGTTAGTTCGGTCAAGATGGCGTATTGCAAGCAAAATCCGTGGATATTCAATGGCACACTAAAAGCGAACATCATCGGAGAATCACACGCTGACGAAAAATGGCTCGAAGAGGTGTTATATGTCTGTGCCCTGGATATTGAAGCCACAACACTTCCTCTCGGACTTGACACAGTAGCTGGGAGCTCAGGAGCTCAGCTAAGTGGAGGACAGAAGCAGCGAGTGGTAAATATACCGATAAACATTCTTTTAGCTTTTTTCTAGCTACTAATTTGCGTGAATTTAGGCTTTGGCCAGAGCAATCTACGCGAGGCCATCTTTACTGGTTTTAGATGACTGTTTTGGCGCCTTGGATACAGTGACATCAAGGATAGTCTTCCAGCACGTGCTCGGTCGCGCTGGCCTGGCTAGAAGGATGGGTATGGCTACCATTCTTGTGACAACAGCAGGTGAGTCTAATATGCTCATATAAACAATTACGGCGCTGACAGCTTTTTTTACATCAATAGTGCAACATTTGAAAGAAGCGGACAATCTGATTGTTCTTTCAAAAGACGGTCGCGTGGAAGCTAAAGGGCGTTTCGAAGAACTGGTGAAGAAAAATGAGTACATACAGAGCCTTTCTTGTTCAATAAGCTCCGAAGACAATAGTATCGAAGAAGAAAGCGAAGAGAGTGTTTCCAGGCTCGAGGGGGTACAGGAAATGAGGCAAAAAACCGGAGAGACCGCTAAAAGAGAGACAGTTCCTAACTCACCCCGAGGTGGTGGGGACATCTCGCTCTACACCTACTATATCAGATCGTTTGGCTGGTGGGTATTTGGGTTAACGCTGGTATTCGCATCTCTATTCGTGTTCTGCATTTCCTTTCCGCGTGAGTATCTCCGTTGCCCTATCGAGAGAAATAGTTGCTAAATATTCATTGCAGAGGTTATGCTGAGCTGGTGGTGTGGCTCAGCCCCCCAAAAAAATTATATATATCTCGGTTCCTACGTCGGTATATCGTCTATCGCCATCATTGCGATGGCCGCTTTTATTGGGTATGTTTAACGCACTCCACTCAATATGTTCGTAGAGATTTCTCATGCATCTTAGATTCTTTTTTGTCTGGGCTGTTCCCAGGTCAGCTGTCCAGCTACATAGAATTTTTCTGGACGCGATCATGAGGTGAGAGATCAAGACCCACTAGATATAGGTCTGAATTTCTTACTGAAGAGCTTTCTAGAGCACCTTGGCCTAGCGTGGCTCGGATAGATACAGGTGATCTCATCAATAGGTAAGACATCTGTGTGAGACGCCACGAAATTTCATTTTCAATGGATGCTGATTGCTTCCAGGTTTAGCCAGGACATGTCACTTCTTGACATGCAGCTTCCTGTTGCATTCGGCATAAGTCTTCAGAGTTCGTGGTCTCCGATCCTTCAAAGTTGTTTAATCACAAGTACTGACTCTTGAGCAGACGTTTTGACTTGCATCGCACAAAGCGCCTTGATAGCTACTGGATCAGGCTACATGTCTGTCGTAATCCCCTTCTGCATTATGGCAGTATGGACAATCCAAGCTTTCTACTTGCGTACTTCCCGGCAGGTCAGACTCCTTGATCTAGAAGCAAAGGCTCCCCTTTACGCCCAATTCTTGGAAACCACAGAGGGTCTTACAACTATCCGTGCACTTCATTGGCAGCAAGAATTTGCAGATCAAAATGCCGAGCTCCTCGACACGTCCCAGAAGCCATTTTACACTATGTACTCCATTCAGCAGTGGCTGCAGGTTGTTTTGGATCTCCTCATGGCAGGGCTTGCGACCGTTCTAGTTACATTGGCTATTTTTGTGAGCAAGAAGACTAGCTCTGGAGCCCTCGGCGTTGCTCTTGTGAACCTGCTTTCATTCAACGCAACATTGACATCGTTAATCACGAACTGGACACAGTTGGAGACTTCTCTAGGGGCAATTGTAAGAGTCAAACAATTTGTGACAGACCTGCAACTACAACCGGCTAGGAACGAGATAGCTTGTCCAGAGGGTTGGCCGTGGGAAGGTCGAGTGGAATTTCGAAGGGTTTCTGCGTCATATGGGTAAGTCTTTGTTTGAGCATCACCTTCGAGGCAAGTCAATTGAACCAAGGACTAAGATTGCTCCTAGGGGACATGTTTCCACCCCTGTATTGCGAAGTGTCTCATTTAGCCTAGAGGGCGGCCAGAAACTAGGTATTTGTGGGAGAACCGGAAGGTAAGGCTAGCAAAGCCCTTATGAATGAGTGACGACTAAACTCGACCAGTGGAAAGAGTTCTTTGCTTGCTTGCTTTTTCTCTCTCGTGACGATCACGTCTGGCGAAATCTTCATTGACGGTGTCGATATCTCAACTCTTCCCAAAGAGAAGCTTCACTCTGCATTGGTCCCAATTTCTCAAAATCCATTAGTTATTCCCGGTTCAATCCGTGAAAACCTTGCCTTGGGAATAACATCAACTATCGATGATTCAGCGATGGTATCTGCGTTGAAGGAAGTCGGACTTTGGTATCAGATTCGAGACCATGGTGGCCTGAGTGCGAACATCGATACAACTAATCTATCCAATGGCCAAAGACAGATTTTATGCATTGCCCGTGCTATTCTATTTCCTGGTAGGATCATCATCGTGGATGAGCCTACGGCCGGATTTGATGAACATACCGAGAGATTGGCCACGGGGCTTCTTCGTGAGAAGCTGAAAGGGCGGACTATAATCTCAATTACCCATCAAATCAATACTGTGATGGACTCGGATCTGGTCATGGTCATGAAGCACGGTACAGTATCTGAATTAGGAGCACCGCAAGAGCTTTTGAGTAGGCGGGGCATGTTCTGGCAGTTGTACTCGGCAAAGACAACATAGAAATGTAGAGTGAAAACTTCAGATCAATGCATACCTGTTGAGATTCTCTCTACACCCTAGCAGCGGCTGGGAATGAGGGGACAAAGTCTCCTTTTATATTTGAGATCATAGAACAGTAACTTTATTAGTATTGAGTTTTACTGCTGTTAGAAGTATAATATACCTTGACTATATTAGGCAACTCTCCGAAAGGTAAGACATCGGTAATAATGTCGTCGGGGCCAGGATTCGGTGGCTCCTTAGGTGTGTCAGGCATGTCGGCAGGAGAAGTATAGAAGACTATAAGGGTAGTAAATTCCCGATACTTCTAAGCCTCCCTCTCGGGACTCGTTGAATAATAGCGGCCCCGTGGAAAGCGCCGCGACCGAATTCTCTTAGTAGCATTTAACGCCATCAAAGGCAACGCGAGCGGATGGCCCGATCGCCGAGGGAGTAGTGGCATGTTACGATCCATATTCAGAACAAGTGCTCGCTAGAAACGCGTAGCTGGATGAGGGCCTACAAATTTAATTGATTATTAGGCTGGTTTTTAATCTTTCAGAAAGAGAAATCCATCATACCGAGAATTTGAGCTTCTTGGACCTTAAAGGCTCTAGAGAAGAGCTTAAACTGCTCATTAAGTCATGCCAGGAATGATAGTAGGGACCCAGGAACTCATAGATGAACGTTCGGTCTGTAAGCGAGTATATCAAGATAAGGGCCGACAATATACTGCAGGCGGTTGCTGGATCTTCGTCTGTGTCGTTGGGCTTTTTCGGGCTATCTTACGCCCTTTCTCCGTCTGGTTGTCGAGAGAGGGCGGTTTGGGTTGTAAAGAAGAGAAGAAGTTTCAGCAGGAGGGGCTGATAGAGTATGTCGACGAAGAGAGTCACGTTGTTAGGATGATAGCGCGTGACGAGTGCTGAAAACTCTGCAAGGTGACCGTTCGCTAGTGTAGAGACTACGTAGGCGACATCGTTTGTAGGTGGGTGTATGGCCCGGCCGGTTGGAACGTCGTAGAGAGAGGCGCTGGTGACGTGGCGATGGCTTCGATGGAGAGCCCGTTGGAGGTTGAAGATGGTGTTGTGAGTAAGAGGAAGGTTAGATAGAGCTTGCGGGGGTTCATAATATGTCAGGAGATAGGTCTACAGAGACGACTAGGTGCAGAGCGGAATGTGAGATAATGACTGAGTAGTTGAAGAAGCTAAGTTCTAGACTAGGAAAGTTAACAGACGAAGATGTCACGACCTGCATTACCTCATGCTTTCCATATTCCAAAGTCAAGGTTCCATATGCATTAAACTTAGAAGCTCGTTCTATTACCAATGCATTTTTAACCATGGAACCATGGAATCTTTCGGGGCATACCTCCATATTTCTTCCTTTTCTACTTATCTCTAACAAAGAATAGTCGGTCACGCATACGGCATATATCCTTAACGACCTAAGACCCTATTATCCTGATATATTTGGACTAACATGATATAAGCAATGTTACATGTAAGAACCCTCCGATAGGCTTTTAGATATTGTCTTTATATGTACTTTCTAGATTTGTCTAATTTCTTTTAAATTAGCTATATATCTGCTATCTACAATTATATCTGTAACTATATTTTGAAAGGAATCAAGGGCCCTTAACGGGCAAAGCTCGTTTATTATTGTATAAAAAAATAAATATATGACGGTTTTAAAAAAAAAAAGAGTAACGAAAAGGAAAAGTACAATTACGCCCCGAGGTCGATTTCGAAGTCATCTGTGTGGTAACTTAATATTAGTATGAGATCTTAATAGTTATATGTGATAGGTCGTGACAGGAAGCATAGATGCATTGGAGACATTGATAGATTGAAGGTATAGATGGATTGGAGGCATAGATAGAAGGAAAGTAGATCAGACATACCGTCGTTCTCATTATCGGCAGTGCCGACGGCGGGCATGTCCGCACCACAGGTGGCTGGAACCGGGTCAACAACCGGCACAGCATGTATAGCGTAGGCACAAGATCACCAGGTTGAAGACATCTTCACCAGCCTTGATATCGGGTTTTTGTGGGTACCTTGGCTTGGCACGCAAAATTTCAAAGCATTTTAACAGTGGTGAGTGTGTTTGGTCCGGGTTGAGAATTAGTTGGCCACGGATGGAACCATCTTGCATCGATTGCTGTATGCATCCTAACAGAGCCAGTTGCTTATGAGTATAGTTGAGAAACTCGAGCCACCAGCATCGCCCATGCAACACATCTAGAAAATCTGACAATGTTCGAGCAAATCGTTCATTCTATTCAGATAGTTAGACAAACTACGTAGGTAGAAAACATATAATAAGTGCCACTTACGCTGGGCCCTTAGTTTGATCACATGTGACAGGCGTGCATGTTATGCAACTCTCTGAATATTACCCAAGGAGCGAAAGACCTTCTTTGCGTTAGACTGGGTGTAGATGGATCAGGGTGAGTATGCGACATGCATACACGATGCGCAACCTGTGAACTTCACTCAAGGAAGAATTCCTCAGAGCACTGTTGGCCCCTGAATTCTGATTCAAATTAGTACAAGTATATGAAAAATTTAATCCATAATACTTACTTCTTAATTACCTTATAAGAGTAGCCTCCTCGGATCCTTCCACGATCCCGATAGGCCTTTTATGAAAAAGGGTGACATGGTGCAGATACTCGATTCATGTACTTGGAAAGGTTCCTTTTAAGGACCCGACTAAAATCGTTACGATTGGTCCTTGTATTCTAAGTCAACTTAGCAATAGTAAGAAAGAGTTTTTGGCCATGATACTTACTTCTTGATGCCGCCTTTCAAGCTTCACAAAGAAACTTGAGCCATTTTTGTCTCACTTTTGTTTTGCCTTTGTCTTTGCTCCAAGGGACGCCCAACAGACCTGGAACATTCGCTTGGTAGGATCGTACTCGGTTAGGCTGAAGGAAGGGACCTCGGGAGGGACCTGGGATTGAGGTCACGGACGGCGCTGTGGTGAATGGGGTTTACAGCCCCATGGAAAGCACCACGTCCTCTCAAGATCCGGCATGCCCCCGAGCTGAGTTACCTGCGGCGGTGGGATTGGCTGTGCCTGTCTATGGGTGATCTTGAGTAAATTCGAGATGTCAAACCCACTGTCTCCGGGAGTAGGTTGCTGCGGTTGGTGGGTTTGTTAGGGAGCCGTAGGCTTGGGGTTCACAAAGGCGTAATAACGTTCTTAGCGGCCTTGTAGTAATTTGTTAGGATTGAGTTTTACTGCTGTCGGAAGGCATAACATACCTTGACCATTATTCGAGGTTCCAGATATCATCCTTCGCCGGCGATTCGATTGACTCAGCTCTGTTCCGTAAGTTGATGCACGCAAGTAGGTCGAGATTCGTCACATCTCGGAAATGGGATGCGGGAACGTGTTCGAGTCCAGCCGCCGGGCCACAGTGAGCAACCTGTGGTTTGTTGATTTTCCCGAATGGGTGGCTGCAATGATGCATTTGGATGATAACATCAAGGGGTTGGTGACCGACAAACGAATGACACCACGGTTGGAAATCGACTTAGTGCAATTTCTTTGAGTAGAAGGAAGAATTAATCAGATGTGTTTGTGGTATCGAATTGTTATATCGGGGACTGAACTTACCGTTCTGTCCACGGGCTCATCATTGCCACAGCCAAATCAGACGAAAAATATGGGACGGATTTCACCAAGGAGTGTGGAAAGGGCACGGATTCTGGTCCTTCTCCAGTTTTCTCCTCTGCTTAGGCGTTATTTGCACCCATTCTGACTCAAAGATGACGTCGAAAGAGAGGTAAGTGGAGCGTTTAGAGGAAGGTTGAATTGGGCTTTCGAGGGCTCACAACCTGTGAGAGAGGTCTATGAAGACGTCGATACGGAGTGAATATGAAGTAGATTAAATGGCTAGTTGAAGAAGTTAAGTTCTAAACTACGAAATTGAAAATAGAGTTCTTTCTGATTCCTGACTTTCCCTTCTGATAGCATCACTGATATACAATGTTGACTTTGGAGAACGTCCGACCCGACAGGAAATCTGACTTGAACTACACGTTAACATCACCCTTAACACCTATCTTCATCATGGCAGACAACATTTCCTTGATTGTAAGTCCCGCCATCCTCGAGTCATCAATCCATTTCTATTATCTAGACATTAACTAATCGCGTGAACGAAAACCAACAGAATACAAAGTGATCCAACTTAACCATGATGTCGGGGATGCGAACGGGCACGAACAATGCTAAATGTCCGAATATATGAGAAATGGAGCCATCAATAAGTCAGATTACTCTCAGTATACGCTTACTTGGCCTCATCTGCTACAATTTTTTAGCAACCGTACCAACCCAAAACAAGAGAACCGGACCTCGGGACGATCTTGCTTCAGTGGTCTCCGTTAAGAACCTACACCGCAACGTCTCTTGATGGATTTCATTCGAGAACTTGTATCACATTACAAAACTTCGTTTAAGAAAATTTTGCCGCAGCATTTGCTCAGTTTCATGAAAAGGGATTTTCCGCCGACGGGTTTCCAACAACTTTATACAACGTCGAGATTGAGTCCCACGCTTAATAAGTGGGACAAGAGGCTACGGTCGTGTAAGTCTTAGAATCCGACCCTAAGGGGTTAGCAAACGGCTAATATTATCTCGTGTATCTCGGAGCAACCTTTAGAGGTCGGGATCAAAGGTCGGGATCAAAGGGAGTGGGTGCTTGGTTTGAACGTGATTGTTTTCTACATGGTTGAGCTCGAAAGGCTCCACATCCAAGGCGCCGAATTTGAACCCTTACACCCGTAGCACCTTGCTGCAAGTTTTCCTTCTGGGAAGACAGCTCTCATAATTTCTTTCTTTTTAATATACCATAAAGAACGAACCTTGCCTGTTAAGGGCCATTGATTCCTTTCAAAATATAGTTATGGATGTAATTATAGATAGCAGATATTTCGCCATTTTAAAATAATACGGATGAATCCATTAAAGTAAAAAAGGATTTTGTTCTAGAATGAAAACCAAGATAGTATCAAGAAAGCAACAATAATATATCCTCCGCTTAACACACGGCCCCCAGGTCATAGTCACCACGACCCCGGGAACCGCCTCGGCCTCGCCCTCTACGGGCATCTCGGACACTACCACGAGCAGGGCCATTCAAACGCTGCCATATTTACGTTAACTATAGTCCTGATATCATACCTCTCTATGAGGGAGATAGAGGTAATAATATAAGTAATGTAGAGTAGGGGAAAGTATCTTACCTCCAGGTCTGCCTCCGTCTGCATCTCGATGTATCGGTCGGTCAACCGATATCTGATTTCCAGACGTTGCTCCTCGCGATCTTTCTCGCGCTGCGCCTGATTAGTTTGTATTAGTGTCATATTCTGTCTTGGTGTATGATAGAGCTTACGGCCTTCCGTTTCTCTCTACGACGGCGCTTGATTGCCACATTCCGGGCGTGATTTGGACCAATCTCTCCTGGTCCCAATGAGGGACGGTCCCCCCAGCACCAGCTGCGGCCCCAGTCTGAGCCTGAACGTCTGCCATTATCTGAAGAATGGGAGGAGAAAAAAGAAAATAGAAAAGGGAAACGTCAGAACTTCAACTTCCTCAACATCTGCTGGCAGCGCTGCTCAACCATTGCCTGGTTTTTCTTTTTATCAGTGTTATATTCAGACTTGGTATATGATAGAGCTTACAGCATCGCGTCTCTCTCGACGCTGGCGCTTCATGGCCAAGTTTCGGGCGTGATTCGGCGTCGCCGGGCACGACGGCGGCCCTCGCGGTGGATGGGGTTTGCTTCGGCCCCGTGGAAAGCACCTCGATAGCCCCCACGGTCACGGTCATCACGAGCACCAAGTGTACCGTGAAGTTTGACGGCGACGGAAAATGGGGGACATCTTAAGGTTTCCCTCCGCCATGGAAAGCACTACGGAAAGAAACCACGTCCACGCTCTCCATAAGCGTCACGGAAGCCACGTAAGCACTGCCACGGTGTTACGAAATAGATGAAACGCCCGCAGGCCGAAAAATATTTATTGGTTGAGGCTAGTTGCTTGAGGGGAAAAAAATTGACGGGGTATGAAGCGGGGGGAGGTGAGGTGCGTCCAATAGAGAGGCACTAACGAAGGTGTACGTCGACGGAGAGGTACTAAGGGGGGTGACCGTCGAAGGAGAGGGGCGCGTTGTTAGGATGATAGAGCATGACGATGGTGACAATGCTAAGGATGGCGCTTGCAGGTTGACGATGGTGTCGTGCGTAAAGAGGAAGGTTAGATAGAGCTTCCGGGGACTCATAACCTGTCAGGAGAGAGGTCTATAGAGACGTCTATGTGTAGGGTGGAATGTAAGATAATAACTGAGTAATTGAGAGACGAAGATGTCACGACCTGCATTACCTCATGCTTTACGTATTCTATATGCCATAATAATATCGGTCTCGTTGAAGGTGGTCTCGTTGAAGGTGGTCTCGTTGAAGGTGGTCTCGTTGAAGGTGGTCTCGTTGAAGGTGGTCTCGTTGAAGGTGGTCTCTCGTCGAAAGTGGGATCGTCGAAAGTAGTCGCTTGTCGAAAGTGGTCTTATTGAAGGACTCTCTTCTACATATGTACATAAGAATAGTCGGCCACTTGTGTGGCCGGTGTCGATTTTTTTTTGGTAGTCTTTTATAGTAGTCTTCTCAGATGGTCTTTTAGATGTCTTTTTCGTGATCTTTTTTTGAATTCTTCTAGGATTCTTTTCAGTTGGTCTTTTTAGATATGTGTTTGAGACTTTTCTACGTATAACGTTTGATCTATGCCCAGGTGAGGTAGGTATGTACATATCCAAGATTGTCCTCGTGGCAACCATGGAACCATGGAACCATAGATACTGTTAGGCATCCATGTGATTTATACACATAGTAAACATACATGTAGTAAACAAATGATTGAATCAGGCACATGATCGCACATGATCGCACAAATGTAAACAAAAGTAGTGTTCCTCTTGTCAAAACTCCTTCTCCTCTTCACCACTCATCACTCCACACGCCCCATACTACCTCTTGAGGAATCTTAAGTTTGCTTCTTTCTTTCTTCTTAATTCCCCTATAATGGCGGATGCTCAGGCCACTGCTGGCGCCGGGGGAGATCGTCCCCCACTAGGACCTGGCCAAGTTGGGCCCAACCACGCCCGTAATGTGGCGAAGAAGCGCCGTCGCAGAGAGAGACGGGAGGCCGTAAGCTCTATCATACACTAAGACAGAATATGACACTAATCAATACAAGCAAAATGCCGCTATAGAGCAGCGGCGAAGAGAGATACGCGCGGGGATAACCCGCCACTACATCAACCTCCAGGTGGAGGAGGCATTGACCGTAAGATACTACCCCCTACTCTGCATTACTTATAGTTTTACAACTATCTCTATTGAAAAGGTATTATGTCAGGACTATAGTTAACATATAGATTATAGAACGAGTTTGGTCCCGCCGCCCTTCGGGGCGGACGCACTTATGCCCGCGGCGGTTCCCGTGGTGGACGGGGTCGTGGGGGTGCCCGTGGTGGCCGCGGCCGTGGGGGCGGTCGCGGCGCTTTCCACGGGGCCCCGGCGAACCCCGTCCACCACGGGGCCGCCCCCGTTATTCCTGGTGGACCTGTTACGCCCGCCGTTGGCCCCGCGCCGGCTGTCGTCGGCCCCGTTATGCCCATCGTCGGCCCCGTGGCGCCCGTGGTTGGTCCTGCTGCGCCCGCTCTCGACAATGCTCCGGCTGCTGTTAGTCCGGATGTGCCCGCTGTCGGCCACGCCGACATGGCTGCTGATATTCTCGGCGCGGCTAATCCCGCCGCGCCAGTCTTTAAGTACGAGGAAGGTATGTCTGATCTACTCCCCTTCTATCTATGCCTCTAATCCATCTGTGCCTCCAATGCATCCAATGCATCCATGCTTCCAACCCATCTATGCTTCCGGCCACGACCTGTCACATCTATCTATTGAGAACTTATTACTAACATTAAATTACTATACAGATATTGATTTGAATGCGCAGTGATTTTTTATTTTTTTTTTATCTTCTTCACTATAAATTGCTTTTTCATGCCCCTTTGTTACCACTATATGATACCCTTATGTTTATTTTTTATGCCAGAATGAATGAACTTTGCCCGTTAAGGGCCATTGATTCCCTTCCTGAAGTGGCCTGAGCATCCGCCATTATAACGCGGATCAAAATGGGAATTAAGAAGAAAGAAAGAAACGAACTTAAGATTCCTTAAGAGGTAGTATAGGCGTATAGAGTGATAAGTGGTGAAGAGGAGAAAGAGTTTTGATAAGAGGAACACTACTTTTGTTTATATTTGTGCGATTATATGCGATCATATGCCTGATTTAAGAATTTGTTTACTATATTTACTATATATACCTAGGTTGTATAGATCATATGGATGTTATCTAGTTTAAACCCTAATAGTATCTATAGTGGCCACTAAGACAATCTTGGATATATACCTACCTACCTCACCTAGGCATAGATCAAAGGTTATACGTAGAAAAGTCTTAAATATAATATAAGATTTTTTTTTCCCTTTTTCTGCCGTCTAGCTAACAAACTGACAAGGGGGAGAAAATATATATGAAAACAGATATCTAAAAAGACCAACTGAGAAGAATCTGAGAAGATATTAAAAAAGATCGCAAAAAGGACTACCAAGAAGACTACCAAAAAAAGACTACTAAAAAGACTACTAAAAAGACTACTAAAAAAGACTACTAAAAAAGACTCGACACGGCCGTATAAGCGGCCGACTATTCTTATATACATATGTAGAAGAGAGTCCTTCAATAAGACCACTTTCGACAAGAGACCACTTTTCAATAGAGATCACTTTCGACGAGAACGAGACCACCTTCAACGAGACCACCTTCAACGAGACCCGAGACCACTTTCGCCGAGAGACCGTGTACCTATACTCCTTCAATATATTAAAACGTGAAAGAGTCAAAGATACTGATATCTCTACCAGTGCATTTATTATGTTTTACGAGTTGTTTGCCCTGTCAGTCCCTACTACAGTAGCCAAACCATTAGGCTCCAGCTGTTTCACATGGCTGGAATTTCTTGTACTATAGAAACCATAGTGTCATGTGGCCAAACTCCGAGTGCCCTGGCTAGTATTGACTTATTAATAGCAAGAATGTCTGTGTCATTATACATTTCTCCTACACGGCTAGGTGGCAATCATAGCTCTCCGGTCAATAAGGAAGGAGATTTCCCAGCATGATAAAGTACAAGGAACTCTCTGGCTATGGCCTTCACTTGTGTTCTGGTTGATTGTAATGGAGCGAAAAGAACTCAACCCCTAGTTCCCCGGTTTGAACATGGACTCTGCTGTCCGCATCACAGCAAATCCCTCCTCGTCATCACGCACTTCCAGGTCTCGCTTCTCTAGCTTCACTACATGAGCCATAGAAGGACCTTTGTCGATGCGCTGAAGGAATTTCTGCACTTTTTCGTCGCTGCCTTGCGCTTCGCCTTCGACCTGATAAGACCCAATAAGCGCGATGTCTGGGGACACGACAGGGTATCACTAACTCTTCCACAAGTAGTATTCCTAACCCAGCCCTTGAGTCCATCAAGCTTAGCACACTTTTGGGTGAAGTCGCTGTAGTGCGCGACAGGTAGTCACTGGTTAATCGATGGACTATGATGTCATCGGTTGGGAGGGGGGATGTTTCCTACCGGAAGCCGACGCCTAGGAATTTATGTTAGTGACAGAGTGAATGGTAGTATTTGAAGTTCATGCACAACTCATGAGATCGACCCACCTTGAACAGTGCCGTGGACTTTGAAAGCAATCTGAAGTAGATAGAATATTAGCCGGGGAATCTTATGGCGCTCGCTGTGCTGTGGGCTGGCGATGTGCATAGAAATAGGACTGGATGGGATATGTAGTAAAGGACATACTCGTATATTTGACATTTTGGACGAAAATTGGTTTAGTTGAAGAGTTGGAGGATGTAGAGTTGAAGTGTACAAGGCTGATGTCAAGCACTGGAGAACATTGCGGGTGGCCCCAGCATAACGGTTGATATACAATCCTTCTTTCGGAGAGCTAAGGTTATATAACAGATGCAACCTCGAGTTCGAGATATACTATTATTTTATGATTCTTCTCAATTTGATCTTTCAGATCCATAGATAAGTGTTTCACTCGCAAATCTCGGGACCCGTGTTCCTATAAGCTACACACGGTGCCCGGGGCTTGGCCCCCGTAAAGTAATATTGCTTAACTTCAAGGGCTAAGCCCCGTTTACTTTGTATACTATTTGTGCAAGGTGTACTCTGAATCGGAAACTAAAGCTGTGTTATCAACCTAGGAGACGAATACTTGGGGCCTTGGCTGTCCTTGATGTGATATTAGCTGGTGCTGATTGGGTCCGCCAAAGGATCTTCAACCTTGCAAGGGTACGGAGTAGACAGTTCCTCAATTATTTTTTATAGAATGGAAATCAATTATATTTTTATTTTAGATTGGGAACTTATTAGTTCCGTGTCGAGATAGGATATAGATGTGGCCACCTACATATGTACGTATGTATGTACCAAGTGGCGGTCCTCGGCCCCTGAGTAAACACTGGAATCTCAACCATCTTCCGACTTCAACTTCTCCAAATCTGCGCCGGCCATGCTACTGATATAAAATGCCCTCCATTTTCGCATGGCTTCGGCGGGTCTACTCGCTAGACACCCTTGACACTCGTTTTACCTCCTCCGCAACCCCTGCCCACACCAACACACGACCTTCCTCCAAAGATGCCCGCGCCAATGCAATCGCCCAGGGCGCGTCGCCTTCACTTTGGCGCACACCAGAATTCTTTGTCTACTACTTGTTCTTTGTTATCTTTGTACCATTGATGTTCAAAACAGTCATCGATGTCTCGAAGGGTGAGTGCAGGCCAGAGAAAACGCTGGGACTTGAAATTCTAACTGGGTTACCAACGTCACAGAAAGCGACCCAGTCTACTCCACATACTCTCACCTTTTATCACCCGGTTGGATTCCTGGCCGTCAGGTGGTAAGTGCAAAATACTCGGCGTTCAGCTATCCACATCCATGAGGCCAGTTCCGACTGACATTATTGCTCCAATGCCCTTAGGACAACTCCGATGCGCAGTATGAAAGCTTTCGCGACAATATCCCTGCACTCCTAATATTCCTAATCGCCCATCCCTTGGCTCGCCGTGTTTATCAGTCATACATCAACCGCTCGAACGTTGAAACAAAACAATCGAGCCATTCCGTGATCGGTGCGGGCGAGGCGCAACTTGAACAGCGAATGCGCTTCGACTTTTGGTTCGGACTGGTCTTCATAGTAGGGCTTCATGGAGTGTCCGCTTTCAAAGTGTTGTTGATTCTGTATATCAACTTCCGAATCGGCAAGGAGCTTCCTCGTGCCTACGTGCCTACCGCCACATGGATCTTCAACCTCGGAATCTTGTTTGCCAACGAACTAAGCGGTGGTTACTCCCTTGAGCGGATAGCGAAGGTGTTCGCTCCGGGGTCTGGAACCTCAGAATATGGCACCACCGTGCTAGTCCAATGGGGTCAGACTTTAGATGATCTTGGGGGACTGATGCCGCGATGGGAGGTCCTTTTCAAGGTCACGGTGTTGCGCCTCATCAGTTTCAACATGGATAACCACTGGAGTGTAGACTACCCTGCGGCAAGTCCAATTGAAGTAAGTCTTTCCGTGGTCGATGAGCCATCAACCCCCATATGACAACCAAACTTACTGAATTCTACAAGAAGAAGCAACTAGACCCTGCGAGCCTCTCTGACCGTGATCGGGTCAAGATCCCCGCAGAACCAACCGCTTTTACATTCCGCAACTACATCGCCTATATGCTCTACTCACCTTTGTATGTGGCCGGTCCGATCTTGACATTCAATGACTATGTATCTCAACAGCGATATACAGCGGCGTCACTCACTCGATCTCGCATCATGATGTACGCCGTCCGCTTTGGCCTCACTGTGCTCTGCATGGAGCTTATCCTTCACTATATTTATGTGGTAGCGATCTCCAAAGCCGACCCAGACTGGTCTGTCTTTACCCCGGGGCAACTGAGTATGCTCGCCTTCTTCAACCTGCACATAATCTGGCTGAAACTGCTCATCCCCTGGCGATTCTTCCGTCTCTGGGCCCTCGTAGACGGGATTGATCCACCAGAGAACATGGTCCGCTGCATGTCCAACAACTACTCCGCCTTGGCCTTTTGGCGTGGCTGGCACCGTTCCTACAACCGCTGGATCGTCCGCTACATCTACATCCCACTGGGCGGCGGCGGTGGTGGACGGCGGCCACCCGGAGCACCCAAACCAGCCTCACCTCCCCAGTCCAACTTCATGGGCAAGTTCCTGCAAATCCGCAACTTCTTGCTGGTATTCACCTTCGTCGCCTTATGGCACGATATCAATCTCCGCTTGCTCATGTGGGGTTGGCTCGTTACTCTCTTCGTTCTACCAGAAGTTTTGGGTGGCATGTTCTTCCCGGCCCACCGCTGGCGCTCTCATCCCAATACGTACCGTGTCATCTGTGGCATTGGTTCCGTTGGAAACGTCCTTATGATGATCATTGCAAACTTGGTCGGCTTTGCATTGGGTCTGGATGGATTAAAGGATCTGCTTTCCAGCCTAGTGGGCTCATACTCTGGGCTGGCGTACATGTTTTCCTGCTGCGTAGTACTTTTCGTCGGCGTGCAGGTTATGTTTGAAGTTCGCGAAGACGAGCTCCGCGCGGGCATCAACCTGAAATGTTGAGCCTTTTCTATACAAAACCCTTTTTTTAGCATATTTTAGAAACATTATTTTGCCTAAAGTCCGGCTATAATGAGATGAATATGTGTACAAATTTTTGTCTTGGATGTCACATTAATATTTATTTATATTGACTATTGTACAGTTTTTGGTATCAATTCATAAAGTCATCAGTAGAACAAGGCCAGGCCAAGCCCCTTCTCCATAGTATACATACACACCAAAACACACCAAACCGTCTAAAAGAAAGCACCACACCTCGAATCCTCATGAACCTTATAGCAATCCAAGCTACAAGTCCTCAAATGACAACTCTTGCACCGAATCTTCCCCCAATACCCACACATACAACAAAAGTGCCTCCCGGGCCGGCCCAACGCCAGCGGCTTCGCCCGCGACGCATTATAAGAAAGCGGCGGCTCCGCCAACAGCTTCTGCATAAGCCGATCAGACGGCACAGGGGGCGCATACGAGCGCAGCAGGGGATCATTATCATATTCCGACTTGATAAGTTTCGGCTTTCGCGGCTGCTCATCATCGACATCCGTCTCAGCATCCGTAGTATCCTGTGCAGGCGTCGACGCACCAGTCGTCGTACCCGCCATAGCCGCCGACGGACGTTTAACGCCTGCGGTACTAGCTGGTGTCGCGCTGCGCCGCACAGCAGCAGCAGCCTTGCTTCCCTTGGCCGCGATGATGCTTGCGCCTCCAGCGCCCTGCATCCCTGCTACACCCCCGCTGCCGGATGATATGGCTGCTTCTTCGTCGTCGAGGTGGTTCCGGAAGGTCTTCTGGGACTGGAGGATGCGGCGGACGTTCGAGGTGGTCTTTGCTCGTGTGCCGCGTGCGCCGGCTTCGCGGGCTTGTTTCACGGGTGCCGGGATGGCGACGTCGCGCTGGTTCTCGCGGTCGAGTTCGGCGATGTGTCGTGCGATGGCGTTCGCTTGTCGGGAGGATATGTCGCCGCCCTTGCCGGCGTCGCGAATGCCGCGTTTGCGGCCTAGTGTTGGGGCCATCGCTTGTGTGGGGTCGAAGCCCCGGGCTGGGGCGTAGGACCAGCCTGGAGTGGCCGTTGAGGTGTCTGAGATGAGTTCGACGCGGAACATTTTGGGATTTGGGGTGTTGGGTGTTTTGGTGATGCGGAAGTGGCCCCGGGGAGTTTGTTGGAGATAATAAAATGTTTGTCTTGTTTGCAGCGGAGTTTCGGGGGGTTGTAGAGAGTACAATGTACAGGGCTAAAGATTTAGTTGGTCGATTATTGGGAAAGGAAATTCTGGTATTGAAAGAGCTGGGACTAATTTCATGCCAAAAAAAAAAAAAAAATAGAAATAGAAAGCTATGCCCTGGCCACCAAAGAGTGATAATGGGCTTTATGCCTCAGGGTTGACAAGCTTCATGCACAGAAAACACACCCAACACCTCCAAGCCATAGTAAATACACATATCAAACATACTACTCAGGCACTTATTTCTTCTTGTGCAGCTGATCAACCCTGGACTCCAGTTCTGTAATATATGACTGGAGCTTGATGGTAGCCTTTTGAAGTGCCTATAAAGCAGACAATTAGTTCTGCAAAGATCAAAATTCGAAGAGAAAATAGGGAGGTCCTCGGACCTCCTAGAGACTTAGCAGTCCAGAACCTATAAACATACCGCAATGTCATCAAACAGCAGCTCATTGGCGAATCGGTACTCTGTTAGGATGTAAAAGTACACCGACGCGCCGGCAGCGACAGATCCAGCCAGGAAGCCAAAGACACTATCGGATATTAGCAAGAGTGCTTAAAAGTGCATGACCATTGAAATTAAATGTCATTAGACATAGGAGAATTTCTCGTACCCTCCTCGGAAAGCTCCAATAGGCTTGTTTGACGGTAGCGGCACGGCGGACTCCCAGCGGGCGCGGGAGGATGAGAAGGACCGAATGCCGACGCGTCCGCGCAAAGGGAGAAAGATCCTTGTGCCAACGGGCATATTGGCAATATTATTTCAAATGTAGAGGGGAGATTTATGGATTGTTTAGTGGAAGATGGTGGCAAGGGGAGTTTGTTGGAAGTGACGTTGATGAATTGCGGAGGTCCGGGCGGGCTCGGAACTTGGGAGACCTGAGGCCTTTTTGTATACAAATAACTAACTAGTTAAAACTACAGCCACACAAAAGAGAATATATTTGTTATCGTTCGAATGGTAATATCTCGTAAGAAAGCTAAAGTACATGATTTATTGGTTCCCTTAATTGGCCATTGTGCTCTCGTTGAAGAGATCTGCCAAAAGATCGTCTCGGCACACTGTCAAATCTACGCTACCCATACCGTACGTACTCTCAAACACATAGATACTCAACCGAGCGAAGAATGGTTGTAGGACCCGCTCAACAATATCGTCCTTGGCTGTCTCTCGGATCCAGTCTGAGATGAGCCATGGCCGCTTAAGACCACTGCGGGATTGGGGCTCGATGGTATCCGTTGGGACAGTGAGTGAGCCTGCACCACGTGGACCGAAAGTTTGAGAAACTTCATCTGCCAGAGCAATGGGCTCCCAGCGGTCGGGCGGATAGACCGCATCAATCGTGTCGGTTACGAAAAGCCATTCAAGGAGCTGGAAGTCGTCTGGGGCGAGGACAAGCAGTATGTCGAGAAGCTTGCACGCTTGAAGCAGCGAGTAAGCATTGTAGAGCTCCGGCTGAGAGCCCTGGGGGACTGCGGAGATGGCTTCTTGCAGCTCCGTGTTGATCAGGGGCCAGAATGGCGCCATCGCGGAGGCAGAGGTCTTGAGCGCGACTGCTCGAAGAACCATGAACACTTCCGCCCGAGTGGCAGAAGATGGCGACGAGGAGCTGGTTGCCGCAAGAAGATCTTCCAGTTTCTGAAGCAATGCCGGCAATTCACCAACAAAGTAATCATCGCTGGCAGAAAGCAGGAGTAGCGCGATTCGCCGGAGGTTGAGCTGCGCTTTCCGATCGGCTTCCAATCGGGCCGCAGAGGCTCCTACGCCGAACATGATACCCGCTGAGCTTGGTGGTGGAAGGCGGACAAGAAGTTCGGATAGCCGTTCCTTGTCGGCGAGAACCCACTGACGCAGCAGGTCCATCCAGTTGTTCTTCACCAAATCCAACTGCAATCCAAAGAATCGAGCATCATTGAACGCGTCGGATATGTCCTTCTTCCACATTTTCGCCGCAGCTGGTACTTTTGCCATTTGCTGTAGAAGAACCATGACATTGCGGTTGAGGTTGTTAGGGAAGAGACGTGACCGAATGAGAGGGCCCACTACATTAGTTGAAACACTAGTAATGGCGGTGTTGATCCGGTCCGAATCACCCAGCGTCGTGATAAACGACGGCATAGAGACCGCTAGAATGCTCAGCATGTCATCGGGTCCAGTATGAGAGACCGAGGTACGATCATGATCCACCGAAGATCTTGCCATAGGCCCAGTGTCATGGTTGAGACCTAGGGGCTTGCTCGTAAAGACTGCGGTAAGGAGACGTAGGAGAACATCCTGCGTTATAATTGTTAGTGACTATGATAAGACCAGCAGCGAACACACATACTCCAAGTTCCTTTCGCATACGGCGGTCTTCGCCAAATGTTGTATTCTCCAATTTCACCCCCAAAATAGCCGCGAATTCAATCAAACGTGGAAGAATCTGCCGGTGCGGGAATGGATTGCTAAGAACATCGCGCAAGAAAGTTGTGCAGTCCGTCCAAATTTCGTCAAGGACATCATCGTCCAGTGAGCGGGCATAAGTAACCAAAAAGCTAGCAAGCTCGGACTCGGAGAGATTGGACGTTAACGAAGACTTCCGGGTAGGATCCAAGGCACTAGGATTGGTGCGAGTGTAGATTGCATTGAAAATGGCAGGGATGGTGATTTTGGGGCTTGACCCATCGAGTGTATGGAGGAGATTGAAGATAAGTGACGCTGTCTCCGTGTCAGCCTTGGTCCACATTTCCACCAAGGTCTCAAGACATTCGAGTGCCTCTGCGGTGAAAAAGTGCTCCAAGATTCGCCGTGAGCGGTTTCTCATTCGTAACGAGGTGTATTGAAACGAGGCCAGAGATTCGCAATCGGGGGGGAGACACTGTGATCTCCTGCACCCCACGCCCAGATAGAGAAGCATAACCGAACGGCATCTTGGAAACAGAGAAGAACAGTCAGGCGGTCGTTGGCGGTGTTTGGGCGACCTTGTCCGCCTTCCGAGTTGAATACCCCAGACACCATGTTTCCGAAAAAGCCCTGCGCTTGGTCGGGGCTCTTGACTGTTGGAACGTTGGACTCTTCCACAATGAGACGTTCGTGGGCATTTGCGATACAGGTCTCGAGGCCAGTCAGAAGAGCAATTGTGACATGCTCGGAACGATCCTGCGGCCAATCCTCTGTTTGCTGGAAGGACAGCTGGAGCCTGCCGTATGATGCTCGGATTTCCCTGCAGAAACATTCCACGAGAATCAACAGGATCTGGAATATGGAACCTGAGTATAGAGGGAGCACCTCACAGAGCAACATTATCCACTTGTCCACAATTTCTCGGGATTTAGGTGAGCTGATTCCCTTTAAGAGACAATCCAGAAGCCGCTCTGGCGGCTGCGGTATCCGAGGTAGCGATTGTCTCCTGTCTCCCTTGTCACTGGTAAAAGACAAGATCGAGGGACTGGTCAGCCGATCTCGAGAGCCCGCTCGTAAATGTTTTGGCCGAGGTGGCGGTGGTGGTAGATATGCTTGCGCAAATCGCACCTTCAATGCAGCGAGGAGTGCGTCGATTAGTGCACCCTGCACCGCAATACTGCCTCCCTCGGAAGAAACAAGAAGGCGCTCCACCAAGAAATCATCAATGCCAGACTCCACTAATTCCTCCGCTCCGGGCCCAAGAAGAAGTTGCCGCATGAGCTGGAGTGCGTCCTTATGTAGTCGTTCTCCATCTAGATTAAATTCACCAGGATCTGGGGATAGTGCGCTGACGATTCGAAGAGATGCCTCAAATATGGCGGAATGGAGGCTTTTAAAGTCTGCATTTTCTATTCAAGAATCCATATTAGCAACAATTGTTTCGTGGGAGGATAAATTACCCACCTTCAGATTTGGACGTTTCAAGGCGCTTCTCATTGCCTAGCACATGAGTAAGAAGCGCGATCCATCCATTGTGCGAAAGCGCGGAGATAATATTTGAAGCTGTCTGTAACAGATAGTCACACTCCTTATAGTCATCGGGAGAAATTGAGTTGTTGTCTGTCTTTTTCTCGCTGATTTCATCATCTTCAGAAAGCTCATCTAGATTCGAGATGACCACATGGAAAACCCTGGTAAAGTATTAGATATGGATGACGCGCTGAGATGAGGAACCGACTTACTTATGGATAGATGGCAAGTCTTGGAGCCATAATTGAACGCTCTGCGAACTATCACTTGACTCCTGGGAGAGAAGATCAAGGACAACGAAAAGCGGGCGTTCAAGCATAGAGCACTGGTAAGAGAACAAGGTCCCTCCAACATCAAGCACTTGCTTTGGCGGCTGCTCATGGGTGTTGTGATGACTATGGTTCCACAAAACATAAAACCGCTCAGCTTGTTGCTCCGACGAGAGATGGCGGGATGCCGCGGTTGACACATTGACCATCAAAGCTGTCAAGGACGCCTCGACAAGGTGGTCAATCCAAGAAATTGAGTGCAGGAGCCATAGGCAGCGGACGGCTTCCACGTGAAACTTTGGACTAAGGGGTGATAAGTACCACCAAAGCTGGTTGACAAGAGGGGTAATCAGATCGCAAGCATCCTCATAGCTGACATAGAAGCCGGGAGTCTGAATGAAAAACAAACTCGTCACTGTCGAAGCAATTGTCGATATGACAGAGAACGAGGCGGTTGTGGGCTTGTCCTTCCCTGAACCTAGTTGCTGAGAGAGCGCTTCATACAGTTTTCGGTCTCGTAGAACGCGGGACTTTGGAAGCTTCTTGAGCAAAGTCACAAGAATATCGAGTGGTTCGTGAACAGATAGGTTGCCATCGTGGCTTCCTAGCGCCGCGATAGCCAGCTCGTGAGCCTCTCGGATGATCATCTCGCCAAGATTCTTAGGAGCATAGGGAAGAGGTGGAAGCTCCAAGCTATTTTTGCTTTGTTCATAGAAACTGTGGACAGTTTTCAGAATATCAGCACCACGGCCTTTTGTGTCGTTGCCAGCAGTCTTTTCAGAGCCCGTCTTTTTCGAGAACGCCCGCTCTGTGAGTAAACCAGTCAACGATTTGAGAACTTTGTTCAATGCGGCGGTCACGGCCTGTTTGTTGGCAGTGCTCTCCTTGGATGAAATCTCTCTCATCTTCACGAGCACTGACAATGCCAGTAGAGGCACATGGATCTGAACCATGTCCTCCTCGCGCACATTGAAATTCTCAATGATAAAGTGTGCAAGATCCAAGTCACGCAGCACTTGGTCGCTATCAACGTCTACATCGGAAGACCGATAATCAACCAACCCCAGAAGCTCGGAGAAAATCACACCACTTTCAACGCCATCAAAAAAGGCGCTCGCACTGCGGAAAACCTCTTCGAAGTGGTTCTCGGGGGCTGTGGATTCGAATGCCTGAACACTGCGTACAGTGGGCAAGAAAACTGCAGGGACAATATATCCACCAATTTCCCAGCGATCCATTAGCGACAGAGCTATGCGAAAGGGCTTCGTTCTATCGGACGGAATACTCGGCGCCTGTTTGATCATATCAAGTAGGCCGGTTACCAATGGCTGTAAGCCTACCCGGCTGAAGTATTGTGATTGTGTGAGTTCTTTTCCATCAACGGAGGCAGATCGAGCGGTTTCCGATGAGAATTTTCGATCATCCATTGAAGAGCTATCGTTTGGGGAGTCCGGTCCTAAGAACCAAGCCCAGAGTCGACGGTTCAAGCTCATGTCTCGCCGAGTGACCACCCCCACTGCTGCAATTACCAACGTTCGAAGATCAGTAGCCGCAATCTTGCTTTGCAAAATCGGAGAGCTGAGTGGAAGGTGGGTGACAAGAAGGTCGAGGAAGTTACGTTGGACAAGGAGCTGGTCATCAGATAAACCCGATGCAACACATCGAATCAAGAGGCCAGGCTCCGGTAGAATGACAGCGTCTGCGGCGGCCAGTATCTCAGGTGGGATGTTCTGCGGATCGTTCCCACCAGCCGTGCTTGGTCGGCGATCTGCGATACCTAGCTTCGGGAGGTAGCGGTTTAGATATGCGAGGACGCCAAGCCGTCGACTAGGGTTCGTGATAGATGCGAGAAAGAGGCATTGCCAGAAATACTGCCCAGATGCCCCGGCCTCAGATGTCCTTTGTGTTTCAAGTTTTGCAGCAGCATCTCGCAGTTTAATGAATGTGCGTAGTGTTGGCTCAAAATCTTCGCTTGTCTCCTCTTCAAGGCCTGGAAGTAGGGCTAGAATGATTGATTTCAACGCGGGACGGATAGCCCATGGTTCGAGGTCAACGATATATCCCTCTACCAAAGATAGAAACAATGGGCGAACAGTGAGAGAGGCGAAAGTCAATGTTGGCGCAAGGCCAGGGAGATACAAAGGCAGGTCGTGCGATAATCCCTCGAGCTGGTTATAAACATATGCATCAGTAAGCGCACTGTCAGCCTTTCATGTGGCCACCCATACCTTTATCAATCCAAATATGTACGTGTAGACTTCGAGGGTTTTTTGGTGCACGCCTGATGGCAACGACGGGTTCAAGCACTGGGCGAGTCGCTTCGACACTAACACTTTATGAGGGACAACGGGCTGATCGGGTGGGTGGGTTTGGAGTGCCTAATGATTGATTATCAGCGATGCTACAGAACATCGCTACTAAGTCGAGCGAGCTCACCTTTAATAGGCGACCAAGGAACGAGATATAGTCGGCCCATTCTTGGAGAGCGTTGTCAAAGAGCGAAAGCGCTCGTTCAACACTAGACGCATATCGGCGGTAGTTCTTGTCTTTTTTGAGGGACCCTATAACCACCAGATATAATCAGACACAAGTCCTCTCGTGCAATTCTTGGGGTGAGCACATACCTTCCTTGCCTTGTAGACGGGAGCGTGTCAAGGAGCTCTCGGAGCTTGCGGGGGAGTCCGACCTCGGAAAGACACTGGGATCAAGACTCATGGTGCCAATGACGGACGTAAAAATGTTGTGAAAGCTTTGGACTACCCTCCGTCATATTTAGGACATCGAGGGTGACCCTATGGGAGAGGGAGTTGGTTGAATGTTGACCAGAAGCCAGCGCAGGCGGCCACGTTCAGTTGTTTTGTTCCGCCTTGGGGTAGCTCCGACTCGCCGACGTCAACGCCCAGCAACTATCAAATCAACAAAAACAACCGATCAAGGACTCCAAATATTTGAAATAAACTATGAGCATTTAATGGGCTGAAGACCCGCGACGAGCGACCGCATCAAAAAGCGCATGCCCGCAGCGGGGATGAATACACAGCAAGACCCAAAGACCGACGGCCAACAGCCTGTCGAGCCCTCCAAGCTGCCGTCTCTTTCCAGGTCATCAATCCTAGATCACGATGAGCGCAGCGAAAGCTCAGAGGGAGAGCGGCCACCTTTACCCCCGCGACCAAATACGTTGAGTCTATTGAACGATGAAACAGGCTCCCGGCCAGCTCTACAGGCAGAGGCAACCACGGCTATCTCACGAACCGATATCGAGACACAACCACCGGAAGCTGCTGAGAGCGCTTACCCCACACCAGCTTTTCGTGGTCTGGCCCAGGGTCCAAAGGCCAGAGCGAGCCTCAGCCAGTTGGCGAGTCCGCGGGGCAGCGAAGCTGGTGACTCCGCTAGCATTAGGAGCTCAATCCCAAATGGTGATTCCGGGGATGTTGAAGCGCTGTTCATGGACTTTGCTGCTCCAGCGCCCGGTAGTCAAAGACAAGGCGCTACAGGTCTACTTGACTTCCCTGAATTTGCGGCCGACGATATAGATGACGATGGAATTCTAAGTGAATTTGAAGCAGTTGGTGAGCTTAACGAGGAAGGCGATAACGAAGGTTTGTGTCAATAATTAATGGTCTCTTTGTTCCATAATACTAACGCATATCAGAGCTGCTACTCCAGCGGTGGAAAGCAAAACGCAAGCACTATGTGATCCTATCCGCCGCCGGTAAGCCGATTTGGACAAGGCACGGCGACAGCGGCCTGATATCTGGCTATGTCGGGGTTATTCAGACCATCATTTCATTTTATGAAGATGCAAATGATCATCTGCGAGGCTTCTCCGCTGGTGACACTAGGTTTGTTGTATTGACACGGGGATCTTTGCATCTCGTTGCAATTAGCCGTATGATGGAGAGCGACAATCAGCTTCGGCTTCAACTAGAAGCATTGTATATGCAGATCTTATCTACATTAACATTGCCTTCTTTAACTCATCTATTCTCTGTGCGGCCTTCTACTGATCTATCGCGGCCCTTACAAGGTTCAGAGTCCCTTCTCTCATCTCTGGCAGACAGTTTCACGCGAGGGTCTCCATCAACGTTGCTATCGGCTTTGGAGTGTCTGAAAATCCGCAAACAACACCGACAAGCTATCAATAATGCGCTTCTGAAAACTAAAGCTAGTACTCTTCTATATGGCTTGCTTGTGGCTGGCGGACGACTCGTCAGTGTTATCCGACCGAAGAAGCACTCCTTACATCCAGGCGATCTACAACTCTTATTCAACATGGTTTTTGAGGCCGACGGAGTTAAAGCTGGCGGCGGAGAAAGTTGGATTCCCGTCTGTTTGCCTGGCTTCAACAGCAGCGGTTATCTCTACATGTATGTGAACTTTCTCGACATCCGCGACGACATGGAAAATAGTGCAGAGATCACCAAAGACGAGTCTGTTGCCATTGTTCTTATCAGTCCCGACAAAGAGGCTTTCTTTGAGATGCAAGGAATGCGTAATGCTCTTGTGGAGGTGAGATTGAACAGTTCTACGCAATCGAATATGGTATGTGGTACTAATAATACAACAGCAAATGGAGAGAAATGGGAGTCTGAAGGAGATCAAAACGGCAATTGACAATGGCCGACCCGCAACTACTGATATAGTTCCTGGAACTGTGCTCCATCATTTCCTTTACAAATCGCGCGCCAACGTACAATTCACCATGTCATCGTATACACCTGAATTTTCCTCAGTGACTCGACGACGAAGGTGAGCACTACCCACTCTACTGTTCGTAGATGCTTGTGATATTCAATCATTCTGACTGTGCCTGTAGATTGATGTCGATGTACAACAACTTGCACGCGAGCATCCACGCCAAGAATACCCATGTCAAAGTTCACCACTGTGTTTCGCGGTCAGCCACTTCGTTCGGATGGGTAACCCCTGTATTCGAATTATATTGTATCGCTGAGCCGAACACTAATCGAAATGCACTTGCCCAAAGCGCTAGCAAGATTGCTCAGTGGGTGCAGCGTGAGGAAGAGAGGTTATTCATCATTGGCGGTGCGGTATGTACTTTGTCTCTCTCCGGGGTTATTACAGCAAGAGTGGCAAAACTGATCATATAAATAGGTTTTCTGATATCTTCCGATACTTTCGCGCGCACACAAATCAAGAAAGCTCTCTGTATATACTATCTTGTGATTTATTATACCCAATACTACGTCTGGTCAAGCCTACATATATATCTGTTTATTGTAACGTATCTTAGTCTACCTCTACATCTCAAAGTCTCTTGTGGGATTTACTGGTAGATGTTCTGAGTTCATCATGTTGCTAGAATATCCGTAATATGTACGAAACGAAAGACTGCACATGTGGCCTAATCGAGTGAGTCCTCTCTCAGGTTAAAGAGCTGACGCATGACCTCGCCCGACTTGCTGCGCAGCGCATCGTGGTACATGGTGTTTGTGATAAACTGCTTGGAGTTCTTGATCTTGGCAGCAGTGGCCGTGGCCAGATCATAGTGAACATACATATCATCGATGTAGGTTGCAGCATATACCGGCACCTTGTTCTTAGCCAGTTGAGCCTCGTCGTACAGGGCCGGCCATTCGTCTGTCGTAGCCAGAATTTCAGCCGCCTCCTTGAGCTCTGAAAGCTCCGAGTAGGAATCGAACATATCCTTGAAGACCTAGAAGGTAAGAATTGGTGTTAGATCTTTCTGCTGAAAGAATTCTGAACTGGGTTGGGACTGTTTACCATCTCGCCGGTGAAGTAGATCTCAGGCAGCGAATCATTGATCTGGAACTGCGGGTTGCTAGCGCGCAACCTGTCTGCAGCCCAGAGCGACGGCTTTCTATATTCCTTGTTAGACACGGATATGTCATGAGAAGTGGACGGCACCGAAAGCTTCTTCTTACCCTTGGCAATAGATTGATTCATGCAAAATGGCATAAATGATGTTTTTGTCCATACCGCCATTACTGTCAATCACGGAAAGAGTAGGTAGAGTAAGGAATCCGAACATCTCCAAATCGTTAGAAACTCTGACAACAATGTCTAGAGTCGGGTTAGTATCTTTGCGACCTTCACGAGACAAAGCAAAGTTTACCGTGCAGACTATCGAAACCACCTAGGCCGTGTTAGCTTGAATGTACTGACTGCCTGAATCGAGGATCTTACCGTGGAAGCCGAACATAATGCCCAGTTGCTGGAAGCGAGCCGGAGTGAGCAATCCAGATGGCAATGCAACCTTGTTTTGGGTCAGGTATTGCATAATATTCTTAACACGGTCCACATCCTCGGGGAACTTCTGGTAGTAAGCCTTGTTTCTCTCCTTGACCTTCCCTGTTTTTTTTTGTGTCAATGTCACGAGTAAACCATTTCAAGAAAACAGGCAGAGCGCACCATAGGTCTTCGCATAGACAAGATCCGGCCCGTTAGTAAGAGGGGGAAGGCCACCAGTAAGAAAAGCCTCTCTCAGGCCCTCCGGGCTAGAAGTTAAGAAATATCAGCGGGATGTTCAAGATCAAAACATGGAGATCAGTGGCCTTCAGAACATACAACTTTGACAGATAAGTCACGGCACAGAAGCCACCGAAACTTTGCCCAAGGATACTCCACCGGCGCTGGTCAGGCGGATAGTCCTGTGTCAAAACATCACGAATGGCTTCGCAGTCACGGACAATGCTGTCTGCACGGAAGTTCTTGAGATACTCGGCCTGCTTGATTGCATCTCCCTGACGGGCAAGGGTTCCGGCTGTGAGAGTCGAGCTGAGGCCAGTGCCTCGTTGATCCAGAAAGAGCACCTATAGAATGGTTGAGCATCAATCTTCAAGCAGTAGAATGTAAAAGGCATGACACACTTGATAACCCTTGCTGAGCATGAATTCAACCCAGGGGTAAGACTGCGGGGCACCACATCCAAAGCCAGGGCCACCTTGCAGGTAGACCAGCCAAGGAAGCTTTCCCTCTTTGGCTTCCTTGCCCTCTTCTTTGGCAGGCTCAATGGGTTTGTTCAAGCGACTGACACTTCGTGCAAAGAGCCTCAGAGTGTCCCCAGCGGGCTTGCTGTAGTCCACAGGGACATCAAAGAACAGCTCGGAAACCCGAAGTTTTCCTAAATAGGGTCAAATTTATCAGTTTCGAAACCAGCGGGCTAACTAGTGACGATAAATAAGGCGATACAGACCTGAAACATTATGGAAACGTCGATCAATCAGTTTTGCGGCCATAATTGCGATGTTGATGCGGACTAAAAACAGAGGGCGCGTTGGTGACAAGCCGCTTTGCGGAGAACCGCACCATTTTTTTAGTCTAGGCCGTGCTGTTCACCTGCAATCACCCAGCCCAGTAAAAGAAAAATTTAGTCTTCCTCTTTTGTCTAATCCTTTGGTCTCATGAATCATTTACAGAGAGATGAGTAACCTATTATATATACAGATGAGTAGGAAGCCCTTAAAAATAACATTGGCTATACTACGAGGACTGTCTAGGTATATAGCTATGCCTGTCGAATACATGTTGGATGCTGCGCTCCATATATTCTTCATCAAATCTTCCTCAAAAGAAATGCTTAATTTGGACCATATTTTAGTATGTCCTGGGATGGATACATTATAGCAAATTGACCTATGGCATAACCATTGAGCGAAAGAGTATTTTGTTATAAATTCTGCATTCTGTCCGAAAAACAAATCATATCCAAAAGAAGAAAAAAAGACGGAATTGGCGATTTTTATCCCGAGTTCGTACCCGACTGTTTGTTGGCCGCAATCTGCCGACCTGCCTTTAGCAGTAGTAGAGTCGCCGGTAGCTGAGCAGCCGCAAATCCGATCATAACAATCAGCTGCGTATTGAAACTGCTAGCCAAAACATTCTTCACCTCCTCTTGTAGATTGGGAGATAGACGTTTTATCGATCTCACATTCTCAAGGAATAGGTGCAGTTCGTGCGACGTCATAACACCCTGCAAACGCTGCGCTAGACGGCCATTTAATATATTAGATGCAATAGCAAGACCAATAGCACCGCCAAGAAAGCGGACCTGGACCACAGTGCCAGTGGCAATTGCTACAACGAAAAGCGATGGACCAGTTAGTCAATGTATAGTCACCGTCATATCAGAAGTTTCTCGGGAAAGCACATACCCAGGTCTCTGTCTTCGACTATATATGGTGGCGATAGCACCAGTATTCCCATTGTCAGGCCCATTCCTGTTCCAGCAATGACTAGATAACCAATATCTGTTGCGTGGAAGCCCCTAGAAGTGGCAATGGTTGAGAGAAGTCCAACGCCGACAGTATGGACTGTACAGCCCACGAGCAGAGTATAAATGAAGGGGATGCGTCCTCTGGAGCTGGCAATATTGACAATAGCCGCAGCAACTGCCGCAATAGCGGAATACCCAATCAAATAAATACCGGCGTCCAATGGCGACTTGTCTAACAGAAGCTGGGCTTGCTGTGGAACATACACTAGGACGACGTTGTACGGTGCTCCGATGACAAACGAAGAACTAAAAGTATGTTAGAAGAAATTGTACGATAGTCGTGAACTTTAAATGGACTCACATAAGTATTCCCAGCCATGGACGGTCAAAAAGCCAACGCTTGGGAAATATGGGATCTTTGCCCGGGATTCCCGAGATATACCATTCCCAGGCAAAGAAAGCGATCCAGGAAACCCCCGTGAGCACAAGGAGTGCAATTGCGTCCCTCGAGGACCATGAGAACGCCAGATTGGTTTCGTTCAATACGGCGACTATCAAGAATGAGCCAGCCATCATCAAAAGCGATCCCATTATATCAAGATTAGCAAATGAGCGATATGAGGCTCGTGTTCGAAATGAAGGAGTGTGCTGATCAAGACCAAAGTGTTTGGGCATCGCAACGATGATAACAACGATCGCAATAACGCACAATGGTGCACTAATGATTTTAATTAGCATACTTTTCAACTCAGATGCTGAGGATTGACATACTTGACGAAAAAGGTCCACCTCCAGGACGAGTCATCTGCAAGAGCACCGCCAATGATTGGGCCTATCAAAGATGCAAAAACAAGGCAAAATGACATGAGACTGCTGTAGATTGGGAGCTTCGTTTTAGGAGCTATCTCGTAGACGCATAGGATTGTCAAAGCGTATGTACCAGCGCCCCCAATTCCTTGGAGAGCTCGGAATATTATGCTGCCTCAGTAGTTAGCTTGTGGACAGAAAATGAGCGCAGAACTACGTTAGACCTACAGTTGGTTAACTGTCTGAGCAAATCCACACCCGATAGAAAATGCGAGCAGAATAACAAGAGCAGCGATTGTGGTTTGCTTCCTGCCAACTATATCGCTGACTTTCGTCCATATTGCCATAGACCCTGAGAGTCATATGTCATCAGTAGTGAGAGGGATAGAGACCGAGGGAAGCCATTTCAAGATACGTATGTTTGAAGGAAAAAAAAAAAAAAACCAATAGGGAAGAGGAATCATTATAGAATCGCATTTTGGATCATACCTGTGTAGGTGGCCAGATATCCAGTAATAATCCAGCTTCTCTTCTCGAAGCCTTCCAGGTCATCAGTGATACCCGTGAGAGCCGAGCTTACAATCGTGACATCCAAATTGGAGAGAAAAAATCCAATCAAGAGTCTATAGATTGTCAGTCTTCGTCACCCAAGACCTGATATCACTTGACTGAGTACATACCCTGTGGTGGTAAGCACCAGTCTCCATCCTGTCGGGTAAACAATTTCATTTCCTGGAGAAGGTGCTCTCTGTGCCGACCCCTTTTCCTGGCTGTGCCCCCTAGCGCGGTCTTTGCTAGCTTTTTTCGAGGTCGGCTCTGCGAACTTGATGTGGCTAGACATGATTGTCGGCCTCTCAATGATAGGTGCTTCAAGAGTAGGTGAAGACTGGAGTGGTAGCCATCGTTGCAAGAAAAATTTGAACGTGACCATTGCCTATGTAGGACCAAGCCCCGCGTATCTTCACCCCAGGGGCTTCATGTGGAACGCAGGAGACGCGCGATGACAGAATGTGGAATATTTTCATGCATAAGAAGGGTGATCTGCGTCGATCATTGAACCTAGATACGCTGAATTGGATGTGGCTTGGCATATATTTGCTTTTCTGGGGCAAGCGCGACTGAATTTGGAATTTTGAACTGCTTTTTCGAGTCCTTTGGATGATATTATTCTTCGCCTTTTATACTGCGACATGATCTGGAAAGGAGAGGACCTTAATCACGGGCGTTGTTCTCACGCGTTTTACTTTCCTTATTTGAGACAGATTCTCCTTGCTCAGGGTTAACTATGCGCCCCTGGAATACATATGTATGCAAACATGATAACTATACAGGGTAGATAAGGTCGTTCAATATACATACATGTAGTTAAGCAAGGAGGACTTGTGCACTGCCAAGGTGAATTCGGAGAGTAACACGAGCTTGTAGTTGACTTACCAACAGATAGACGAAGTCAAGATAAAAATCTCTGCTCCGTACTTTCTCTCTGAACTTGACAGGATGATTAGGTGCAAGTTAGCATTCAATGAGATGTCCGGGGCAATATGAAAGAAGGGCCAGATGAGGGTGAGAAACAGGGCAAAATCAGCAATACTAATGGAGATTACCCAGATGGTACTCCGTACCGAGGAAGAGAGAATTGACTCCGTCGGTGCCTGAGGCAGCCAAGTAAGAGTCACCACTCTAGACTATGGGCATCTCTACGGAGTGAACTCTATCTCCGTTTTTACCTATTCTAATCCAATACTTCCAAGGTTGTAAGATCGCCGGAAGCTGTTGGAACTTCGGACATCGGACTCCGACGTTTCCCCGCTCATCCCGCCATCTTAGGCGACGTTCCTCCTGGACATGCCCAGGTCTCTTCCAATGATATCTGTTTAGATCGGTACTTTCATATTTAAGATCAGAAGGAATCAAATACTGTTCTTGGAAGGTACAGCCGAACCTTAAAAGGGAGCCTCATTTCCTTTCCAAATCCCGAGATCCCGGCATTGGTATAAATCGGCGAGACTGGTTGATTTCCCAAGAAACACATTTCAGCCATGCAGAACCAATTCCAACAAGATCTATGGAAGGCTGCCCAGGGACCCTGGGACTCGGGTGTTCTCCCTAGCGCCGAGAACCTGGCGCGAGCTAGAGCTTCTCTACCCGCGACACTTTCGGATACGGGATCCAGTCTCGAATCTGTCCAGCGACACATTCTCGATGATATTGTCCCGGCATTCAACGGAGGAAGTATAAGTGCCAACTACTACGGTTTCATCACGGGCGGAACTACCCCAGCAGCGCTCTTCGCGGACAACGTTGTATCTGCTTACGACCAGAATGTCCAGGTGCATCTCCCAAACCACTCGATTGTCACTGATGTGGAATACAACGCACTTGGTCTCCTTTTGGATCTCTTTCAACTAGAGCGTTCTATCTGGCATAATGGAACGTTCACTACCGGCGCCACGGGGAGCAATATCCTCGGCCTAGCATGCGGGCGGGAATTTATTTTGCAAAAGGCAGCACAGAGAAAAGGCTGTCATCTCCAGAGTGTTGGTGAAGAGGGCTTGTTTGAGGTATTAAATGCACTAGGTCTTTCTGGGGTGCAAGTGTTATCCACGCTGCCACACTCATCTGTCGTGAAGGCTGCTGGTGTGTTAGGCATCGGTCGTTCTAACGTACACAATGTCTGCCGAGCCGACGACCCGCTCCGCTTTGATCTTGATAAGCTTCAGAAAGAACTTGCGAGAACAGACAAGGTCAGCATCGTGGCAATATCTTGCGGGGAGGTCAATACTGGTCGTTTTGCAACAAGCGGTGCGGACTTGAGAGAAATACGCCAGCTGTGCGACAAATACGGAGCCTGGATGCATGCTGATGGAGCATTTGGAATCTTTGGTCGTGTTCTTGATGAAAGCCCGGAGTTTGCGACAATCAAGAAGGGCTGTGAAGGAATAGATCTGGTTGACTCGATTACCGGTGACGGCCATAAGCTTCTCAACGTTCCCTACGACTGTGGCTTTTTCTTTACTCGACACCCGAACGTGGCATCGCAAGTATTCCAAAATGCAAATGCAGCCTACTTAACTGCTGGAAGCTCAGATGGCCCTTCCATCCCCTCGCCTTTAAACATTGGAATTGAAAACTCTCGTCGATTCAGAGCGTTGCCTGTGTATGCATCGCTGTTGTCATATGGCAAATCTGGATATCAAGAAATGCTGGAGCGTCAGACAAGGCTTGCCCGCAAAATCTACGGATGGATCTTCGACCATGCTGGGTATACAGCTTTGCCTGAAGCATTGTCCAAATCTGAACTGCTCGATCAGACATTTATGAGTGTTTTGTTTCGCGCAAATGATGAGAGCTTGAACCGCGAGCTAGGAAACAAGATCAACGAGAGCTCGCGAATGTTCGTGTCGGGTACCAGCTGGGATGGATCCCCTGCTTGTCGCATTGCAATCTCGAATTGGCGAGTTGATGTGGAGCGAGACTTTGCGCTGGTAACAGATGTATTGGCAAAGGTTGCCCAGAGCTAGGGGAATATCAATACGTGAACAAGAAAGGCAGACTTAAAATCTCAACAATTGGACATTCAACGCTTAAATATTTTTTGGAATCTCTATAGAGGGTATCAGCGGCGACGACCAGCTCCTCCCATATTCTCAGTACGGTCAGACATGCTAACAACCTCTCCAATACCTGCGGCTTCTTGCTCATCTTCCAGAGCCATGATCTCCTCTCGGCTATCCCACCACTTTTCTTCGGCCACAGAGAACGCTGCCTTGCGCAGTTCCTTGATTGTCTTGTCACCAGACTGTTCCCTCCCCTTGACAATTTCCATCATGATATTCTGCCATTCTTCAGAAGTGCGGCTGAAGAACTCTCGCAAGCTCTCGAACGGCCGAGGCAAAGGTCGGCTGTCGTTGACATTTTGCTCTTCTGGCTCCTCAACTTCGAGTTGTTCCATATCCTTGGTAACAGATGGCACCGTCACATCTGTCCGGGCAGGTGAAGGGGCATCAAGAGACATTGCTTCGGCTTCAGCTTCGGCTTCATCGTCTTCATCCATTTCTTCGTCGTCATCTTCGTCATCCATGTCTTCGTCACTGTCTTCGGCTTCGTTCAAGAGGTTCCAATTCTCAGGCTCCCTGTAGAATATCTCCTTGACGCCGTCCAGTTTGACTAGATCAATGGAATACATATCGTCGAAAGTGAACTCTCGGTCACCCTTTTCAAACGTACCACCGAAGATGAATAGGGTATCATCTTGCACTGCTAGCTGGGCATTGAATCGCCGGTGGGGCATTTCGAAGCGAACAACCGAGGGCTTTGCGGGTTCCACAGGCTCCTCGGGTTGGGGCGTGCTTGTTTCCATATCGTCGTCGTCTTCATTGTCCCGAATTCCAACTTTAGCTTCCAGGGCTTTAAGGTTTGCCAAAAGCTCTTCCTCGTCTGCCTTGCCCCTATTTTTAGACTTCGCATTTTGATTTGCCTGCTGTTTTTTGCCGGGCGCGCGGGGACGTCGCAGACTCAACGGGAAGAAACGGTTTCTATCGGTGGTCCAAGCAAAGAGAGTATCGAAGAACTCGCTGTCAATGCCTTCCTCGGTTAGTTCCACGTCGTGGACACCACCAAACATAATCCCTCGGCCCTTGTGGTATGCCATCGTAGTGCCAACACGGGGCGGATTGGGCGTATTAGCGGGCTTCTTTCGTCGCTCCCATCGAACTGCAGGTGCCGTTGACGATGGGGCCTCGGCTGCAGGGGGTGTGATTCTCAAGAACCAAGTATCCTGGTGAACCATGGGCCGGAGAGCCATCTTCTGGGGACCGCCACCCTTGCCTTGCTTACCACCACCCGCAGCTGCCTTCACTCGGGAGTAGCCTCCGTAGATAACAGCTCCAGTCTCGTGCGGTAGCAGAGAGAATGATGAGCGAGGATCGGGCTTTTGGGAAGCAAGGGTCAACGTGGGGTTGGTCCAGGTATACTGATTACAATCATAGATCCACAGATCCTGCAAGTACTTAGTCTGCTGGGAGGTATCTTGGAATCCACCAAAGAGGATGATGTAGTTCTGTCTCGGTATTAGCTCTAATACAAAAGACAGATGCTGAAATCGAAACACATACCTTGAAATAGGTCATGCGGTGGCCACTTCTAGCGGGAGGACCTTTTCCTTTAACCTCGAGACGAGTCCATTCTCTTGTGGCTGTATCTAAGTGCCAAAAATCATTGTAGTGGTAGAACGTGCCTTGTTTCGGCGACGAGAACTCTCCTGCTGATAGTTAGTCTCCGCACAAACAATTTCAATATACCCAGCAAGACAATCGTACCTCCAAACATATAGATGCCTCCGGAGTTTCCTCCACGGCACCATGCATGCCCACTTCGAGGAAGAGGACTGTTTGGACTAGTCACCTCTCTCCATTCGCCCCGATCAATCAAATAGACGAAAAGGTTATTGAAGAAAGTGGCATGCGTCCCATCGAAGTACTCTCCACCGAAAAGCAACAGCTCATTTCGGTTCGATGGAGATGCTACCACGGTTGAAGACGAACGTGGGACCGGTGGCTCGGAAGGAACTTCAGTGACCTTTAAGAATTTGGCCTGTTCTTCGGCGTACTGTGCCAGAATGGCATCTAGGTCTGCATCTTCAGCATCGCTGTCTGCATCTTTGCCCTTGGCTTTGGATCTCTTTTCTTTCTGCGCGGACTTCTTTGTCTGCTTTGCCGCTACACGATCCTTGTGCTCGGCGGACTTCTTAGTCTTTTTGCCCATTTTGGCTCAATGTTGGATACAGACGGTGAGTTTTCGCGATCTTCTTTTCGTGGGGCAGAAATTATGCCTTTCCCCACACTGAATTGCCCCCCTCCAGATCAGATCTACGTCTATAGGCGTGATGCTTGTACCACTGGGTTTTGTTTACATATAAATTGGGCAAATATAAGAAGACAAAATAAGAATGATGAATCCCATACAAATTTGATGTTCTTACTCCAATTTCACCAAGTAACTTTTAGTTGAACGTAGTTGCTGTTATAGATCGATTTGTTTGACCGCTCACGTGCCGACGCGTCCATATCGGTTTCGCGATTGTCCCTATTGCTCTAAACATCAAGATCGACGGCCATGACAGCAACAGGCCCCCATGACGAAGAATAACTTAGCGACTCATCTCAAATGGTTGATAACCCAAGGGAAACCTCTCCAACCCCCTCTGGCGCAAACCAGCCTGCCTGAACGCAACAATCACGTCTCACAGCAATCGATTCCCCCCACCGACGAATTCCCGGCCCTCGATGATATCCTTGAAGACGTTGAGAATGAGACGGATGGATCAATGGCTAGATTGCTACCCCAATCGGCGAGCAAGCCTCGAATGCTAAGCCGACACGACACGGTCCCCACAAGTACTCCGTCAACTACAAAGAAACGGGCTTCGCCGAAACAATCAAGCATAACTCGAGGTATGTGGCCGCATAAGACGAATCTCGCGGGAATTATTAGACTGACGCAACCTGCATGATGATCAGAGTCCTTCCGAGAACCACCATTATCACCATACAAATCTTCACGACAAAAGCCAACTCCGTTGCGATCAGACAGTTTCCACGCGCCTGGACAGAATGATATTGAATCGATTGATTTGACAGGGGAGCTTGATCGGTCAATACTATCCTCGGATACTCTTGCGACTAATGAGTCGCGCGGGTCATGGGTAGAAGAAAGCACTCCATGCGGAACTCGTGAGAAACGCGGCAAGAAGCGCAAAAGTGACGAGTATACATCCGATCTTCTTTCCCCATCAAAACATGCGACAAAAGTGCGAACTCCATCGAAAGCAGCTCGACCTCCCGCCCCTAGAGATATAGTATCGGAACCGCCCACCATCCCACGCCAGACAACTCAAACAACTCAAAAGAATCCCCCAAGCGCGGCGAAACGACCTGAATATCATTCAACTGTTACCCCACGGAGCCATCGAAAACGAGTGATCGCGGATTCAGATGATGACGATGATCTCTTTGACGACTGGGCTGATAATGACGATCCCGCCGATAAGATGCTCCTGGATGCCGAGGAGAGTTTGTACCCAATACTCCCCGAGATGAGTCCAGCGCCGGATGAGAAAACGATCGAGACCAAGCATTCGCGATTAGAATCTACGCCCAAAGCACCGTTCCAAACTGCGCAACCATCAACTCAGCCGAAGAAAAGGACAGTTACCAAAGACCCTATCCCGTCGACACCTTGGTCAAAGCCGTCCAGCTCACAGGAAAAGGATCCGGATCTTCTAAAGTTTCTGTCCCTTGGAGACAATGCCTTCGGGCATGCAATTTCCAAATTGAGGTCTACTCTCCAGAAGAATTCTGAGATCGTTTATCAACAGGCCATGGAGGGTCAGCCAGTCCCAGAATTGATCGCCGAGAACAAGACTCTTGTCGCTCAGATAGAGGCAATTGAATTGTTGCAAAAGCATCAAAAAACGCACAAGGGCAGTGTTTCTCGCAAGCAAGACCTGAAGCAAAACTTGATACGTGCGATCTCACAAGGTCTAGACCCAACAACTATGCCAGAAGAGCTTGCGCAGAGTCGAGCAGTTGAGGCAGAGTTGGAACAAACCGAAACAAAAATCTGTCAGCTTCTATCTCAAGCCAACATCCTCGAGTTAGCACACGATTGTCCATCCGACCCTCCTCCCATGAAACATAGTCAGCCCACCTTCGAAGCGCACGCAGTCACACGGGAGCCCCCTCTTTTCTCTTCTTCGCGGGCCGACTCAAACACAGAATTCCGTGACCAACAGCGTTTGCTTCCAACAAGTCCTAGAAAGACTAAAGAGACACATCGGCCGAATAGCTATGAAAACTGTATTTCTCGGAATATGGGCTCCCCGCCGTTGGATTCGATGGATCTCGATGAGTTCGACTGGAATGCCAGCGACGATGACATATTAGAGGCGGCAGAGGGCTTCGATGGTGCTCATCAGATACCCGTTGGCGAGCAAGCCAGTCAAAACCGTAAAGTTTTCGCAGAGACGACTGGCAACATCCCCAAGGCCCCCATCCCAAAGAAGTCGCCCGGCCATAGTGCCTTCTGGTCAAACCATCCATGGTCTCAAGAAGTAAGGAAAGTGTTGAAAGATCGATTCCACCTTCGCGGATTCCGACCGAATCAACTTGAAGCCATTGATGCAACACTTGCTGGCAAAGATACTTTCATTCTCATGCCTACTGGAGGAGGAAAGTCGCTATGCTATCAATTACCTTCTGTGGTAACGGGCGGACGCACCACGGGAGTGACGATCGTGATATCTCCATTGCTGAGTCTGATGGAGGATCAGGTATCACACCTGCGAAAATTGAAAGTTAAGGCCTTTATGATTAACGGTGACACCGACCCAGAGGAAAAATCCTGGATCATGGGCCAGCTCTCAAATGCTGGTGGCGAGGGGATGGAGGTCCTGTACATCACTCCTGAGATGCTCAGTAAAAGCCAAGCCTTGATCAGAGCCCTTGAGAAGCTTCACGGAAGAAACAAACTAGCACGCCTCGTCATCGACGAGGCTCACTGTGTCAGCCAATGGGGACACGATTTCCGACCTGACTACAAAGAGCTAGGAGAGGTTCGAGCTAGGTTTCCTGGCGTACCGGTTATGGCCTTGACAGCCACCGCCACCGAGAATGTCAAAGTTGATGTGATGCACAATCTCAAAATCACCGATTGTGAAGTGTTCTTGCAGAGTTTCAACCGTCCTAATCTCACCTACGAGGTACGGTCGAAGGGGAAAAATGATGAAGTTTTGGCCAGCATGGCGGAAACCATTACAAGCTCATACCGGAATCAGTGCGGGATTATCTATTGCCTCTCGCGAAGGACGTGCGACAAGGTTGCAGAGGATCTACAGACAAAGTATCGGCTCAAGGCACACGCTTATCATGCGGGCATGACAGCAGCGGCAAAATCGAAAGCTCAGAGGAACTGGCAGATGGGCCGAGTGCATATCATTGTTGCCACCATTGCATTCGGAATGGGCATTGACAAAGCCGATGTGCGATTCGTCATGCACCACAGTATCCCAAAGAGTCTCGAGGGGTATTATCAAGAAACCGGTCGTGCTGGTCGAGACGGCAAGCTTTCTGGCTGCTATCTTTACTTTGGCTACAGAGACACAGCAACCTTGAAGCGGATGATTGATGCAGGAGATGGCAATGGTCAGCAAAAAGCTCGTCAGAAACAGATGTTGCGAAATGTGGTTCAATTCTGCGAGAACCGCAGCGATTGCAGACGAGTGCAAGTCCTCGCTTATTTTGCGGAATACTTCCGCCGAGAGGACTGCAACAACACTTGTGATAACTGCAAGTCCGGTTTAGTGTTTGAGCTCCATGACTTTACTGAGCAGGCATCCTGGGCCATCAAGATTGTGCGACAATTCCAGAACACACAGGAGAAGGTGACTGTGCTATACTGCAGTGACATACTGCGTGGAGACTGCAAACGGCCTAAAGCTCCAGAACATCGCAAGATGCCGGGGTATGGGAAGGGATCTGATCTCGACCGTGGAGCAGCCGAACGTCTGTTCTACCGGCTGCTGGGCGAAGACGCATTGGCCGAAGACAATGTGATCAATAAAAGTGATTTTGCTGTTCAATATCTCATTCTCGGCCGTCGTGCAGCAGAGTATGAGAGTGGCCAGCGACAAATGAAACTACATGTTCGCGCCTCGCCGAATAGTAAGGCTAAAGCCAAGAGCAAGCCCTCGGGTGCCGTGCAGAAGAAAAAGTCTGGCAATTCAGGCGCAGATCCTCAGTCCACCATGGTCTCTTCTCCAGTGCAAGCTGCTCAAGACCGCCGCCTTGACCGTTACCAATATACCGGTGCTCCAGCCGCACATCCCTCGGTCGATGAGGATAGTGATGGTTTTGAACCGATTCGAACCACCGGCAAGCCTCGCCGCGCAAACACACACGAGATGGGCCCTCCAATCACCAGCGATCAGAAGTTGGATCGACTTGATCATATGCATCGTGTAGTTGTGGAGGACTTCCAAGAGCATGCCAAAATCATGCTTCAAGATGTGAGTAATCGCCGTACTTACTGGTACATCATCAAGAAACTGACAGTTGTTATAGCTTGTCGTTAAGAAGGGCCTTCGGTGCCAACCGTTCTCTGACCAGGTGCTACGTGATATGGGCATCTCGTTTCCCAAAAGTAACTACTCATTCTTCGATGAAATTGGAACACCAAGTTAACAGCGAAACAGACCTTACGGAGCTTTCTGCGATCCCGGACATCGACCAGGATAAGGTGAAGCGGTACGGCCGGCAGATCCTAGGATTGGTTGATAATGCAAAGCGGCGCTACCTGGAAATGACGCAGGAAGCAGAGACCAGCGGCGTTATCCCGGACCCCAACCACCATAACGTCATCAATCTCAGTAGCAGCGATGAGTATAGTGACGACGACTTGTTCATGGATGAGGCTTCCGCCTTCAATCTGGACAATCCGGTCTCGACCGCACCCAGCAATGCAGCTGAAAATATCACCAGCCGCTACTTCCCTCCGGCAGCATCTCCGGGGTATGACTCTGGTGACGACTGGGAATCCGGCACTGCACCTTCTGGCTCCAAGAGTCGCAAGCGCCAGCCTGCTAGTGGCAAACGACCATCACGACGTAAATATGGCTCCACTGGTAGCTGGAAGGGCAAAGGCGCACGACCAAAAGCCAAGTCCAGCGATCGTCCTACAAGCCAGTCATCTGCGCCGCGAAAGAATGCCAGGGCCAAAACCCCAAAGTCTACGATTGGAATGATGCCTATTTGAAGTTCTTGTTATTTTTCTTTCCCCACATTTGGTTGGGATGTTTATGATTGATTGGGCGTTTACACAAGCATCTTAAGGTGTTCTTTTCTCACGGTTTGTAGGGAGTCATTCGGAGGTAGTCCATAGGTGCCAGGTTATGTAGTATTCCATGTTTACAAAGAACCAGGATTTAAGAAGATACAGACACATCCATGAATCAATAATACCATTTTGTCACTCAGTCGTGGAAACCCTCCACATTCAATTCCCAAGTGAGCGACCAAAATCAATCAATCGAAGCCGCCGTGCATCTCGAGGGTGAAACTGCGCGACCTTGGCTCTCACGAGGAACCTCGAAGACGCCGAGTCGCGCTCCAAATCGATATAGGAACCAGCCTCCAGCATAGCATCGAGGAGATCATGCATCTCCTTCGCAGCTGCATCCCTCTTGTTTGTGGGAGCCTCGTCCGCGTTGCGTTTCATAAACTTATCAATCCGCTGCTGTGATCCATCCTCCGTTTCTGCTGGCTCTTTCTGCTTCTTGGGCTTGCCGTGTGCCGTATAACCCGCCTTCAGCGTAGCATCCGACACGTCGAAAGCATCGCCCACAGTCGGGCCGCCCAGATCCTCCGCAGCAAGCATTGGAGCAAGAGTCTCATCGATGAACTTATCCAACGAGACCTTCAGGCTTGCGGACGTGCGGTCCAGTTCTTTATTTTTCCCTTTCTGCAGGGCGAGCTGCTCGCGTGCCACCTGCGACGGAGTCTGCTCTTCCTTTCTCGTGTTCGCATTGCGGATTCTCTGAATCCGCTCTCGCAGTCCACTTGCGATTGATTGAGAGTCGCGTAGATTGGCCTCTTCGACTCGTAGGCGTTCGCGGTCCACAGACAGCTGTTCGGCGGTCATTAGGACAGAGACCTTGTTTTCTTGAACAAGCCGTGCGGTTTCTTCTATAGCTAGAAGTGATGGCAACACTGAGTCTGTTGCTGGGAGCTCATCGTCGGACTTGAGAAGCGAGTCGTATGCTTTCTTGGCCCGTCGGGCTTGGGAAACGCGGGCCCAGGAATCGGTGCCCGTTTCTGTTAGGTCAAGGGAATTGAGCTCCCGCAGCTATAACTCATGTTAGTCGAGGCATTCTACCATAATGGGAATCTCATAACCTGCCTTGTGTAATTCATCTTGCTGGCGTTTGACTTGCTCTTGAAGCCCTTGCAAGGTTGCATCTAAACGTCGTGTGTAGACATGTAATGCAGTTCCACTGAGAGGTTCTTTTGCCGACTCGTTCTCTGCTTCTTGGCGTTTTTCTGCGAATTTCTGGATGTTCTGCACGGTTTGGTCGGAGATATCCATGCTTATTTTGGCTGAGTGACGCGAAATGCAAAATATTTCCTTCTAGAAGTAACAAAAAATACTTTCAATTAGAACTCGATTGACATTTAGACTTGCTGTAGAATGTTTGATTGAAGCCTTAGAGGCAATCGAAATATTGAACACGAGACGAGATGCTTCACGCCCATGCAACATCGCGTCGACGTCATGTGACCAAGCTTTCACCCTCGACTTCCCTCCCCCATCGCCAACTTCACCTCTTCTCCTTACTCGCCGGGATTCCATTTCATCGCCTTCATCAATTCCCTTCTTCCCGTCTTTCTTCGACATCTTACCACATTCTCGTCAATACAGCTATTAACTCGTTAATTGCGAGTTTAGCCCACACCCTTGACCTCAGATTCAGACGTTATCGGAGGCTACAGTGTGGTACAGCAGGCAACGGTTTCTGGCGCTTGATATCTTCTTTGCCTCATTTCATATTTTTCATCGCGTTCACCCAAGGATCCCATCTCCACCCTTTCCGCTTCCTTATTCATTTCAAGCATCTCGGCAAACCCCGTGAAGCTTCCCCGGTTGTGACAGCAAAGCCCTCTCACACTTGAAACTGCACTTCTTCCCGTCTTACATCGGCACTCCCTCAGTACCACCTTTCCTTCACAGCCTTTCCAATCTTTTCAAAGCACCAATCTCCCCTTCCGATCGCCAGCACCAGCACCTTCCGTGGGAAATTCTGGTGTACATAAAACGATCATAAAAGAAGAACGCAGATTTCATTCTTGTCACCTTCCGATTTCACTTGTAAGTGAAAAACAAACAGCAGCAGACCATCCAAGATGTCGGCTTCTCCTTCCAACCTTCAGTCGACCAAGCGTCCTCTTGAGGACCCTTCGTCGCCATCCGGCCCCAATGACCAGCCTGAGGCCAAGCGCCCGGCGCTGGACAAAGTAGTCAAGAGCGATGCCGATGTCGAGGCGGAAACAGATGTATCCAGTAGCCAGGTTCCTACTGTCGAGGGTGCCAAGGATACCCAGGGAGATACTGTGGTCCCCGATGCGCCCAATGGCAAGGGTCTCCCTGTCGACACCCAACCCATCCAATCAACCGCTTCCCAGGCCGACCGAGCGGGTTCCGATCAACCCCCCAGGACGAGTCGAGCTGGGTCCATATTCGTGCGGTGATCTCCAGCCCGGAGGCAGCCACCGTGATTGGAAAGGGAGGTGAGAACGTGTCCCAGATTCGTCGTCTGTCCGGTGCCAAGTGCACTGTCAGTGATTATTCTCGGGGTGCAGTGGAGCGTATCCTGACCGTCAGCGGTCCCCAGGATGCTGCTGCCAAGGTAGGTCTTTTTCCATTCAATTGGTTTATTACGAATGTTCGATTGCTAATGAAGAATATTAGGCGTTTGGTTTGATCATCCGTACCCTTAACAATGAACCTCTAGAGGCCGCTTCTACTGCACAGTCCAAGACGTACCCTCTGCGTTTGCTAATTCCTCACATTCTAATTGGCTCCATCATCGGCAAGGGTGGCAGCCGCATTCGTGAGATCCAGGAAGCTTCCGGTGCCCGCCTGAACGCCTCGGATGCTTGCCTCCCTCTGTCCACGGAACGGTCCCTCGTTATCCTCGGTGTTGCGGATGCCGTTCACATTGCGACCTACTATGTCGCCGTCACCTTGGTCGAGCAGCTGTCTGAACGTTATGGCGGTCCCGCGGCTTCGGCATATGCCACTCGCAGCGGTGGTCCCGCTGGTGCTGTCCCTGGTGGTATGCAGGTTGTTCCGTACGTTCCTCAGCCCGCCGGCGGCCAATACGGCCACCCCGAGACTTTCAAGCGTCACCACCCTCACCCCAACCGTGCCGGTGGTGGTGCGTATGGTGTTCCCTACTTGCACGGCCAGCCAGCTCCTGCTCCTGTCCCTCAGACCCCAATGCACTTCCCCGCCGCTCCCCAGGCCCCTTACGGTGGCGCAGGCCCCCACCAGCCCGCTCCCTTCGTTGGCGGTCCTCAGCAGCCGACCCCTGGCCGTGGACCTCCAACCGCCCCTGCTCCTGTTGGCGCTGCCATGCCCGGTCAGCCACTGACTCAGCAGATCTACATCCCGAATGACATGGTTGGCGCCATCATCGGCAAGGGTGGTGCTAAAATTAACGAGATACGTCACCTCAGCGGCAGTGTGATCAAGATCAATGAGCCCCAGGAGAGCAGCAATGAGCGCCTGGTTACTATCACTGGTACCGCGGAGTGCAACCAGATGGCCCTGTACATGCTCTATTCCCGACTTGGTTCGTCTCCCCCGTCCCCAGGCGACACTTTTCGTGCCCAATTTCTAACGGATGGATTAGAGAGCGAAAAGCACCGGATCTAAGTCTAGCAGCGCAACCAACTACGCTTGCTACGAGAGTCTTATTGCGGGGTTCAGCTCAAAATTCTACGGTGGTTAATGAAGTCTCTTTTTCTTTTACCTTCGATTTCTCTCGGGGTGTTATTCCTTTTGCCTTTTTTTACTTTCTCGTTGTATCTTATTCCAAGGCGTGTGATTTGATTTTTCTGCCTTTCTAATAACAACTCCCGCAATTATCCCTTGAATCAAGTAGCCCTATCCCATTCCACTACCTGCTCTAATTACCACCGACATATCCTATGATCCACGCAACACAGCTCAAATTACATCCAAGCCCCAAGCACTAATCCACGGCACCTCGCTCTCCTTTGTTTCTTTCTCTCGCTCTCTCCATATTTCCGCTCTTATTTCTCCTCCCTTCAAACGCCTAACCCTCAATCTTTTGAAAACTAACGTGTCTCATCTCCAACCCAGGAATAGGCGGCAGCATCTTCTCCCTCAGAGGCGCAATGCTCTGAACAAACTTATCTGACTCCTTGGCTTTGAGATGCGCCTCTATACTTTCCCAGCCAACAGTGAGGAGGTGCGCGAAAGCTTCCCCACTCGGACTCTTCTCGTGCGGCAGCTTACTTGGCCGTTCGACACGCCCCATCGACCACGACCGTGGCCCCGCTGACTGTGGCAGCTGCTCGACCAGCGCGGTGCGGAAGTTGATCAAGTCCGTGTTGATCTGCTTTACTGCTGGCACTTCGAGGTCGCTTGGGAATGACAGCATGCACAGCTCAGTAACGGGGTTTTTGGTTAGTGTTTCTGTGATGGAGAGTGGTGGGATGAACGTGACGCGGAGTGATGACGGCGGCTGAGGATTCTCTGGGGCCAGGAACGGGTCGAGGAGTTGGATGTCTATTGCACTGCGGGGGTCGCTCCAGTCTGTTGGTTTGGTTAGGTCGTAGGTCGTAGGTTTGTAGGTTTGTACGGGTGTGGATATGTATATTGTAATTTGAGAGTTGTTTCAGGGGGATGTTGAACTCACCTATAACCCAGACGATGGTGTCTTCGTCTTCGGATGTGCGTCCCCAGGATGAGTGCTCATGACCGCTTTGGTGTTGGTTCGTGTGGAAGAACCTCATTAGAGTCTCGCCTTCTTCGCTGGACGGGTCTTCGGGCTTGACGGAAGGTTTGACGCGGAAGAAGATGACCTGAGTAACGGTTTGAGACATGGTGGTTTTCCCAATGATAGTGTGAATGGGAGAGACACAGCTGAGTATCAAAATACAGATGGCTGATGTCACGGGCACATGATGTCACCCGTAGACTTGGCCATAGAATCCCAATTAGGAAACTACACGGGCACCTTCCTTCCTTGTGTAGTTACCTAGTTAGTCCCTTCCCCAGTAGAGTCATGGCCAAGTACTTGATCTTCTCTTTTCTTCTATCCTCTCCTCTTCTCTGCTCATCTCCACTCTTCTCGTCTTTCTCTTTGACATCATGCCATCATATAAACTAATGTCCTGGTTAGCCATTCCATTCCGAAAGAAAAGAACTCGACTGTTGTTCTTCGTCACATGCTTAAGCCATTTCGTATGCCCTAGCTTCACACTTGACCTATTGAGCTGGATATTCTTCTGGCAATTTGTGGCTTTCCTCGTGCTGGTACATTTCATGGCTCTCACATTCCTGATCGTGCAGCTTCTTGTCTTGTCCCAAAACGATAATATGGCTCCCATCATACATATGTACTACCATTGGTTGGGGACGCTGGTGAACTCCCAAATCCAACGATTCCCACATCGCTACCACCTCGCCTGAGCATGTCTTCTGCATGGATCTGGTTCCTCGGTGAAATCAAACCCTCGTGTTAGAAACTGCTTGGCTACGTACCTGCAGTGGGGAGATACTACGCATGTTCAATACTGATTGCGATTTCATTCTCGCAACATGATCAAGGGTAAGAGGATGGAGAGTATGGCTTTATGATGTCTGATCTCTGCTCCTTTGACACACCAATTCTAAATCCTTTGACGTTTCATGTACTTGGCTAATGTATCTGTTATAGTTATCTTGTTGAGTTTGAGATTCGGTTGTTTTTCAACCAAATGGCATTTTCTGGCCTGTTGTGGCGGTTCAACTTTGTCGGGCCACTTGAATTGCAGACTGTGGCATTAGATCAATATGGATCCCAGAGGCTGGGACTTACGGTTTAGGTGCTAGTCACTACTTATGGAACTTTACATCTTTTCCTGGGCGTCTTGTTCATTTTTTCTCATTTTCAACATAGCTGCTCTATTCATCTGTCAGATACCCTCAAAGAACCCCATCGACTGCACATCTCCTCATACCTCATGCCTTAGTGTGATACTTGTGATCTACCAACAGAACAACAATTCTATATGCTTGCTCTGGTATAACTGTTTCCTCGTCGAACTAAGGGAAAATCACACTCCGGTCAAGATGAACCCTCTGTGCGAGGATCTCCCCGAGCCACCAGAGTGCCAGAGTCTTAGCCTGAGCCATGACTGCACCATGGTGTTCCTCATCTCCATGGGCTCCAACGACTGGTAGCGAGAGACACAAGTGTTTCAGGTAATGCTGTGCGCAAGTGGAAATATTGATCTCGTGGCCTTGAACCTGCTGAACCACAAACTCCATCAGCTGTTCGTCACTATGGGTAAGCTTCATTGCTGCAGGAAATTCTATAGTAACCCAAAGAGCTGCATCATCTTTGGGGTCCACCAGACGCTCGGGGCCCATCATGAAAGGACACCTATCACTCGCGCGTCCTACCATTTTGCTGGTTGGTAGATAAAGAACTGTAAGGGAACTGGGCTTTGTTGGGAAGTCAGTTGGATAAATTCTGATGGTGTTGATGAAGTCAATGTAGAGACTCGAGGGCATCGGCCTTTTATATGTGGGTTTTATCGGAGGCTAGAACAAAGAAGTTTTGCCATTCATTACTATAATGGCTTTTTATAGATGGTCTCTGATTAACAACCCTTGAACCCAGTTTTGTTTCATTAATGCATAAAGATGTGCATTCTTTGCCTTTGTTACTCATTGACCGAATTTCATTCTTTGTCAAGCGCTAGGAATGCGTCTAAAGATACGGAGCTGATCAAGTTTGACTCCCATGCTGGAAAGACAAAAGCAGGTTCCACATGGACCTCGTCGGGAGGTAAGCTGACGCAAAGAACTGCATGTAGATAGGGCTTGCATTTGATAGCTAATTTAGCCACTCATCGTGGCGCTGAAAAAAAAATCCGCTACATACGTATGTGCATGCCATGACTCCCTGGTCCAATTTAAGACCATCCACCAGATACCAATCCACGCTGAAAGCAAATTCCCCCAAATATCGGATCAGAATCTTTAGAGAAAAACCAAATGAAAGCAAATAAGAAGAAAAGAAGGATGAAAATAAATCTACCAGTCATCGACGCCGCGCACCTTTGCCTGCTTGTCCTCGAAGGCCTTCTTCAAGTTGGCATTCAAGTGCTGGCGACGCGACTTCTTGGCCTTGTATTGGACGGCGTCTTCTTGAGGGAGGACAGGCTCGCCAGCACCCTCCACGCTGCGGAGACGGCTGTGTCTCACCGAGCCATTGATGCTAGCCCGGAAGTTGAGACCGCGCGAAACGGAATCGGGGGTGTGATAGGCGCTACCGTCGATCGAGCCTCGCGACCCAGGAGTCATCGGAATACGGCCGGCAACGTTCTTGCGAGGAGTAGAGAAGGGGGACGCCTCGCGGCTTGGGGGTCCTGTGGGAGCAATGTCCACGCCGAGCTTGCGCATCTGTGCCTCGAGAACATCGATGTCTGTGCTTTTTCCCTCGGCCATGCTCATCATTGTAGCAATGGTCTTGGTAACAGCTTCGACGGTTGGTCGGTTCCTGCCAGTGCCATTCGCCTGCGGAATGTCAGCGATCTTGGCACGCAGGAGCGAGACTGCCTGTTCAAGAGCAGCCATCTTGACCTGGATGTTCGTGAATGTCGTGCGCAGATCATGCTGGAGTGCACCTTGCTCGGCAGAAAGTGGTGCTTCAAGAATAGCCCCGATGTCAGTGTGTGCGTCGAGAGTCTTGCGGATACTTGCGAACTGGCCTCGCAGGGTGACAACCTGCTTTGTGAGCAGGTCACGGCATGCTTCGAGCTTTTCGTCCACTCCCTGCACCCGCTGGTTGTCCAATGATTGCGCAATTGAGGCAATCAGCTCTTCAAATCTCTCGATGTCCTTCAAGGCCATCTTCGTGTCGAGAATGTCAGCAGGCTGGTCGCTGTTCAGGACCACCACCCACTCATCAATATCAGAGGGTTTCTTGGGCTGCTGGTGAAGAAGGAATCCTGCCAGTGATCTGGCATTTATGCCCAATGTATCTACCATAGAGTTGATGTCACGATAGAGTCGTTCAACCTGGCCAGCAATACCTGGCTTCGCAGTCTCGCCCATGTAGTTCTGGTGGGGCAAGAATGGATCCAGGGTATCAACGGGCTCAATAGGCTGAGCCAGTTCATCGCGGAGTCTATCGTCCTCGTCGTCGTCTGACAAAGATAGAACATCATCTTTTTGAAGTTGAGCCGCTGCATGTGCGCGTGCTTGCTTCTCTTGCCCCTCGCGAGTAACATCGCTGGCCTTTCTCAAGTGGCCATCACGCTTGGCAATATGAGTAAGAGATGCCTTACGGGAGTGCAGCACGCCAGTGTCCCCCTTACGGCTATGTGGTTTCTCGGAGAATAGCGCATTCTTTTTCCCTGCGAGTCGTACCGGACTCGGTGACCGGTAGGGCTCACGATTACCTTGGGCAATGGGGCCCGGGGGAGGAAGCAGTGGCTGCTTAGGGATCTCCCCAAATAGCTGCCGGGGAAGGCGGCCGTTGTTATCCGCGTTTCGAGCAGGACTGCTGAAGAATCCACCGGTGGAGCTTTGCTCGGAAACTGCACCGAACGAGGTCTGAGCTGATTGCTTGGATTTGGTGATTAATGCCTCGTCGTGTGTGATTTCTTCGCCGCTATCACTGAAGTCTGACTCGTCTGCGGCCTCGGAATCTGCATCGGAGATACCAGATTCATCAGATTCATCAGGGATTGGAACTGCCTCTTCGAAAGACTCAGTCTTTGGCTTTGCAGTAAAGTCCGGGGGCAGAGGTGCGTCCTCGGGGACAACCACAGCCTCGGACTTTTTGGGCTTTGTTAGGAAGTCTGGAGGAAGGGGGGCGTCGTCCGGCTTGGGCGCAGGCTTCTTCTGTGTGAGGAAGTCAGGAGGGAGAGGAGCATCATCCGTCTTGGGAGCAGGCTTCTCCTGTGTGAGGAAGTCGGGAGGGAGAGGAGCATCGTCCGTCTTGGGAGCAGGCTTCTCCTGTGTGAGGAAGTCGGGAGGGAGAGGAGCATCGTCCGTCTTGGGAGCAGGCTTCTCCTGTGTGAGGAAGTCGGGAGGGAGAGGAGCATCGTCCGTCTTCAGAGCAGACTTCTTTTGCGAAAGGAAATCAGGCGGTAGAGGGGCGTCATCTTCAGGCTTTGGTGAAGCCTTCTTCGCCTTGGTGAAATCGGGAGGAAGCGGGGCATCCTCGGCGGAGGACTTCGACACGTTGGAAGAAGCTGAAGTATCTCCAGGGGCATAACTATCCCGGCTAGTAGAGTCTGGTGGCAATGGCGCCTCCACATCGATACTTGATGCATTAGACCAATTCTTCTTGGGTGTCTCTGTCTTATCAGATAGTGCTGACAATGGGCTGGTCACGCGGTTTTGATCGGCAGTGGTGCCAAACATCGGGAATGCCGACTTGGTGTTCTCGGCCGAAGTTGTTGTCTTTGAACTGAACATTGATGTGGGAGTCTGTGAAGCAGGTTTGCTTGGCCCGCCGAAAATTGAGAATGTCTCCTTATTCACGGGCTCGATATCTTCAGTGTCATCCATTGATTCACTTGGCGATGAGCTTCCCTTGCGGGGCGTTGACACCATCTCGTCAAAGGAGCCACCGAATGAGAACGCCCCGGCAGAAGGTTTGTCTGCTTTTGGCCCATCATTGACAGCCGAACCATCGCCCTTGAAGGTAGACTTGAGCTCAAACCCACCTTGCGCAGCGCCAAAGGGATTCTTGGCTTCAGTGGAAGCTGGAGGTGGGAACGATGTCTGGGTTGTAGGCTTGGCTCCAAAGGGTGAGGCAGAGCTTTTGGCGAAAGGACTTTCACCAGCAGAGGCGTTTGCGAAGGGCGACCCTTTTGATTGTGTTGCCGCGAACGGTGACTCGCCTGCCTGCTTCGCGGCGAATGGTGACTCGCTCGGCTTTGCTGTTGCAAAGCTACTGAAGCCGCCTCCGCCGGAGAAAGAGCTGAAACCACCACCGCTAGGTACTGCACCTTTGGCCCCGAATGGGTTTGCCGGGGCGCCAGACTGTCCAAGTCCAGATCCCATCCCGAATCCAGACTTCCCGAACTGTGCCTGTCCAGGGGTACTGGGAGTGCCGAATGATGCGCCCGGCTGAGAGGGGGTCCCAAAAGCGGGAGCAGGGGCCGGAGACGACGTCTTTCCAAAGGCCGGGCTAGGGCTTCCACCAAGCCGGGACGGACTGCCAAATGCTGGAGCACTTTGTTTCCCAAAAGCAGTTGCGCCCATAGTTGAAGCCCCCATGGCTGATGGGCTACCAAATGCAGAAGCTCCCGCCGGCTTTCCGAAAGCTGGCTGGCCAAATGCCGATGAACCTCCAAACGATGACTGGCCAAAGGCAGGTTGCTGTGCAGGGGCTGGGGCCGGGGTTGGAGCTATAGCCTGTGGTTGAGACGGAGCTTGGGTTGCCTGACCAGACGAAATCAACCCCGAATACGGGATGTTTTGGCGAATGGAATCAGCGTAGACGAACCACCAAGATGAGAGGATACCATCATTATTCAAAAGAAGAACCCCGGGAAGGGGCGTCGAGCTCTCCAAGATATCGGAACCAGGAAGCGGCGCAATGACATTTTCCGTGGCTGACAGGTTTTGTGCTAAGCCAATGACCGATGTCTCGTCTCCAGAGTCCTTCAATGGGACACTGGCACGTTTGGTGTCGTCGCTTACTTCTGTGGTCATGAACTGACCAATATGAGGTTTGGTTCGCTCATCGTTGGCCAGAGGTTGATCAGATCGCGTGATGAGGCCGAGATCAGTCGAGGCAGTTGACGCGACGATCAAGACATCTCTCAAGTGAGGTTTGTACTCTCTAATTCTGGTGATAAATTGGAATGCGGGACCACGCTTCAACATAAAGCCCATAGTCGAGCAGACTTCTGGCAATTTCTGGATGAGGAACGGTGCCTGCTTGCGGCGGGTTATGATGTAGTATGAAGAAGCTGGGTTCATTCCCATATCATCCTCTGAAACATTTGGTGTGTATGTCACAAAGAAAACATCGTTTTCAAGCCATGCGATTGATGAAACTGTATAATCGTAAGTAAAAGCACATCTTTGGTTCTGACAGGTATTTGAAACTTACTGTGGCAATCTCCCTCCAGATCAGATGGCCGAGGAATTTCAGCCTTCTTCGTTCCATCTGGGGTCATTTGGTATCCAGTGCCATCGGCTAATCCAGCAACAAGCTGCTTTCCTTTGTTGCTCCATGCAGCACAGCTGACACCATCCTTGAGAACCGGGCCATTAGGTCCAGGAAGTAGGCTCCCAGCCTTGAGATCGGCGATAAGAAGCTCGCCATTAACGGTGACCAGCGCGACGAGTGTCGAGGAAGGGTCGGGGTTTGGTGCCAGTGCTCGTAGCGACACGCCATTCGTGGGAATCGAAATCGCTGGCTGCGCATTTCCTTGTGTGAGGGTGTTTGTATCGAAGACCGAGATTGTGGGGCCGTTCTCCGTGGCGAGAATCAAGCCGTCGTCGCCCGGTGTGAATGCCACATGAGTGGGACGAGAAGGAAGGGGAATTGTGGCGAGAGGTTGGAATGGCTTCGTTTTCTCCATATCTTCTCCAGCCGGCGCCTCGATTGACTTTCTAATGACATCTGCGGTGCTGATTACCAGCGCATCTGGACCAGCACCAACAACAAGGCCTTTGGTGTGTGCCACGGCCAGAAGTGAAGAAGTAGGAGCAGGAAGCGCGTCGTCGGGCCATGCCGTTGGGAGGAAGCGGATGTTTGCATCCCCGGAAACGCCTTTGAAACCGACTTCCTATAGCTACATTAGACAGAGTAATCAGGGTAAGTGAGAGCTGTGGCGGGGTGGACATACATCGGTAAAGACATCGGGAAGCTCTGAACCAAGCTCCGCAGAGGTATTTCCCCCAGCGGGGTTGGACGCACCGAAGTTGAAAGCCATTCTAAGCTTTTCGGAATTGAATGTCCCAGAAGGAGAACGTGTGCTTTCGCTTAGAGGAGAGCTATGTCTGAGAGCATTAGGTGAAGGTGAGTTGGGAGGTGTGGAGAGCGAGCGTCGATGGAGTGACTGAGGGCTCCGGGAGAAGAGGCTGAGAGTATGCGCGAAAATCTTGAGTTGCGCGGCTTCCCAGGAATGAGAAGACAAGCAAAGAATAAAGAGGGACGCAACGGGTATCGCCGATGCGCAAAAGGTTGGAGAGAGAGAAGTCAAGAAAGACTACATAAAAAGCATTGAATACCAGGAAAATAATGTCCGGCAAAAACACCTTGTTTATGCCTGGTAATTAAGGCGCCAATTTAGGCTGCGGGAGCTTCGTCACTCCAAACAGCTCACTTCCTCTTCACTTCCATCTCCAGCTTGCTACCCCATTCGTCCATCCATCCTTCTCGATCTCCCCCAATAATCGAATTTTGCTCTCGTTTCTTCCTATACACAATCTCTATCCCGATAATCAGTTCAGCTGGTCGCCAACACCAGCGTTGTCAAGATGCCGGGCTTCGACTTCACAAACTACAACCGCAATGCGGCGCTTCACGCTAGGGGTGTTCCCCTTCCCAAGGCCACAAGTACCGGTACAACAATTGTGGGCTGTGTCTACGATAAGGGTGTTGTGGTACGATCCCAAGCGATGCGAGGAGATTCCTACGAGCTGTGACCCAGGAGCTGACTCGAATCGCCATTACAGATTGCAGCAGATACCCGAGCTACCAGCGGTCCTATAGTAGCAGACAAGGTAAAATACACCGATCAGATCATTTCCATTTTCCTTTTAGAAGGTATCTAACATTCTTTGTCTCTAGAACTGCGAGAAGCTTCACTACATCGCGCCGAAGATCTGGTGTGCTGGAGCGGGTACCGCCGCCGATACCGAATTCACCACGGCGCTCATCAGCTCCAACGTCGAACTGCACTCTCTATCAACGGGCCGCGACCCCCGTGTGATCACCTGTATGACGATGCTCAAGCAGCACCTCTTCCGGTACCAGGGCCACATCGGAGCGTACCTGGTTGTTGCAGGCGTGGACCCGACCGGCACGGGACTGTACACTGTGCACGCACACGGATCGACAGACAAGCTGCCGTACGTGACGATGGGATCCGGATCCCTGGCTGCAATGTCGGTGTTTGAGTCGACCTGGCAACCAGACCTGGACCGACAGGGCGCCATCGACATCTGCGCCGAGGCAATCAAGGCTGGTATCTTCAACGATCTGGGCTCTGGTAGCAATGTCGACGTGTGTGTGATCGAAAAGGACCAGCCCACCCAGCTGCTCCGCAACTACATGAAGCCCAACGAGCGCCCACAGAAGGAGCGCAACTACCGCTTCCCCCGTGGCACCACTGCTTATTTGGACCAGAGGGTTATCAGCAAGGAAGATATGAAGAAATATGTCACGATCGAAACTCTGTCAGGTGATGATAACCTTGCTACTGGGGACAGCATGGAGGTTGATACTTAGATTTTCTTGGAGATGCACTGACCAGTGGTCTTCTTGGATTGATTTAATGCACGCATGGGTTTTTTTCTATCTCACTATGTTTTCTGTACGATCGTACTTCGGGAAAGACCGCGGACGTGCTGTTCGTGGAGTTATGCTACAAGGTTTAGAGCAGATATGGCCAGGACAGGAAATCGGAGTTTTCAGAAACTTAATGTTGGCTATCATGTAGATTGCATGCTCATCTCAGCACCCTCTAGGCAAGGTAATATTGAAGCAGGGGTATCGTATCGCTCTATTTTATAAATTTTCCTGTGTAGACATCCATTCACATACACATCTACTACCAGTCAAGCCCTCGATTCACCAATCTGAGGCAGAGCAGCGAGCTCTTCAACAACCTCAGAGCTTTCGAACTTGCCGACAATCCAAAGGATGTACTCGTACTGAGTAGCCGAGATACGGCGACCGTCACGACGGAAGCGCACAACACCAGCGTGATACATGGCTCGCACGAACTCCGGATCCACGGGCCCCCCGTGTCTGCGAAGAAACCCGTAAAGCCAGTGAACCATATGGAAAGACTGGCACGGAGTCAAGTGCTTGCAACAGGAGAGAGCAACTGCCAGTTGGTTTATGAGGTCGACCGCAGCATGGGGATCGGGGCATCTGCTGTTCCGCGGGCCTGGGTGGTATCGCACGAGGGCTTTCTCGTCGCGGTGTGGAATGGGCTGCCAGGCTTTGTGGAGGCTGATCTTAAATGGGGTGTTGTTGTTGAGAAGTCTGAGGATGGGCCAGATGTTCTTTGAGTCTCCTGATCGAACAACACTCAGGATTTCTTCAACTGTGTCCGGGCTGGTCAGGTTCATGCGGTGGAACATTTGGTCGAATCTGGTGTGGAAAAGATTTTGTATTCCCTTGTATATGGCTGGGTTTGTCCATACTTCTGCTAGGGAGAGCTGGGAGGTTTCCAGTTGTTCGAGGGTTTTGCGGGTGGTTTTGGTAATGGAAGTTTTGCCCTTTTTGTTGAGAGCTAGGAGCAGAAGGCTGTTATATGGAAGATCGAGGTCATGAATTTCCCGCAAGAAGTCCGGAAAGAATGTTCCGCTGGCATCTTGCATCACCGTTTCGTATAGATTGAGCAATGAGTAGATTGGTCGATCCGTTGCTCTTGCACTCTGGTTGTACATGGGCCCAGTGGATCGACCAAGCGTTCGTAGAAGCCAGAGTCGCAAAATGATCTGGCGTTGAGTTGAATGGCTCAGAGGGGCATGCTTGATTTGTGTTTGAACACACGGGAGAGGAAAATCGAACCAGACCTGTGAGTTGGCAACGGTCGAAATGACTTCCGCATTTGAGAGGCAATCCCGCCATCTTTCAAGCAATTGGTTTCTGGAGTCCCTGTCTGCTGAAGACGATGCCAATGCCTCTGTTACACGGATGACACAGTCCGCCGCACTGTTAACATCAAGCTGGCTAAAGATCTTGTCGGGAAACGGCAAGCTTGTCTCTGAATCGACTTCCATAGTATCCAGCCAAGCTTGAACCAAAGCAGAAGGCCAATGGCTGCGGCTGTCTGCATCATGGGTTTCGATGATGAGTTCCTCGGCAAAACGAAAGCTGCGAGTACGCAAGAGCTCTCCAAGCCAAGCATCAACAATGCTTCTGTTCAGATCGTGATACCCGAGAATGTTACAGCACCCAATAGCTTTCCACATCGCCCGGTAGTGCTTCAATAAAGCTTTATGGTCCCATGACCCCAGAGTCTTGTTTCGTTCGACGATGATATTTGGTAAAGCGGTAATGATCAGACAGATCTCATCAGTTGAAATCAACCCCAACTCTAACGCACGATTAATCGCATTCAAAACAGCGGTTCGTTTGCCGCGTTTCGTTTTTGTTCGAACAAAGATCTCGACAGCTGCAGCGTAATTTCCTGATCCCCGGGTATTCAGGAACGGATCATCCAAGAACGCAACGGCTTCTGTAAGGTCTGGGTCTGAACGAGCAAGTAACCGCTCGAATATCTGCCGGCTGTATCGCGGCTCCCGGTGGAGGTCAATTCTCAACCGACGAGTAAAGTCCCTTGCATCTTCAATGCCCCAATTATTCCCATCCAAAAATGCCTCCAGCATTTGCTCGCGCGTAGCTTGGCCCGCATTGGCAAGGTACGACGGAGCTTCATGAGTAGTGTGAAAGTCGCTAGGTTCGGGTCGAGGCTTCGGGTTCTGGTCGGACAAAGAGAAAGGTACTTCAGGAGGACCCAAAGAATGATCGGCGAAACCTTCAAAGATCAATTAGCGGATAGTCAAAAGACTTTGCATGTCTTGTCACACATACTCTGGGTTTCGAATGGCGCTCTCTGCCATGGATGGTCGGTCCACTTCATGTGTTCCCTCCCATTGCGACCAAACAGACACGCGATATCTTCAGCCGGGCCTCCCCCTATGCTCGCCAGAGCAGTGTTTCTTCGCTTTGCTAGGCGTCGCCGTGCTTCCAATGGTCCGGGGACGCAGCTCCCATGGCGCCGTTGACCGTTGGCGAAGCGACGAAACGTGGCTGCGAGTAGGTCATCACTGATCCAGGGATGGTCGAGTGTTGGAGTAGCTGGTGGCTTTAGAGCATGCCGGTAGGCATGTCTGCCGAAAGACATGGGGCTGGCTATGGCATGTGCAGGCCGATTGCTGTCTTAGGCTTGTCGCAAGCACTCGGAATCAACTTTCGCATGGCAGCTTTCCGATTCTTGGCGTGATGACTAATCTCCGCATCCCTCCAGGCGGAGTGGACGAGTCAACGGGCCAATGTTTGGGCTTCCATTATACCTGTGTCTACATGTGTATCACATTTTGACTTGTAGCGTTTAGTTTGGCCATGATTTTCTTGTTTTGCGAATTCTACTTGTTTCTACATCCTGGGTTATGTCATCTTTGTGGCCCATTTGATCGTTCTAAGCCAGATTTGTTTAGAACACCTCGGATGTACATCAAATGTTCGCATAAACTACATATGTAGGTATGAAAATGGATTTATATAGAAGGCAAAAATTAAAATAAATTGTAATCATAAACATAACGCCAATGCAATGCATGCAAAATTTTGCCCACCAATGGTATCACATGCTAATCATCTTGGAGAGGACATAATGGAACGGTGTGATAGAACGTAAGACAGTCATGACGAGAAAGTGAGGAGATAACAGAAACTCATGATGCAGTTTTGCCTTCATTGGGAAGGGGCTTCCGCCCTGTCACCACATAAAAGTCCATATAAGAATGGACACTTCGGTCCTGTATACTCTTCCTCACATCAACGAGGAAGACTTCAATTTCCGGTTTCGACCACCCAAGGGCAAGGAAGGGCTTATACGACCACCCGGATAAAGCAGCAAGCCAATTGGTCTCACTCCAAGCACCGATGGTCCTTAGCTTCTCGTCCTCCGGCCAGGTATTTGTGGGAATTTTGGAGAGACTTTGTTCAACGTCGACGAATCCTACATCTTTC